TTATTTGTAACTAAGTAGAATTATCCGTAACAAAGAAACATTTTATGACCGCCCCCCCCCCTACTTGGAAAAATTTCTGTGCACGTCTTCTCCCTTTTGGTACATCTGATCTGAGGATTATCATTCATTTTTTTATAGCTGCTGGGATAACCAGAACTTTTTACATAGCTGCTGGGATAACCAACATCCATATTTTCCTCCTTTTAACCGTACTATAGCTAAGGTACAGTGTTATCCACAATCCCGAAAGGATATGTTCCTAGTCAGACCAAAAGGGGCTCTGATCTAAAGGTTTTGCAGCTTCCGACGAAATTTGCACTTTCGGCTTCTCGCTTTTTTTCTCTAATTAGTGCATCAAAACATGGGCGCAATAAGTAAATTACTTTTCAATTCAGATGGGCAAATGCAGTTTTTATGACCCGAAATGAGCTAACTAATTATTTTACTGATTCTGCAAAAAAACGCACTTCGTCTTGTTCAACCGTCACGTCGTTACGAATTACGATCCTCGCTTGAATCGATTCCATAACAACAACTAACACCCAACAGCGCAACCCGCCCACTAAATACTCCAACTCAGTACTAAACTCGGATTCAATTACTATTGAACTAACTAATCAACTCCTTCTGAAAAAAATTCCAATTGCAACTAACTGGAATCTTAGCTCGGGTCAGCACAATTCAATTGTCTCTCTAACTCACTAACGGAGAAACATAGTAACTTAGCTAAGCAATTTTCCTCCAGGCTTTTCTGATTCTGTTCTCTGCAAGTATGAGAACTAATCTTTCGCTTCATTCGCGCTTACTAGTCTTCATCTGAGGAAAACCAACAATACTCTAGCTTAGTACTAGCTGTTCTGCCTAAGTGTAGGCTGTTTGTTATCCTTTATCATAATTTTCTATTTGAGGTTCAATTATAGTTAGAGATTTGATCATCCCTGCAAATCCTGACACTCAGGTAACCTTGCGCAAAGTGTTAAGCAAACTTTTCCACTGCCGACGCTTTTTATGGATGCCAAATTTAAAAGGGTATCTCCAAATAAGTTTTGCAAACATCAAGAACATTTTCACCTTAATCAAGATAGAATTACTTATGCAACTTCTGAAGATTTTTAACCAAATGTATCCTGGCGTTCCGGCCTCCTGTAATTACAGGAGGTCTTTTTTTAGATGTAAGTACCTCATTTTAAGCCTCTAAATTTCGTATCTATATTGGCTATCAGAATTGGGATTCTAATTATGCCAAAAACCACCTATAGGAAGCTAATTAAAAATCTCGTCCATTATCATGATTTAAGAGAAATGATTCAAGTGCCGCGCTCATTTTGCGACCAATTTCATCTGGGATTGTTTTTTTTTGGTTTAGTTGAGTTGCAATTAATAGCTGAATTATCATAACTAAGTTCAAACCAATGTTTGCCTTGTGTCACTCTTGTTAAACCCACTGCTTTATCGTTGCAACACTAAAGCTACACTGTTCTAATTTCTGGCTACATTCTCCAAGAGACAAGTTCCCCCAATTACGATTAAGGTGACTGGCTCCCAATTCCAAGGGTTACGTTGGGGTAAGGCCACTATCCATTGTTATTTCAGAAGTTTTATCTGCATTTTTAGACCGAAACGCCGAATGGTCATTTAAAGTCACCCTGGGGACACAGGGCTCATTATTCCAAATTTGAGGTAAAAATCCATTTTCAACCCAAAACCAAGTTATGTTTACTCATGCAACTCCCCAAAGACTTTATTCAACAAAACCTTTAGCGTTTCGGCCTCCTGTATCAAGGGGAGGTCCTTTTCAGATGTAGCTACCTCATTTTAATCCACTAAAAATGCCATCTTTACTAGCTATCAGTTTTGGGGTCTAAGGATGCCAAAAATCCAAATGGGGACCTTTAGAAAATTTTCATCCAATCTCATCATTTGAAAGAGTTGCTTCAAGTGTTAAGCTCATTTGGCGGTTTATTGCGCCTGGGACTGTTTTTCTCTTCGCTTTAGTTGGTTTACTCTTAAAAGTTTAAGCATCATAACTAAGTTCAATCCGATGTTTGCCTAACAAAAATGTTAAATATTCAAAGATTTTTCAAAAAACCGCCCCCTTTGAAACATTTCTGTGCACTTCCTTTCCCTTTTGGTACACCTGATCTGATCATTATGATTCGATTTTTTCATAGCTGCTGGGATAACTAGAACTTAGGTGTTGACAATAACATTCAAAAGCCATCCAAACTTTTTCATAACAAATTCAAAAAGAGTGAGAGAAGGAGAGAGAGAAAGCTGAAATTGGGATTTCCAGGGTTTTCATCTCTGCAACTAATCGCAAGTTAAAGAATCGCCGATATTCTCCCCTTTCAACCGTACTACAGCTAAGTTACAGTATTATCCATATTCACGAAAGGATATAATCCTAGTCAGACTAAAAGGGAAGGGCTCTGATCTAAGGGTTTTGCAGCTTCCCACAAAATTTACATTACGATCCTTCCTTGAATCATTTCCATAACAACAACCAACACCAAACAGCGCAAACCGCCCACTAAATAATCCAACCCTGTACTAAACTCGGATTCAAATACTAATGAACTAACTTATCAACTCCTTCAGGGAAAATTCCAATTGCAACTAACTGGAATCTTACCTCGGGTCAGCACTGACTTTCTTATTCACTAATGGAGAAACATAGTAACTTAGCTAAGCAATTTTCCTCCAGGCTTCTCTGATTCTGTTTTCTCTGTAAGTATGAGAACTAATTTTTCGCTCTATTCGCGCTTACTACTCTTCATCTGAAGAAAACCAACTATACTCTAGCTTAGTACTAATTGTTCTGCCTAAGTGTAGGCTGTTTGTTAACCTTTATCATAATTTTTTATTTGAGGTTCAATTATAGTTAGAGATATGATCTTCCCTGTAAATCCTGACACTCAAGTAACCTTGAGCAAAGTTCTAAGCAAACTTTTCCACAGACGACGCTATTTATGGGTGCCAATTTATAAAGGGTATCTCCAACTAAGTTGTGCAAACATCAAGACCATTTTCACCTTAACCAAGATAGGTTTACTTATGCAACTTCTGAAGAACTTTATTCACTTGTACTATGGCGTTCCGGCCTCCTGGAAAAACAGGAGGTACTGCTTCAGATATAAGTACCTCATATCAAGCCTCTAAATTTCCCATCTTTATTGGCTATCAGAATTGGTGGTCTACTTGCGCCGCAAACCGAGCTAAGAGAAAGCTAAAAAAAAATCTCATCCGTTCTCATTAATAAGGAAAAAAGATTCAAATGCTGCGCTCATTTTCGGCAAATTTCATCTGGGATTGTTTTCTTGGTTTTAGTTGAGATGCTATTAAGAGATTAACTATAATTAATAAGATCAATTCAATGTTTGCCTAGTTTCATTCTTATTCAACCCACTACTTAATCATTACAACTCTGGAGCTATACTGTTCTAATTTTTGCCTTCTTTTTCTATAAGATAGCTGCTCCAGTTACGAGTAAGGTGATGGGCTTCCATTTCTAAGGGTTAAGATGGGATTAGATCATTATCGGTGTTAATTCAGGCGTTTTCTTTGCAATTTTGGACCGAAACGCCGAATGGTCATTTACAGGTCACCCTTGGTTCACAGGGGTCAATATTCCAAATTTGGGGTAGAAAAAAAAGAAATTTCAAAACAAAACCAAGTAATGTTTACTTATGCAACTTCCCAATTACTTTATTCAACAATACTGTTAGCAATTCGGCCTGCTGGATTAAGGGGAGGTCCTTTTCAGATGTAGCTACCTCATTTTAAGCCTCTAAAAATCCCATCTATACTGGATATCAGTATTGGGGGTCTGATGGTGCCAAAATTCCACCTAGGTGGAGCTAAGAAAAACTTCATTCATTCTCATCATTTAAAAGAATTGAATCAAGTGCTGCGCTCATTTTGCGGCAGTTTTTGCCTGGAATTGTTTTTCTTTGCTTTAGTTGGGTTACTACTAAAAGCTTAACCATCATAACTCAGTTCATTCCAATGCTTGCCTAGTTTCACTCTTTTTCAATTCACTACTTTCTCGTTGCAACTCTAGAGCTATACTGTTCTGTTTTTTGGCTTCCTCTCCCAAGAGATAGGTCCCCCAATTACGACTAAGGTGACCTACTACAATTTCAAAGAGTTAAGACGGGATTAGGTCACTCTAAGGTGTTAACTCAGAGAACTTCTATGTAATTTTAGGCAAAAATGCCGAAAGGTTATTTAAAGATCCATCGGAGTCACAGGTGTCAAACTTCCAAATTGCCGTAAAAAGTTGACGGAGGGGTTTATTTCATTAGAGTACCTTCGCTCATTATTTTGCGTAAACGGCATATTTCTGGTGTAAGGTGTGTTTTCTTCTTCCAAAAACTATAATAACTTCCGGTCCAGCCGCACTATTTGGCTCAAACTGTTATACATGATGCATCTTGTCACTGCCTATCGTATCCCAAAGTTTCGGCTCTCGGCATTCATTTTAAATGGTTTCCGGAAATCATGGTGGGGATTAGTCACTTAGGGCATAACACCACAAGTGAAGGTTCAGGGAGTCTGGGGTTTTGAACTTGAGCTTCCTTCAACAAGTTTTTTATCATACTAAGTTTTGGTCTTAATTCCAACGCTAGTTACCACGTTCTGATAGGGCACATTGCTCTTTCGTTATGACTTGGGTCAGGGGGGTCCGAGGGGCCCCAATTTTTTGCATGCCCGGGCCAAGTCATCTCTATTATCCGTCCTATAAGATCATTGTGTTGGCTCCAGTATTTCCCCATTTGGAAGGTTAGGTCTATTTGCCACTTGCGCCATACAGCCTCTAATTTTCTGAATCTCGAGCTGTTCTGAGCCCGACCGTATGTTTGCTTTACACTTAACTTATTTTTTAAACAATCTTAGGCTGAGGTTAGTTTGGCATGCAATACAATAGAATCACCTTTGCATCAATATTCTATCAAACTAAAATTGCCTTGATCTTTTGAATTGAATAAAAAAGAACTCACATTGAATGGTTGTAGTTTTTTTGTCCATATTTGGAATATGGCGGCACATTAATTCGGTCTGCTTGTCCCGTTCTTTCAAAAAACTTTCTTCTACCTAAACAAAATATATTTCTTTAAAACAATTTGAAAAATCATTAAGTATAAAACATTTGTTTGCCCTTCTTTCTCTTGTTGAGAACTTCTGCTTTCTCATGGCCTTTTTCCGATTCAACGTTGACATGTTATGAGATTCGTTTGACTGTGATATACTCTTCTTCTGAGTAATTGTAAATAAATTTTAGGCTGACTCTAGACTCCTTGAAGTAAACCCAAAAACATATAAGGAACTGGTCAAAACATTCGTTACCTGGAAAAACTGTTCAAAACACTCGATCATGTTGGTCAGAGTTTTCGGGCTGAACAAATCGTTGCAGAAGTTGCACGAGGTCAACCACGAAACCACATCCTCAATTGATAAATCAGTGGAGCACCGGACTAGTAACTTGAAGTACCAAAAAATCTCCAGCAACGTGTTTCTGGAAATATATTTCCGCAAAAATTACTTTGATAGTAATTTACAAAACCAGAAGTGTACGTTACATGAGATCTAAACATCATTTTGTGGGGCTCAGACGCTTCAATCAATTGTCCAAGTAGGATTAGTGTCCAAAATATATTAAAAATCAAAGAAAAAAATCAGAAAAAAATCATGTTTATTTAGATGTTTATTTTTGCGGAAGCCCTGCCTATAAACCATAGACAGACTATTGACAGCGGCAGACACAGCCGAGTAGTTTCTGGACAGAGTTGAGGAATCCGAATCAAGTCCCGCCGCCGCCAAATTGTGGCTGGCCTGCGACGTCTGGATTCTGTGGATAAATCTGGCTGGTACCATGAGGTAGTCCTTTGTGAAGTTTATCAGAAGGTGTAAGTTGGCAGCTGGATTGTTTAGTGAATAAAATTGGCCAAAAGATTCGATTGATGACAAAGACCTTGGCATGTCACACTTGAAGTTGAAATTGTTCACAAAATCACTCTCGTTTTGGGGTCTAAAATGAAAAGTCTCAAACTTACCAATGATGTGTATAGTTGTTAATTGATTTATATTGACTACATCTTTGGATTGTTTTTGCTGACAAAAGCCCTGAAAAACCCTGATTGGCTGAAAGAAAAACAGTAGCAAGCTGATCAGCTATTTATTTTCAGCTATTTATCAGTCGTTGTAGTTCAGAATTATAATCAACCTCTGCAGAGTACAGAACTTTCGAAGAGAGCTTGAAGATTGGGATTGGTATTTCCAAAAAAAACACAAATTGCAAGTATCAGCCTATAAAGACGGCTTTATTATATGACGACATAGATGATCAGGCTTCCTTTGCAACTTTCCTGACAGGAGACACCATCCAAGCACATGGAAAACACCTCATACTACTCATGTCACATTCTGCCGCCAAAAAAGGACTTTACCTAACTTTTGCTTCTAACATTCAACAAATCCTTACTGTAAATTTTTGAGACTTTTCTTCAATCTTTTTTTCATTTCTCCTTAACTTAAAAAGCAAATGCAGAAGCAACGTAAAATTGGTGAAATCAAAATTGTTCAACACATCGAAAACAGTCTCAAAATCATCGCTACAAACTTCAGCTGGATCTGGAGTAGTCATCCATCATAAGGATAGCACAACTGTCACATACAATTCCCAGTTGCTTACGGTTCCTGACTCCAGACACAAAAATTTCATGATTGTCAAACTTGATGTTCCTTACCCAAATGACCCTATATTTCCTTTAACAAAACCACCGAGTGAACAGAGTCTAATCCTCTGCTTTGAAACTTATTTTCCACTTTACACCCACAACAGTGTTACTGGTCAACAGCTCATAGCAGAGTTACAAGCAATCGCTCGAAGTGCTTAACATATCTAAACCAAAATCTTATACAGAGGCAACTTGATTACATCGTTTTCCTTATTCCTAGCTCATGTGCCACTTTTTCCATCATTATCACTTGAGTTGCTCCGAGTAATTTTCGCAAGGTTTTACCGCTCATTGGTGTAAATAGCATGATTGACAGTTCATGTCATTAATATTCTCCTGGAGGGCATAAGTTTGGAGGACCAAAGGGGGTAAGGTAAGTGTTCAGTTAGCAATTGATAATGAGGTCTAGAAATCTTTTTTTTTGTTCAACTAAGGCAAGTTGAACCGCGGGCGGCAGTGTTTCTAAATTTGTTGTACTACGCATGAGCGCGCGATGCCATCAGGACTCGCAAACAACAAGAAAACTTGGTTTGTCTTCAAAACTTTGTATGTCTCGAAGTTGTCTGCACTAATGTTGCGTAAGTTGGTTACTTCTTTGTTGCAATGTTTCGTTGTTTTTGGTGGCACTTCGTTTATTTGTCAAACAAGACCCTCACAGGACCTAAACACGAACGTAAAAAGCCAGCAAAAGTAGTTATCAAGTCTGTAAATCAATTTCACAGTGCACAGTGACGTGTACTTGGCTACGCATTTGGGACGGAGCTTGTTCACTGAGTTGTATTCAGTAGCACGATGCGTTGTTCCAAAACATTAAACACGGAGATGTTTGCCTTTGATAGCGTTATTTTCCGATGTAAGGACAGTTTAAGGAAATTGAACAACGCTCAATGGAGTGTTACTCAAAACCTATTGAGCAAAAATGTTCCATTGTAAAAAATTTGTAGTCAAACTGCCTTTCTGCATTATTTTTGGGATTGCTTCTCAGGTAGCTGATGCCCTTGGCTGCTGTAACAAATAAACTTGGTTAAGTTTCTTTGGCTTTGTTCCTCCTGACGCAAGCTCCAGGTTTTCAAACGCCCTAGAGTAGTTGTTCAACCAACCAATTAATTTTTTTTATTTGTTTAACTCGAAGTTTGAGGCTTACTGTTTTGATTACTTTGGTGTACCAAACTTTTGAATTAGCTCGTCTATAACTTGTTTGTACTTGTAGTATTAATTCCATAGCTTTCAACGATGTCTTCAACTTTCCAACCGCGAAGTCAGCAATTTTTTTCTACAGGTGTCATCCTTGGGTTGCATCTCAATGCTGTTTAGAGAAACTCAAACTACTTAGTTCATTGTAGTGGATTGCCATTGAAGCTCGAGAGCGTTTCATCAGGCAATTTGAAGCATTTTACTGTATTGGCTTAAAGGGTTATCGGAATAAGCATTTCTCGAACCGCTGTCACTTCGGCACTGTTTATTTTTCTCAGTTGCCTTCAATTGTTATTACGGAGGCGAAAAACGACAAAAAAGTAACTCCATAAAAGGAAATAAGAAAAAAATATATAAAAAGCACAGACATTAAAAATAAAACCCTTGCTGTATCGGAACCGATCCTAAGACTAGGAAAATTATAGCCTCTTGTCCTTGCATCTGCACTACATGCTCTAAAAATTTGCAAACAATAGCTACAAATAAAGCAGCTACATATAGTAATATATTGCCAAGTCGATGCAGCAAAAGTGGCCCCAAATAAAACTTCATACAATTTTTTCATGGTATAAATTATAATATAAAAACAGATAAATTTACATGAATTAAAACAAAAAACTTAAGGTCAAGCTTTTTTAAACTATGATTTCTAAACTTTTGTGAGATACATTGAATTGAAAAAATTGTGAGTTGGAAAAAAACTTTTTTTTTCGCTTCATTCAATAAATCAAAAAAGAATCAACTGTGATAACTGATTACTAATCGAATGTCACATCACATGCTATCTCAAATCCGTAAAGGAGCGTACTGAGTGGCCCAACAATTAAAAAAAAGAAGTCGTACAAATAACTACAATCGCTTAAGCTCGCAAGTGTAAACAAACTGTCGTCACCGCATTGATTTGCTTGAATGATGGTCCGGGCCTTGAATCTCCCAGTAGTGCTGTCAAAAATGGGGTTTGCGTACCATCGCAATTTTTGCGTATCAAAATTAATATCTTGATGCAGGTGGTGTTTTCTTGAACTTGCGTCGAAGAAGGAAAAATGAAAAAAAAAGTCGGTCGAGGTGCATCGGAAATTTAAATAATGGTTCTCATTATGTCAGAAATTCGGTTGTGGACTTTCGTGTGTTTGCGACAGTGGCGAAAAATTAAGCGACATGTAGTTGTTTTGCATAGGTTCGCCGAAAACGAAGTGATATGAGTGAAAGCTTCAAGTAGACGTGTTAAAACTTGTCCTTGATTTTGCAATAATTTAGGTTAAGTTGTGAGCTGGGTTTTAAAATAGCCAAAGAGTGCAGGTTGCTGCTGATGTCAGATTGCCGTTTGTTGACTTGAGGTAACAGAGGAGTCATCGTCTTGGAATCTGTTGTAAAACTTCTCGTATCTTCTTCTGTTTTAGTATCGAACATTTTCTTTGCGAAGGGCAGAGCCTGTTGCAGTATATCGTCAATATCCTTTAGTGAATAAGCGGATAAAAATTCAAATAGAGCGTTACGAAGCTGTATACAGGCTCATTTCAGTTGAGGTAATTTCAACATCACCAAGCTTCGTCGAATGTGATATCTCGTCGCCGAGTTTCGTTGCAGGCCCTCAAGTGAAGCGAAACAATAGTTCCATTTTTTTAGCACAGATTGACTATTTGAGTTGTTCGATTGCTTGTTTGGTCCTCGAAAACTTGTTCTAGCGGTGCGACTGTAGTCAAACTGCTGATTTGAGGCGGTTTAACGTAGAGCCTTTTTTTCAGCTAGAGATTAGTGGCGGTTGTAAGCGCTAGCGGTTCTCCGAGGTTAAGCAGTTGCTTCTGTTGCGTTTATTGTAATTTGTCTGCTAGACCTGCTGGCATTACGGGCATATTTAAACCGAATACGAGTTTTAACAGCTTTCGGGAAACTATTAACGATGAAGTAGCGAGGTGTCATTTATTTAAAAAGATATCGGGTTATTTTGCGGTGAAACCTCACTAAGAAAACAGATTTTTCTTAAAGTGAAAAAGAGTAGACTCCAAGAACTCATTGGATAAAAGTTTTTAATGAAAAATCATGCTACGGGTCTTCTGTTTTTTTTTGCATCAATTTCGAGAAAATTTTGGAATGGTATGTCAGATTGGTTTGACTGCTTTAAATAAAAGTAGAAATGCTGTTTTGTTTTAATGATGTGATGGTCAAATGAAATATTTTTTTTATCGGGGGGGGGGGGGGGAGGGAGTTGTAAGCAAAAAAATCTACCTGTGCACCCTGCGATTTAATGGTTTATTGATTTACCTCGTATAAATATTTTAAATTATGAACTCTGAGTTAAAGCACACTATCATGAAATTTAAAACGAAAGCGGCTGACTTGCAGCTGAGAGGGGTGGATTGTCGATTGAGAGTGGCTGACTTCTTGGAACTTCGATTTTTTTCGACTGGTTAACAGAGGTCATTACAAAATGATAATTTAGACCAATTTGTCATGATTTAAGTAATGGAACTATCGTTTCGCCCTCAAGTGAAGCGAAACGATAGTTCCATTTTTTAAGCAAAGATTGAATACTTGAGTTGTTCGATTGCTTGTTTGGTCATCGAAAACTTGTTCTAGCGGTGCGACTGTAGTCAAATTGCTGATTCATAAAAACTCTCGTTTGAAAATTGGTGAAAATTCTCTAGTGAGGTCTAGAAAACTTTTTTGTTTGCCGTGTTCCTAAGTTTGTTTTATTACACATGAGCGCGCAATGCCATCAGGACTAGCAAACAACAATGATTTGGTTTGTCTTCTGAATTTCGTTTACCGCGTTATTGTCTGTACTATTGTTGCGTGGGTTGATAACTTTTATGTTCTTTATTTCGTTGCATTTTTTGTTGAACCTCGTTTATTCGTTAAACAAGACGCATGTAGGCCCCAAATACCAAAGGAAAAGCAAGGTACTTGGCTCTGAAATTGAACCAGAGTCATTTCTCTTTTGCTAGCTTTATTATTTGATGTAAGGACAACGGGACAACGCCCAATATAGTGTTGCTCAAAATCTAGAGGGCAAAAATGTTTGATTGTAACAAAGTTTTCGTCAAACTGCCTTTCTGGTTTGTTTTTGGGATCGTTTTCCATGTAAGCTGATTCCCTTGGTTGCTGAACGTATAACCTTGGTTAAAGTTATTTGGCTTTGTTTCTTCTGATGCAAGCTCCATTTTCACACTTGCTAGAATAGCTGTTCAACCAGTCAGGTAAATACTTGAAAAATGCATAGCCAAGACTGTGGAGTTCATATAATTGTTCATATTTCCTCTAAATTTTATACGGTTATTTTGAACAAAAAAAACATGGGAAATTGCTGGATTTTCATTCCGAAGTGTTGTCGTTTAATTCAAATTGTGTACTAACTTTCGTTAGAATGCAGCAAATTTGGTGACAGCTTGAGAATCATTTTCTGTTACACCTTCCGAGTTTTCCAGTTCTCTAGTGAAAACTGCGACCACAGATCTTGGATTTCTACAATTTCGAATTAGTTTGTCAATAGCTTATTTGTTGTATGAAAAATAATTTCCTAGTATTTATGATGCCTTCAGCTTTTCCAACGCAAAAAGACTGCAAATAGGTGGTGCCATAACCGCTGAATGGAATTAAGATCTTGTGACTGTGCTGGCCAGTCCAGAATTTCAACCTCAATTTTACAAAACCGACGTTTCGCCAAGTTGGAAGTATGTTTTGGTTTCTTGTCTTGTTGAAAAAAACGTTGTTTCTTCTCCGGTTGAAGTGCTCGATGGTTCCAAGTAGGTTATCTGTCATAACTTCTGTATAAAGACAGGCATCCATAATTTCTTCGATTTTGCAAGCTTAGCCTATCCCCTGTTAACAAAAACTTTAAAAACGAAGGCCTCGCTCGCAATAATACATGCACCTTGCACTTCTCAGTCGTGGAGTATCTAGAACCTTGCTGTAGAAAACTGACTGTTGAAAAATACAACCAAACTATTTAGCCCTTGAACATATTCTGATTAATTGTAGTTCATTATTGATTCGAACTATTTCGGAGCACAGAACGACTTACACGAATCTCAGAAAAAATAGGGCCAATCAAAGATTAACTAATACAAAAGAAACAAATAACAATCAAGAAAGATCACTTGCGATACAATACAACTAGTTCACTAAGTAAAAAAATCAAAATGAATCAAGCTAGTTGTGAAAAAAAAAACATGCGACGGCAATAGAATTTGAAATAAACATTGGAACAAAATTTACCAAATGGTAACAAAGCCGAAATTACCTGAGAAGAAACAACACCTTTTTAAGTCTTCCTCCCCTTAAAACACATACACACATGTACACAAAAAAAAATTTCGCTTTTCAAATGACGCAATATGAGGCCAATAGGCCAATATAGTTTTGACCAAAACCATAAGGTCGAAAAAAAGTTTTAAAAAAAGGGAAACAAAAAATTACAACCGACATAAAAAGCCAATTTCGAGTTGGACGGATATTTAAAATGCTTACATGCTCAAACTATGTCTGCTGCATTATTTACAGCAGAGAGGACTTAGGAGATGAACGAATCCAGGATATGAGTCTTGTGAACTAAGCTATTTCCGTGAAAAAGTCTAGCATCCGGTTGCAAAACACTTGCTATCGCAAGTATAATCATATATGACATTGAATTTTTTCAATTGACTGAATGTGTTCAAGTTTCAAGGACTTTTAGGATATTTTTCGAATGTTATCTTACATAAGTTTTAGGTCAGCCAAAATTACGGTTAAAAAGATATTTCTGTCATATCAAAGAACCAAAGAACACAATTTATTCAATGCCTTTAGATGTCAGGGATTGGCGAGCGTTAATAATATAGCTAAAAAGGCAACTCACAGGTCACTAGAAGATGCGATTAACCAGTGCTTCTTCGATTCCGATTTAAAAGTGGGCGTCATCAGCTTTTCACCAATTAAAATAGATATCGCGTAATTACAAAATATGCCGAAATGGTGCCACTCCATTGGCTGTCGATGAAGTAAGGGTGATTGGGTGATGTTTATCCAATCAGAAAGCAGCGTTTTCCAAGTATTCATCTCTGTTCCGTCTTTAAACATCAAAGAAAGAACTCTGAAGCTTTTGTTCTCAGTTGCTTTTCTTGGGTTGAAATAATCAATCTTTAACAGATAAGCTGGATCCAACACAGATTGACGTGGATTTGAACTTTCTGGATGAATTACTCTGTATACAAAACGTAAGTCTATTTCCAGACAGTTAGCCGGAGTTGAAAGGGATGGGAAAATGTACAAAACGAAGTTGTCTAAAATTGCACAGCATTTGCTAGAAAAATATTCAGATTTGTCCTCCAATTTGTAATTTGCAGTTCCTATGATTCTAGGCCGATTAATTTTTTCATCGGGTCGACTAAAATTAGAATGAAACGTTTCACGTAGGAAGTAATCGTAAAATGGTGTTATCATTTCTGAAGGCATGAAGAATTCTGGCCTGGGAGCGTTTTCTGGTAGATTTGGATCTTCCTTTTCTAAAAAAAAGTGAAGTGAAGTGTCTAAGTAGAACATAATTTTTCGATCAACATCAAATTTATTCTGACCAACAAGCTAAGTTCGCAAATAAGCGAAATGCTGTGGGAAAATGGACGCATTGAAATAAAAAATTTTGGCAATGAAACATCGTACTAGAATCCAGGGCCGGATCTAGAATTCTTTCGAGTGGAGGGGAATTTGAAAAAAAAGAACACCTCACACACTATGAAGATCACCGTATTTTGACCAAAAACTTTGCGCCGCAGGCAATTTCAAAAAATAGGTCAAAATCCAAAAAGTCATTTTTGAGCACTTTGGAAAATTTTGATGGATAATTGCGTATTTTTGGCGCGCGTTTCCCTTCAATATTATTAATAATAATTGTAGTTCCTGTGAATCGCAGAGGAGCTATCAGTAGGCCTTAACAGTCCTGTCGAGGATAGTCCATTTGTATTATCTCCCCACATTCCAGAGTGTTATTTTGCTGAGCGAAGCTGTTTTTTTTTTGCGACTCAAGGCCGTTTTTTTGCGTCTAGAACTTTTACGTGGTACCACTATTGCAGCCAAATTTGGTCAGGTTGTGGTAGACCTGAAGCTGGAGGTCAAGTGAGAGCTTATTCTCACACACTATCATTGCCGCCAAAGGCGCCTTAGAAAAATTTTAGGATTGGTCGGCCTTAAATGGATGTCATAAAATAATACCAAAGGGGGGCCATTTCGTTGGTGAGAGGATCGAATCCCTGACAGTTCCAAATATCGACAGTTACTTCTGAAATTTGAAAAAAAAAAACTATATATATTTAAATAAAATGAAAGTAATAACTACATTTTGTACAAACGGTAACATACCCTAAATCAACACCAAACGAACAATTTTCGGGAGCTTTGAATTGCAACTCAAATTATGACGGAAAGGGCTTGATTATGATACATAATAAGACTGCATAAGACTGGTTATTTATTCGAGGTGCATGTTGGTTATCAATTTTAACTGCCTGTCGAGCTTGAAATGAGTCTAAAGAACTTCGCTATGGCGGTGGCTGGAGGTTTATTCAGGTAAGTTCAGTCCAGTTTATGAGACAGTTAATAAGATGCAGACTTATGTGGGTATGACTGTAGGGACAATTCGGGGACATCTTTTCAAACAGGTATTTACACAGAGGAGAGGCCAAGTTGAGGAGAGTCGAAGAATTTTTTTTCATGAGATTCGAACCAGCGCCCTCGAAATTAAGAGTCTGACGTCTTTCCCACTCGGCCACGAACCCTTTATATTCTACAAACACTAGCCACAAATAAAGCAAAGAACAGGAGCTATGAAATTTCCAATGCTACAGATCGTGATGGTAATAGCAAAAGTGAAACCAACTGTGCACTTTTATTTGCGAGTTAGGTTGAAAAAAGTAAGTTCATACTAATACAATACGCTCGCTAGCTCGGTAGTCTAAAAAACCGACAGTAACCGAATCTGAGCTAGTTCTCTAACCGAATCTGAGCTAGTAATTTTAGAAAAGGTAGTGTCATAGATTACATGAAATTGCTTCTGTCGTAGTCATCATTAAGAGAGTTAAAAACATTGCTCCGAGTTCATGATTAAAATTAGGCTGAAACACAGAAGCGAAGCTGCGCTTCGCTAACACTTGCGAAAACATGACCAAAAAGTAGCTCTATCAAGTGACGTAAGAAAAAGTAGAAATAAGTCTCGAACTTGCAAAAACAAGAGGCTTAGCAAAAACTGGAATTACCATAAATCTGCGACCTAGCAAATTTGAGTCTCACGCACTAACCAGTCAGCCACGGATGCTTATAATCCCCAAAAACTAGCCACCAACAACGCACGTCCATATGCTAATAAATTGCCAATTCGATGCACCAAATACAAAAAGATACAATTTTGCATGAAATGAATTGCAAAGCATAAAGCCTCATGATGTGTGATATGCTTTCAAAAAATTGCGAGATACATAGAGTTAGAAAATTTCTGAAACCGAGATTTTATTATTGTTATGTTGTTTGAAACACATAGCTTTTTTCGGTTCACTTGATGAATTAAAAATGCATCAACTGTGTAAACTTATAACTATTCCAATGTCAAAGCACGTTATCAATAAGCTGTAAAAGTGAAACATTTAAGCTGTCATGCCAATTCGATGCAGCAAATATTGCACCAAATATAGTAGTCGCAACAAAAGTCGCAACAATATTTGCGACTTAGGTTTAAAAAAAACAGTTCGTACTATTAACACATTGCTTCGCAAGTGTAAATAGCGTTTGATTCATCTGGGAGAAAGGTAACATATGATAAAAAAAAAGAAGTAGATGAAATCAAGGAACAATTTCAGATAAACTTGGACTGCAAAATTTTCATGATGGTCGCGCACAGTGAGTAGTTCGCATTCAGTGTATAGGGAGCCCATGGATTTCATCTCTGAGATGTCTGACATGGAAAGATTTCGAAAAACTCGTATGTGATTCAAGGAAGACATGCTCGAAGCGTGGGAAGAAACTGGACACGAATAATCTCTGGGCAACGTATTGGTCTCATTAAGGTCTTGTACGTTACAAGCAACTTTTCCTATTTGAGGCGCTTTATTTTACATGTTTAAAAATATAAAAAACAATTAAGTTTCTTCGTAGCAAACCTTTTCAATCGTCGGTCAAAAAGAATCAAAAACTGACTTGGGTATGGAATGACCTGGAACATTTCTCTTTTGTGCAGCTTAGCCCCACACTCCTGTAACCTATAAAAAATTACATTTGCAAACAGAAACAATTTAAAATTAAAAAAAAAAATTGAAATTAAATAATACTAACGCATTTGCTGTTTTTTCGGGCGAGTAGACAAATGTGACTAATCGCAAGATAGCGTTTCTATTGAAGAAGCTTTCGATGCAGCTCGAACTCTGAAATTTACAAATAACTTGAAATTCTAGTCAATTGATACATTAACAAAGCCGGGCAGTGAAACTGGCAGTCAATTATATTCTAAAAGTAAATTAACTTCTCGTTATGCATAATCATAAAGTTATTGAGAATCAGGCAAAGAAGGATTCATACGCGTGTGAACACTTCGTTAATTAGAATTTGAAGTAAAAAACAGGTACCGGTGGTGTGATGTAATCGCTTTCTTTTTCCAATATAGACTTGGTGTTGTCGAGGAAGTCCACAAACTTCATCACTTCTTGATGATGTTTGTCATCACCCATTCTCATCTTTATTTCCTATAATAGATCATATATAAGAGAGTGCATGAAGTCGAAGCACCTCGTTGAAGCACCTCTCAGAGATTCAAAAAACTTAGCTGATTTCTGTACAAATTCAACCAGTAAGAAAAATATGTTCAAAATTGTTTTTTTTTTGTTGAAAAAATTATCTGCGTGTAGGGGGAAGAAAAACAAAACTTAGTCTGGAAAACTAATACTGAGTTCAGTTAACTGCAATTATTGTAGCAATTCATAACAAAACAGAAAATAAACATTTTTAGAGAAAAATTCGAAAGTAATTTGTCTGAGTCTTTTTGTTTTTCCAGCGAGAAAAAAAAAATTAATGAGGTGTCTTACTCTTTAAGCTCACGTTATTTAACCCTCTATTTTTAACCCCTACTTTATAACACCCATAATAGAATTACCCCACAACAATTTAACCCCTTTTTGATACCCATAATTTGTTCCAAATTAAGTCCTTTTACCACCATAGTAGAATTCCAAATGAGTGTACTAAATGAGGCTAGAGGAGCCTATGTTAATTCACTTGAGGCATTTAGTCACTCAAAAACAATTGCATTTCGATCAGTCAAAGAAATAAGTTTTCATTCACGCGATTGAAACAGATAACCTACATGGTGCTAATTGAAGGCAACAAAAAAAGCTTGGAAGTTTTAGAAAAATCATACTGCCTTACACTTTAACCAATGTTATACCATTCAAAGAGCTTTAACATTTGAACTGTACTTTCATTTTACCTTATCTTTGGATGGCAAACAAATACTAGCGGTATCAGGCCACGAGTAATATCTTTAACACAAAAAAAAAACAAACGAAGTAGAACTGCTCAAAATATCAAGCTCAAAAATGTCGAGCAACAGCAATTACAGATGAAGACAATATCAAAAAAACGTGGTAGAACATAACCACGGTCATTCTACGTATGAAAACCTTTTGCTCCACTAGTTTTGAAAAACATCGTAGATCTGAGCGATATTAAGACCCCAACTGTAGCAAACGCAATTCAGCCCTTAGCACGCAATAATGCTACTCGTTTAGCCCAGACAACTGATGAAAAAATGGTTTGAACTGCACAACATTTGCACAAGCAACACAAACAAGTTTAACCAGTCTTCCAAGCAACCAGAAATTTCGGATTATGAAATGATCACGAACGAATTGTTTTGTTCGGCCACCCGGAAATGCTACATGTGCTCGCAAAATCAAACTTTTGGTTGGCTGACAGAACATTGAAAACATCCCAAAAAATATACATCAATTTGACTCTTGACACTTTAGAAAATAGCCCCCGCATGAAAGTAGGCCTCCTTACCAAATAAAACGGAAAAAATTATACCATCGATCTTTAGAAGCCCTAAAAATTAACCTCGGATGGTAGACCTGGAAAACATTGCTGAATTTTGAGCAGGCCGCTATTCAAACCTTTCACAAATAATTCGGAGTTCAAGCTGTCAGAATGCTTCGTTCATATTCCCAAAAATTATACGAGGAAGATCGCAGGTCTCGAATTGAAAAAAGATAACGAAACAAAACCACGTGTTCGCTCTAGCAATTGAAATGTTACTTTTAATGGTTTTTGAAAAAGATGAAGAAATAATAAAGGCATACGATTAAATAGCCGAGAAAATTTGAAAAGTATATGTTAGCACCGTCCGGAAAAGTTGCAGAGCTATGCCTTCATTTCGGATACAATTACAATAAAAGCCTAGTCCTGACTCGAGAAGTACTAGACCACTTTTCACGACGGAATTAAAAAATTGCGGCATAATTCCGTTTGGCCAGAACAACAAGGGCTGCAGAGGGCTGACTTTATGGTTTACAGTCATCTTTCAGTAGATCGCATCCAAGCATTTGGAAAATATTGCAAGTTTGCAAAAGACGCTTCCGTCCATAAACTCAGTTTCTACAACGCGTTGAGTGGGCACCGATTCGCCAAAAAGAAAAAGTAACGGGTCCTTGACGAGAAAATGCAGAACATTGTGCATGTTTATCAAAAAAAAAACTATTTGGATTTCTTTCGCTTTATGGTGAACTTGAGCTACATATTTGTTCTTACAATCTTTGTTAATAATTTTATAATAAAATTTTGTTTGTCAACTTTTTTCTTTTTCAGTTGTTCCCATCCTAGCATATGGAAATCAATTATAAATTTGCAAAAAAACGCATCCGTCTAAAAACTCAATTGTTATAACGCCTCGAGAGGGCGCCGATTTAACAAAAACAAAAGTACCAGAAGCCAAGCAAAAAAGTGCAGAATATTATGCATGTTTACGCAGAAAAAAAATGATTTGCATTTTTTGCGCTATGACAAACTTGAGTACGATAATTGTTCTCTTGTTCTTTGTATATAATTTTATTTCAAAATTTTGCTTGCCAATTTTTATTGAGAAAAGACGTCTTCTTGCGGCCTCCCGGAGACGTAAAAAACGCTTAGTCTTGAATCGCATTTACAAAATGCTGTCTCCAGCTGTTTAATCCTCGTTAAATTGATCGCTCGTTTGGGACAAGGGGCTGGTAAACCTTTTTAGACATTGAGTTGTATGACGACAATTTAAAAAAATGACAAATTTTAGATGTTCCGGAAAATTAAAAAATTTCACTTTAAAAAGATCGGTATTTGAATAAAGCTTATATTAGATCAGATTTTTGATCATTTCTTTCAAAATCAGCCAATTAATCTATGATTGACAACAGTTTTGTCAAGATCATGTTCAACTTTGGAAAATTCTAATCAATTGCAGTTACTAATTTTAATCGGTCGGACTAGTTTTTAAGTTAATATCAAAATCTAGACCATCAGTAAAGTTATTTTTGTTCAAACCTAAACCGCATTTCCAAAACTTTTCACAATTAAAGCGTTGATGTTTACCGTCGCAAAGGTTCCCAATCATTTTCAAGTAAGTTTCATTTTGATTCTAACAATTGGCATTAAACGGGGGTAAATTGTAAACGGGATATCTAAATCTGTGCTTATACGAGAGGGGGTAAGAGAAAAAAAACGCGGGGCGATAAGCTTGGGAACCCTAAATGAAATTTCAAAAACAATCTAATTAAGCTTAAAACTTATTTTTTAGCTTAATGTATGCTTTACGCTTTCGGTTCGCTCCCTTCAATTGCTCGAAATTAGGCTAAATGCAAAAACTTCTAACCGAATTTTCTTTGAGAAAAAATTTCAAACCGCTTTCACCTTGCGAAATTGAAAAAAAACACGAGGAAAGAGTTCCTCTCCACTTTCAGAGGTCGAAACCTTAAAAGCTCTACGACATTGAATTTCAAGAAAAAAATCAAGTTAGGTTTTTTTTTAAATTAGCTGACCCAGTTAGAGAAATCTGGATTTATGGGTATTTTTTGTTTTGTTGGGAAATTCAAAAAGTAATATCCACTTTTAAAACTTGAAGTCATTCATGTTTCTCAGGAGTGCGTAATATAATTCCCTTCTTTTAAGCTAATCAATTTGAATTCATATCAAAAAGATATCAAATTCAAACCACGAAAATTCAAATCCGAAAGTTAAGTTTTCCTGAAAAAAAATCAGCATGACCTATTTGAGTTAAAAATCACTTCGTTTATTAAGACTCAAAAAAATAAACATAGGGAATCGGCAACGATAAAATACAAGCGATAATTGAAAAAAACTCACACAAGCTTTTTAAGTATCTTCACTTTTAACATTAACACTTAAAAAATAAAATTTGGTAGACATTTTTAGGGGTTGGATCTGTGATTTTCTCGAGTGAGAGAAGGGTGGGAAAAACATTTCAAAAATTAATAAAACAATTTGTTGACTTTTTTCTGGTTGACAAAGCTCTCCCAAAACAGTATAAGGACCCTATTTTGCCAAAAAATGCGTCTATACAATTTTTAGGGTTGGCCAACCACAGGAGTATCCACAAAAGTTGAAAAGTGGATGTCGAAAAACAGTACCACGGGAAACTTTTTCGATCCTCATTGCTTGGAATCCCTGAGACTCATGAGCAAAATTGTAGCCCTCGCTTTCCAACTTACATTTCTATGCACTTCGTTAAGAGACACCCCATTGAAAACCTGGTCCACTATCTGAGGAAGATCTTTTTCATTTTCCAGCAGAAGTCTGTACAGTGTCTAAAATGATCATAAAAAAATGTTATAGTTACTACACTTGGGAGGATGTTCGAAGGCCATGGCCACAAATAGGGGCTCAGATTTCGAACACGAGAGTTACAGCGCATAGTTGGTTAAAACAAAGGATGTCGTTTGAATGGTGTCGAATTTTAAGCTGCAGTTTGAGCTCTACTTAAAGAATATTATCAACTCAAGGACTCTACGATCCGTCATCATGAGATTTTTATTCAAATAATTAGACTCATTCATGTAAATTAGGCACAAACTCTCCAAACCTTTCCCACCTCCCTCCCACTCGGTCACTCCTCCACCCCCAATGGTATATGTATATATTTTACAGCGGGGGCACAAATTTTACCAAATTATGTGCGAGGTTTCTAATTGGGTAAGCCTGCACGCCAAATGTCATTTTTCATGCTAATTGAACCGCGTGAACAAAAGTTAATTTAAGAAATGAGGGTGAGCGGAAACGGTACAAGAGTCTGATCATGTTCATGATCTGTTCACTGTATTGAAAATAATTGAACAAGCGCACTATGTTGTTTTTATCGAAATAGGTAATATTTTAACTTGAATTTTAAAATAAAGACTCATTTGATGGTGAATGAGCACAAATGAACAAAAGGAAATCACCTGTGAGTTATGTGACGTCAAGTTACTTGCAAAGCTGGCATCTTGGAGATTTGAAAATTTTAAGTTGCAATATTTCCCGTAGATATGCCTCTCCGCAACACACTCCCTGAAAATCATAGCACTTTTTTTGTAAAAATGAAGATGCTGGGAGTTTCGAGTCGCGTATTTAACTTACCTAAGATTAGAAGAAGACTCTTCTCTCAACAGCTCATATCTGAAGCAACAAAAATTCAACGTTACATTATTATCCGCATTTTTATTTTTGCCCTATTATTTGTTCATATCTTAGAGACTTTACGCGACAATTGAAGGGGCTCAGATTGTTTTTGTTTCTGAATGAGTGGATGATGCAACCTGTTCTCAAAATTTATACCAAAAATGTAAAAACTCAAAATGAAATTAAAAACTCTTTACGCGTCTGTCTAGAAACAATACCAATTTTCTATATTTTGCCCAAACCTTTCACCAAAAAATGATCACAGCGAATTTACAAACCCGTCCAGAAAATGATCTGGGTCCAGTTCACTGTACCAGTATCTACTCATGAACGCATTCGAAGTTGCTACCATGGCCCTCCAAGTAGACTGGTTGAAATCGTCCAACCACAGATGTCTAGCTGAGGATATGAATCGGCGTTGCCAGTTGCTGCAGTTGGTGCACACCATGGTCCAGGAGGCGGGAGAGAACCAAAGATCGAAGACTCCGAGGTACTTGGAACAACACTCGGAGCAAAAACGATTCGACACATTGCTACTCATCAACTCCTCAATCGTGCTTTTCTTTTCCTGCAACTTTTGTCTCCTTTCCACCAACTCCTTTAAATCAAAAACTTACAATTTAGAAAAAAAAACTTATGTTTCTCAATCTTTTCTTTTGATTATTCAGCAAAATCTAGAATCCAGACAGAATCTTTGATCTCAGTTTACTGTTTTACGTCATGTTTATTCCAACCATACTGAAAAATGTACCTTATCAAAGCGATCATCAAACAGCCTAGAATTTTGATAAATTGCGTATGTTCTTGGAATGAACATGTTCTGTACTTGCAATCTCAATGGTGTAATAGTTTCACCAGGACGATTCACACTTCAATTACATGCATGATCTAGCTAACGCTCAACTATTTTCTTTGCTACATTTCAAATGGCTTACTGCATGCTGACTTCTGGTTTTCAGCTTTTATGTACATATTAAACCAAACGAGTATAAAGAATTAATTTGAACGAAATGACAGAAGAACTTCTGCTGCTCATCTCGACAGAGAAGCCATAAAAGAGCAGCAGTGTCCGTGTCTTCGAATCGAAAACTAGCATGGAACATCTAAAATGTCAACCTATTTTGTTCAATTTCTTGAACTACTTAGAAGTAATTTCAATAACGACTAATATTTTCAAAGAAAATGAAAATCACCTTCTATGAGTCATATTCAATTCACATACCAGTTTATGACTCATTGATGAGTTGAAGAGTATGTGGTTAGAAGCTTCCAACATCTTCGAGTATAGCAAATCAGCTTTTCCCATGGAGTCTAAAGTGAACCTTAAATAGAGCTTCAAAATAACATATTGTAATATTTGGCTCTTTGCAGAAAAAGTGGATCTCTTCACCTAACCTCCCCCCCCCCCCCCTTTAGTGCCTAGAAGTGAATTGCCACCCCTATAATGAACTAATTTAACGATTAAGCCCATGTGAATTTTGTATCGAGTAACGAATATCCCCCTATTGCAAAAGGGGGGAAATAGTAAGAGAGATCCAAAAAGTTGGGTCATGTCGATGGGTTTTATGCATTCATGCATGTCGATGTACCACTGTTCTCTTTCGTTCTCAGCGAAGTTTGAAATCACCCCCTACTCTCGACTTTCGTCAAAGTTATGCCAATTTCTTTTTTATAAGAGCAGGTACCTTTCTTGCATAATATAACCGCTAACAATACAAAATTCTATGTTCACAATGATTTGAACCGCTTTCAATACACTCGACTGCCAAAAAATTTTCTCAAGAGATAACCCAAATAGAAACTTTTCTGGGACAGCCAAATGTTTATTTTACAGGTTTATCTTACATAAGACGAGGTTTATTTTACATAAGACAATTGCTCACAGGAAAGCGACGTAGTGTGTGTCATCTGCGCTGACTTTGACCTCACATTTGCGTTCACCTTTTCTTTCTAGTCTCCAGGGTTCAAATATGATGGGAGAATCTTCTTCAACTTTAAACTTCTTCGGCTCAAAGGTTTCCTGAAATCAGAGTTTCAGCTTCAGTCGGGTGGAAATAACATGTTCCCAAATCAATAACTCGAAGAGTCAGAAATGTCTGCATGCATCAGGATGGTCATTGTTCCCATTTTCTGTTTTTGTCTTTTATTGTAAATGAGGAGATATTTAGTCCTTGCATGAAATTAGTCCTTGTTCTCATTTTCCGTTTTTGTCTCCTATTGTAACTTTAAGAAATAGCACTTTCAGAAGTGCTTGGACAAGTCTTTATGACATTTTTAGCCCCAATCAGAACTACCTTCTGTTTCAGCTCTGGTTTAGTGGCCATAACCCATATCTCAGGCAGCGAATCACTCTTCCGTATTCCAATCACGACCTTGTCTGAGTTCTTCAACGACACTCGGCCCGAGGGTTCCACCTTCACACCTTTGTCTACTTGCACTTCCACGAACCAGGAGAAGTGTGACTCATAGATATTGACTTTCTCACAAAGGGCTTCTGGATGCTCGTTGACTGAAACATCAAATCAGTGACTTCACAGTCAGCTTCACAGGATTTTTTTTGATAGCAATTAAAGTTTTCAATTTTCATTAAATTTGATCGGGCAAAAACGTAGATGACTCATACATGATGATTAATAAGCAGGCGACAATATCAAATCATTTTAATGAAGCAAACGTTACAAAGAAATCGATCAAAACTTCATGGTTTGAAGTTTTGCACTTCCACTTCTCCTCATAGAATGTTCAGAGCAAAATTCAGAACATGAATGTTGCGGAGCAAAATTCTCTGCTCATAAACCTAGTTGAAAAGATGAAAATGATTCAATAAAATGATGGATCACGATTCACGCGAAATGAAAATGATCAAATATTACTTTGCTTACAGAATATTGAATAATTCTGAAGTCCCTTCCGGACCATCGGTTTCAAACTTGAGCCCAAATCTACCAAAAATAAATGGAAATTCGAGAAGATTTCCAGCAATTAAGAGCCCATTTTCAGCAAAAGTTACAACGGATAACTAAAGAAATCCGAAAAAAGTACGACATAATTAGCGAAAGGAGTTTCGGAATTAACTGTATAACAATCTACCATCTATTTATTTTCCGAATGCTCAACCTTATTCAATGCAAAAACCAGAGTAGCTGGTTGTTCTGTAAGTAGCACTAAAAGCACTAAATGTTTAGACTACAAAGACTTCTGGAAAAAGGCAGTAGTTAGAAAAAACAGACATTATGTTGCGGAGCATAGATAGTGATGGTGTCCAGAAACCAAATGTTTGCGAGCTCAAGTCGCCAGCGCTCTGCCATTAGCAAGATGAACTTTTTTAAAATAGCCATAGCTTAGTTAGCTTTAAATAATGAACCTCTGGCAGGTTAATTACACAAATGATAATGTTCCGACCATTTGAAAACTGGGGAGGAAGTTTGTGATCGAATGTGTTTTAGTTTTTTTTTCCCACGCAAAATCAGCTACCACAAATAATCAGTGGAGAGAAATGAGTGTTTATCACTACAAAGCCCTTACAGTCTTAATTTTGCGAATTTTGGTTTTTCGTCTTAATTCGAGCGAATAAAACGAGCAATCAGGTTTACAATAGCTTATTTTAAAACGTAAATACTTAGTTTTACTCGAGTAACCTTAGTTTTTTTGAGTATATTAGCGCCTTTTTGGAATCAAAAACTTCAAAAATTCACAAAAATGCAAAAAAAAATTGAAAAAATTTTTGAATAGCTTTTTGATTTTTTTTTTCGTTTTTGTAGTCATTTTTCTGCTAAAATGCTTTTTTGATTTGCTTGTTTCACTATGACTGTGGAATATGCCGAATCTCTAGTTTTTCGTTCAGCTCCTTTTATCACACCACGCCGAAAAAACTACACTAACTGGAAATTAGGAAGAAAAAACTACAATAATTTTTGTTGTATTTTTTAAAAACTATAGTCAAATTTTTTTGTGCTTGCTGCACATTAACCAGCTTTCCTTGTTGTTCCGACCATTGTTAAGGGGGAGAAACTTTGTATTAAAGTGTTTTAGCTTTCTTTCTTTTTTTTGTTTTCTATGCAAATCAGCTACCACGAATTATCATCGGAGAGAGTTGAGTGATATTTTTCATTACAAAGCCCGTACAGTCGTAATTTAAACGACATCCTAAAATTTGAAGAAAAAAAAAACTTTCAGTGTCGGTAAAAACGGTTTGAAATTTTTGGTTTTTTGTCTTAATTCGAGCGAATAAAGCGAGCGATCAGGCTCACAATAGCTTTATTTAAAACGTAAAAATTTAGTTTCTCGAGTAAAGTTAGTTTTTTGATTGTTTTAGCGCTTTTTGGAATCAAAAATTTCAAAAAATAAAAAAAAAACATTTTCTGAACATCTGTTTGATTTTTTTCGTTTTTCTAGTTATTTTTCTACAAATATTGTTTTTTAATTTGCTTGTTTTACTATGACTGTGGAAGCTATAGTTGTGCGCTCAGCTCCTTTTATTACACCACGCCGAAAAAAAACTACACTAATTTGAATTTTGCAAGAAAAAACTACTAAACTTTGCTGTATTTTTTCAAACTAAGGTCGGATATTTTGTGCTAACTGCCCAGTAACCGACTATCGTTGTTGTTCCGATCACTGATAAGAGTGAAACTTTTAGTTTTTTATTTTCGTTTTCAACGCAAAAATCAGGCACCATAAATAATCATCGGATTGATAAAACACCCGATGATTATTTTAAAACGTAAAAACTTAGTTTTACTCGAGTAACGTTTTCACTCAAAAAAAGTAAAAGGTAAAAACTTAGTTTACGCGCGTATTTCAGCGGTTTTTTGAACGATATATCGTAGTAAATCCCTTACAATCGTAATTTGAACAATATTAAATAATTCAAAAAAAACAGCGTCGAGAAAAACCGGTGAGAAATTTTTGATATTTTGTCTTATTTCGAGCGAATAACGCGAGCGAGCAGCCTTATTTTAATGGCTTAAAAGCTTACAATAGCTTAATTTAAAACGTAAGAACATAGTTTACTCGCTTAACTTAGTTTTTTTTAGTATTTCAGCGGCTTTTTGGAATCAAAATAATCGAAAATTCAAGAAATTTCAAAAAAAATTGTTAAAATCTTTTTGTTGGTTTTTCTAGTAGTTTCTCTACAAAAATTGTTTTTCAATTTGCTTGTTTCACTATGACTGTCGAAAATACCTAGGCCCAAGTTTTTTGTTCAGCTCCTTTTATCACACCAGGTCGAAAAAAAAAAACAAAAACAAAATTTGAAATAACTTTTTGTTGCATTTTTTTTTACACAGAGGCAAAGCGCAGCTTCGCACCACTTGCGATACAGCACTAACATAAAATAAAAACATGAAAAGCCGAAAAAGAAAATTTCGAAAAAAACTAGGTCATACAAACTTTCATATGTCTTGATAGGATTTCATTCTAGGCAAACATGCTAGACACTTGAATTTTATATCAGCAACAACGGAACAAAATTTTTAAAAAGAAACAAAGCCGACACTCTTTGAGCAGACACCAACTGAGCCGAAAAAAAAATTTATGAATTTTTTTTGAAATCTTTCAAGTCCACCCTGGAAATTAGAATGAACAACATTTGCACTAACAACTACAAGGAAAATTGTCTACAGCACAAGCAGAATCCGTTGTGGCAATTTAGCCGACAAAACCTAAGCGAACAAACGAAAAACAAACAACTCATTTTTCTCGGAACTTTTTTTTCAATTTCCTTGATACTGAAAAAAACAAGATCCGGCCACGACTCGAAACCTAGACCATAGCGTGCAGAGGCAACTGCTTTACCTCCAGACCAAGGCGAAACAACCTGGAACATATTAAGAGAAGGTAAGAAGAGAAGTGAAGAGAAGATCAGAAGAGAAGTGAAAAGAAGTAATTCAACTGATTTTGTTAAACTAAATATTAACCCGAAAAAGTCTATATTCTCGTTTGATTACGCTTGCTTATCCCAAGCGTAAAGACTATGGTCGAAACATTCTGTGCTACTTGCACAGTAACCAGCTATCCTCGTTTTTTCGTAAATGTTTTGTCAATCTCGGTTTTTTAAATTGGAGATACGCAGGCATTTTAGCTTCTTTGCTAACAATAACTTATATAACAGAATTTGTATTTCATACGCAAATCAAATTTCGCAAAAACAGCTTTAGCAAAAACCACAAGACTTTATGATGAATTTAGAAAAGTGAAATGTATAACATTATTAAATTTAACGAATGACTTTTGCTGAAATCTCCCGAGAAGTAAGACTACATTTACGACAATCTGTTTCCGACACAGGAAAAAATTGTTGCAATTTTTAACACAAATGTTAAAAATATCATGTTAACGATGTATCACTCCAACCTGTCTGAATTTGCGTGAAAAGCAAAACAATGACTCGATGTCCCTCCACTTTTTCTGCGGTCAGGTCAGAATGACAACAGTAGCGGGCTCCAGAGCAAATAGCACAGTACGCTCTGACAACGATCATAAAAACCAATCAAGTCTGGCGTTGCGTTCGGAGCAGCAGTGCATTAAAATAAGACTCATATTTAGATTTAAGAAGGCGTAGAATAGTGAAAATTATGAAACACAGGTCCTAACCCTAAGCTGCACATCGCAGATACAGGCAACATCGCGACAGAAACAAGCTCCCACGATTAATTACGAAAACCATGAAAGAAAATCAGGTTCAATGCACAAAGGGATCTTAAGATTACGGGATTCGAACATTGGACTATCGCATCGGACCAAGAACCAATACTGTCCAACAGCTTAACAAAAATTGCTGGATTATGCTGTTTTCAAATATGCTGTTTTCAAAAACAAGACTGCAGCGAATTCGCTTTAATTAGGTAGGCAGATAATTGTTCATGCTATTTGAAATGAATTTAATTCTTCACACGCACTAAACACAAATGTAACACAAAAATGAACATGGAAAATTGCAAATTTAGTTAAATCAAAATTGGAATAATACTAGAACAGAAGCGCTGGTAGAGCAAAACAAGAACATAGCCAACAGGCAGTTGGAAAAGAGTCAATGAACGCAAGTAAATCGAAAAAAATGACTTGTTTCTGAAAAGTCAGTCCTTCAAGCTTTTTGAATTTTCAGAACAATTTAGGTTTGACACTTTTTTGATAAAATTAACCCACTTTGAAATAACTGGATCATTATGTTAAACTTTTTTGCTGGGAACTCTGATACTTAAATTCCACTTTCAAAATTAGAAGTCGATTGCGTTTTTCGTGAACTTTATTTTTTGCAGTTCGAAAATGGAGTTTGTTTTCCTTTTAAAAAAGTAAAAAAAATTAACCTTAAAAAACTAAATGTCAAGCCGCAAAAAAGTAAATTTGAGCCTGAACAAATTTTAGGACTTCTCTGAAAAAAAAAATCATAGAGACCTAAATAAGATTCTACAGACAAAGACTCTTAATAAGTATTCGGACAAAATTTTTAAAATTTATCAATAAGTTATCGCCTGATAATATTTCTGAAAAACTTATAAAACATGTGGAATCTTTTCGAGATCTGAAAAACAACTGAAAAAGTCAAAAATTTTCAATGACGCCGCACTCAATGCCATATGAGCTTCCTTTAACAACTGGTATGCGCTCTCAGATAAAACTACACACGATATCCCGTTTCCCTTGTTGGCTGTCAAGAGAACATGCTATTTCTAGTCTTCTGAATAAAACAGTCCGTTGCACAACAAAAATCCAGTCCTTATTTCAAAAATTTTCCTCTCTTTTGAATTTAGGAATCAAAAAGTTTCTTCAAACGACTTTTTATCAGTGACAGGGTATCAAGAGATAAAATTTGTGCGCAGTGAATTGAGGAGTACTACAATTACGGGACATAGAAGGTACATAGAAGTTAACTTTTAATTTTCAAACGTTGAAATAAACAAAAAATTTATTTCTTTTTACGTCTCTGCCGTTTTCTGCACAACTACAAAAGATTCACGGTAGAAATTTGGATATATGATGGATGAAACTGTTTATCAGAACATAGCCGGTTATAAAGCCGTACAAAATTGTTTTCAAGCGTTGTTTGGCCATTCAATTAGAATGCTTCACATAGATGTTGTTAGTGCTAGAGCTAGGCCATTATATAGGTTTATTTTCGCTTAAAAGAGAAGTTAAAATTTTCTTAAGCTCTTAGACAGAAATTGACTGAAAATTCGCCATTATATTTTAAAAAATGCCAAAATCTGAGTTATTTATTATTTCGTATCTGAGAAGTTTTTTGTATTTAATTTAGAGAAAAAGAAAAGATGGCCTAGCTTAGATACTTGGCTTTTCAACCAATACTTCCAAGTCCAAGTTTTCAATCTGCTTCAGCTGTTTATGGAGATTTTGTGGCACTAAGAACACCTCTCTAGCTGAACGGCCAAATGACGCCTGAAAACAATTTTTTACGGTTTCTAATCCGGCTATTATCTGATAAACAAATTTCAACTGTGAATCTCTAGTAGTTGCACAGAAAACGCCCAGAACGTGAAACAACCGAAACGCTCCGACTACCAGATCTTTATTGAAAGTTTTAGGCGAGGTCATACGTTATTTCTGTCCATAAAATTTTCTTCATTTTTTTAAGCGTAAGTAAGTTTTCTGTCTTCTGTTGACAAACTAAAAAAATAGCACGTAAGCGGTCAAATGTGGTTTCATATTCAAGCCCTGTTAGACGTGATTCGTGTAAGAAAAACTGGTCTCCGTCAGACTCCAGCTTAGCAAAGCGCACATAATATCTATTAAATTATAGGCTACTATGGTCTTCAGGTTTATCGGATGCTGGTTTATTCCCAATGAAACGAAAAGAAAAAAATTGAATTTCAATTTCTAGCAACTGTGGTGAGAACACTTGTGTTACTTCGACAACAACTGGCTGCTCTTGTTTCAGTTGGCTTTTACTTATTGCTAAGTGATTAGTTTTATCAAAGAAATTTATTGAGAAATGTGCTTCAACAAGAAGTTCCGAAATGCACATTTTGATAGTTATTAACTAAAATGAAGTCCCCATGTTTAATATCAACCGTGCCATGTCTTCTCTTGCTTTTATTTTTATCTTTATTTGCATAATGTTTATCTGCTAAAGTCATTAAGAAACTTCACCAACCTTTCCTTGTATGTTTATTTTGCTAATATATTCCAACAAACCGAATTGAATTTCGCTTGATAAAATCAGTAATTTTGCTAGGTAAAAAACTTTGCTAGGTAATATCGGAGATAAAATTTTAAAAATTGAAGTACCTCGAATTTCTTGGATTCTTTGGACGGCTTGATCGAAATTCATGCCAGATGGTTTATCGAAACCTGAAATAGCAACTCCTTTCAACTTTTTTTCCAAACATTCAATGATTTCGACGTCAATAAATTGTGAGCATCAATCCCAATCAAAAACAGTTCAATAAACGATATAATTATTCACGTCCAGATACTCACGAAAGTTGAAAGGTAACTTCGAGTAAACTAAAAAGACAGACATCTATTTTTGCTGGTTTATTTCAACGAGAGAAATTCGCATCACCATCACGGTGATGACTTGTAAAAAAAATAGGAATAACAACATACAAAATGTAATAAAAATACAACATTTTGGTATCTTTTGATAAAATTATTTTATAGAGCAGGGAACAAAATAACACGTTGGCCCTCTCACTGACGAACTGGTGCGTCAAAGCGGTCATGAAGCTGTTTATTTTCAATGTCTTCAAGTGCAGTTTAAACAAACGCCTTTGTCGTCATTTTATTTTTTCGTTATTACTCACAGTTCATCACACTAGGCCGCTAAGCAAGGGGTGCGTATTCATATGAACTGAAAAACCAGTTGCATAGGCAACCAACCGGCCATGATTACGAAAAAGTAACGATTACTTTATTGTAATGTAATTTAATTTTTATTTTTTAGAAAGATCGCTGCATTTATTACTTGGTAATTTGAGTTTCCATGATTGGAAGCATTTTCTCAATAGGTAAAAAAACTCTCAAAACTCTTTATTATTGAAAACTCGGGTAATAACAGATCGCTGCAGCAGAACTCCCAAAATTGCCTAGTCATAGACAGTTTCTTAGGTACGTTAATTTCGACCAACTTCTTGAGTGATTTCGCAAGCTGGCTATCACTATATAAAAAAAATGTAAGAACAGCTTATTGGCATTTTTAAACTAAATTTGTTGGTTTCATAGTCGAATTTTGTGAGATCTGAGCTTAGCTTGATTTTTGCCATTCGTTCTGCAAATGACTCAACAGGAAGCATTACATGGTTCAAATTTTATCCAGGCAGACCAATTGGGCGACAAATAGTCCCAAAAAAGCATCATCAGTGCTTAAAGTAACGAGCGTCGAGCGCTTAGAGTTTCGGTACTTCACAATTGCCGTATCACTGAACTCTTGGTTTGAGGCCTACCATAATCCACTCTTGTTGCATAGAATTCTAAGCCCAGAAGCATGGCCGAAATTATCATGTACAAAACAAAACCACCAAAGCGTTTCGCCGTAATGGGCGGTACAAATCCACGAGGGAAACAACGACTCATTTATTTAATTAAGGTTTATACTACCTAGCATCAACTATTATGTGTATTTCACGTGGGACTAAAAGAAGTCTTGTAAAAAGACCAGAGAAGGTATCTTAAAAATCTGCATGCTTTTTAATTTTATCAAGTTCATAATCAATTTAGAATTTCTCCGAGCATACAATCGCAAAATCAAATTTCTTACTTTCTTTTTTGCTTGAGCGTGATTTTCCGTCAATTTCGTCGTACCCAATTTCGTCCAAGAGAGGCGCAGACGTCGCACGTTTCACACGACGACTTCCCTGTCAAAAGATATCCAAGTTTAACTAGTTAACTTCAACGAAAACAAAACAAATTTTTCAGAATGGCATTGAGCTTTTGGTTGGAATTCTACAACAGCATAAGTTCAGAAATAACTTTTGAAAAGAGGAACACATGTCATCGATTAAAATCTACAATAAGTTAAAATAATGACTGGAAGTTAGCTACTTATTCCCAACACAGCTGAGGGAAACTTTGTTTGGGGGAGCTTTTCCTAGGAAATGAGAAACTACAAATAAACGCCAGGAGGGTTCGACTGACACAGCTCCTCTCCCACTCGAAAAAATGCGAAAATAACTGTGGGCGAAACACTTTAGGGCAATTCGCAGCAACTATCATTTCTTGTTTCCTTACAGGTCTGCTTGAAGTTACTGGATGATCGTCCGATGCTATTTCTTCTTCATCAGTCTCGTATCTGAAAAAGAACAACATAAGTTCCTACATAAAAAATTAAAAGTCAGAAGGAATCTTTCCGAGGCAGTGACGTCCATTTGAATAAATTCACACATTCATTTGAATTTATTTCAATGAGAAACTTAAGCAAACAAAAATTGAAGTAGTAAAAAGTTCAAGTCGATTTCCCAAGTCAAGCGATCGCATTTGGAAATTTTTAAATCCTTGTTTCGTTTAATTTGCAAATTATAAAAAAGGGCTATAATTTTTCTTGAGTAGGAAAATCAAATTTTATACAGAGGCGAAGCTGAGCTGCGCACCACTAGCGATACAACACAATCATAACAAAACTTAATAAGTCGAAAAAAGCAACCAATTCTTTCGATTGAACCCTTCATTTCGATAGGATAGTTTGATAGGATCGTTTCTATGAAAATAAAAAAGTTTCTAAAAAACGGTCAAAAGTTTAAAAACCTCTTTTTTCGAAATCTTTCACTTTTTTTACAACGAGAAGGTCGTGGCCGCTTAAACAATTTCATATCAAAACAGGGTCTCACACCTTTTTGGGTAAAAATATCTGGGCGTAGCCGCTTGAGCAGAAATCCACAAAAATTGTAGTTTCGATTGACTGCAAATGCTCAAGATTAGAGAGTCCCATTTTTGAAAAAGAAATTAAATAGTTTTAAATAGTAAAAAGACAGTACTAAACCAATTATTGTCTCTTCCGAGGGCCATAATGTGAGCAACCCATAACGCCTTCTATCCATTGAACACAAAATCTCAGATTTGAGAGTAGTTTTTGAGAAAACCAAAAAAACACATAAATATGGGTCGAATATTCCCCCCACAGACTTTTTCGAAGGTTAAAGACAGTGTGGTAAAGTGCAAAGCTACAAAAGGATTATGCAGGCACACAGGGAAGTAGGAAGTAAGCGCTTTTTAAAATGATATGCTTTTTTGAATTTCGGTAGAGTAGTTTTCAACAGAACTAAAATTTCTGTTGAAACGTGAAAAAAAATTCGGAAGCAACTCAAAAAAGTAAAAATAAAAACCCAATCCCATTCATTTTCATTTTGTCGAACAGAAATTTTTTGCCGTCGAAATTAGAAAATAGAAAGTGACTAAGCCGATGCAACATCAGCCGAAACAATTTAAACAAAAAAAACTTCAAAATAAGTTATTCAAAATAAGCCGTAGTAAAATGACAAATCACACAACTTTCAAATATGCTTAAAGAGAACAAAATCAAAATAAAATCCATGCTTTACAAGTTAGGTGGTTAAAAAGTAGTACTAGATAAAAAATGATAATTAAAACTAGAAGTGAAGATCCTTTAGAAAAGATTCTCTAGAAGTGATCCTGTGGACAAAGTTGGTTACGGAAAAATATCTAGTGCCCGATTGCAACACCCTTGCTTATCGCAAGGGTAATCAACATATTTTTATTTTTGAAATAAAAAATTCCTGATTCAATTGTTTTTGATTTGATATTTAAATTTTTGTGTGAGTTGTGGTCCCCCAAGCCTGATCTGGAAACCAGCCTTCTCAACGGAAATCACTGTCCAAAGGCTTGACTTTAAGAACCTCGGTGCTCCAGTTTCCGACAACCAAGAGTATGTTCAGCAAATGTTTTCCAGGCGTATCGAGAATTGCAAGGAACTCATGGAGTCTGTTCGCTTGCTCGAAGACATCCAGTTGTAGCTTCACCTTTTTCGCAGCTGCGCTGCGCTTCTTAAGATCATCTTCAGCCTTCGGACCTGCGACCCCAGTTCCGTCTCCTCGCCCCTCTCAGATTTCGACAGTGCTGTTCACAGTGCTTTTGAAGCACTAACCGGTTCCGCTGTTTCCGAGAGTCAACGTTTGTAGTCTTCGCTGCCAGTTTCGAAGGGAGGCATTGGGCTGCCCATCGCCTCCAAGTTCTGCCATGCCGCGTTTCTAGGCAGTTATGTCCTCGCTGACCAGATAGATCAAAAACAACTCCTCCCAGCAAGCCCCCCGGCTCTGTGCAAAACTGTGTCTCCGCCCTCCAAGGCCACAATCTAAGTATTCAGTCTGTCCCGTGTTCTTTCGCCCCTGAAGCTCAAACTAAACTCACCGACATCCTCAATGGCACCAGCTGACAAGAGTGTCTTGCTTTTGCTACCACGGAACGGGAAAAAGCCAGGTTGTTGTCCTGCTCTCTGGCCAATAGTGGCGACTGGCTTTCGGCTGTCCCTCTGAAGGCCCCCGGTTTCTCCTTGTATGCCGTTGAGTTCAAAGTCGCCTTGTGTTTCCTCTGTTAAGCGAAAAGTCCTCATGCCCTAAGTGCTGCAAGAGCTTGGATGTCTTCAGCGACCACGTCCTCGCCTGTTCCTCTGGAAGTGACCGCATCCACTGCCACGACCGTTTACGCGACACTAATTACAACCTTGCCTCTAAACCCATCCGTTCTCCAGTCCTTGAAAAAACCCATCTCACAGAATCGCGTTCTCGTCCAGGTGACAATTTCCTACCTCGCTGGTCTTGTGGTCGTCCCGCCGCTCTGAGCGCCACCGTTACAAGTTCCCTGCAGCCTGCCACCCTCTCTCATGCTGGAACTTCTGCCGCTTACGCACTGGAAGTTTCTGACGACCGAAAGATAGCCAAGCATGCCTCAGCCTGCAATGAGGTAGGTGTCACTTTCATTCCTCTACCCGCTGAGGCTCTCGGTGGCTCTCGAAGAATCTCTGCCGTGTCGCCTCTATAGCTGCCTTACGCTCCGCCAACCGTGACCTGCAACTAAACTTTTACAGGAACTGTCCGTCGTTTTGCAAAAAGGTAACGCGACATTACTGCTGGCCAGGTATTGGTGTTAACGGTCCAACTCCTAACTGCCCACTCACTATTTTCTCACCTGAATTTTCTTAAATTGAGCAGTTATACTCGGGTTACTGATCTATACAACTTCGGATTCCTGAAACTTGTTTCAAATTTATTCTCTATTCAAAAAAAACTTTGTTGCGAAATTAATATTTTATTTTTAAAATCGATACTTCAAATCTGCACGGAAAATTGAGAATTTTTTTTTCATTCAAATGGAAATGACTGGATGGGATGATTCCAGGCTTTAAAAATGGTTGGTACTAAACGGATGCATGATAAGTATGGGCTAGGCGGCAACATACTCAGTATCTTGTCATACCAATAAGTTCGACTCTTTGAACGCCCAGATATTCCTCTCATTAGCCATCACACAAATCCAAATATGACACAAACACATATTTCATTTTAAAAAAAGGATTAAAATAATTTATCTCACGAATCAAGTCTCGGACGCTCCGATGAGTCCTCCACTATTGGCGAATCAGTTGCCGCAGTGTCGGAGTACATGGAGTTAATGGACATGTTGAGACTGGTCGGACCACCCCGAGATTCTGAAGAACCACTGCCCCTCGTCAGATTCGTACACTCATCCTGACCAGTGGGGAAAGGGATGTGAAACGCAGAGGACCCATTGCGCGATGAAGAGGCATTTTGAGCTGAATCAGTATATCATGAACACAGCAAAAAGTAACGACTAACAAGATTTTAGCGGCACCGAATAACTTAGACCATCTCCTAAGTAAATATTGCCAATGTTATAACAATTTAATAGTTTTATTAAATTGTACAGAGATACCAGTAGCACCTCATTTCATCTTGTGTAAAGGGTGACTTGACTGACTCTCGACTGTAAATAATTCCTAAAAGCCATAGTCCCAAAATCTTTTCAAAACGACATCTGCCAATTCCGCAAAAAGTTTTCAACATTTTTCATTGCAGCTAGAATTAGGACAGAAAAGTCAAAATTTTAAATATCACTACAAAGAGAAATCATTGTGACATAATACTTGACCCTCTTACCGTATTTTTTGGTCAAAGCTCAATGACTTTGGCGCTAAAAACACATCGGACAAAGGACTTTTCCACTGCATAATCAGAACAAAAACAAGTGTTGTTATTATTACTGTTATGTGCTACTTGCAATATATCTGAATTGTTGGCATTGAAAACGGGTTATAAAGAAAAACAAAAAAAAACAGTTCATTCTTTTTTTTTGCAAATTGCGTCTTTTTTTTTGTTCGTCGTGGAATGAGTGGCTCTAAACGAAAATGTAGCAGCTCGACATTAATAGTAATTTAGGTAAATTTGACAGCAAGTTTCTACACTTTACTCCCAAAAAGGCGCTAAGACATTTCGTCAACTAATTTTTTTTAGAGTGGAAATAAATTTTTACGCCTTACCTTGATTTAAAGACTATTTTTATAAGACCCTTAAAAATTTATTATATTCCCATTATACGCTCGAAATTTAAAAAAAAAGAAAATTTATATCTCGGGAAATTAAAAGCATTTGATCCGTCACCTTTGGAGTCAAGATTTATAATCCATGAGAGTACCTCGGCAGCACCTCACTGCACGTTTGGGAATTTCAAACTTTGTGAAATTTTTGAAAACTTATATCTTAGTTTTCTGAAAGTTTTTGAAAGAATCATAGAAGCAATATCTCAGATACTAAAACGATTTGAGCAGTCGTGTTTGGTGACAAGATTTGCAACGTCTGAGAATACCTTCACAGCACCTCACCCTATAGAGTTGTGAATTTCAATTTTTGTCAAATTTTAATATCTGGGTTTTTGAAAGCTTTTTGAAAAAGTGTAAAAAGAATTTGAGCAGTCGAAATTGGAGGCAAAATTTGCAACGCCTGAAAGTACCCTGACAGCGCCCCACCATTGGGTTGCTAATATCAAAATTTGTGGTATTATTAAGAAATAAAAACCTTGACTTTTCTGAATGCCATTATTTTTTGTCGCATTGAGAAAATTTGGATGTGGACGCTTACACAGGGGAGCTTTGCTCAAACATTTCTCTTTTAATTGAACCCAAAATCTTAGATTTGGCATGGTTGTTTTCAAGACAAGTCAAAAAACTGCAAAAAAAAACGTTCAAAAAACCAAAGTTAACTTTTTCGAGGATCATAACTTCTTCTGTAAGAAAATTGGGCGTAACCGATTATGCAGATGAGCGTCCCACATCTCGTTCTACTCATTGAAACCATTATCTCAGATTCATGAGGGTAGTTTTTGAGAACTCATTTTAAAAACGTCATATCTCGGAAGCTAAAAGGATTTAAGAAGACATACTTAGAGGCACGATTTGCTACTCTTAAAAGTACCTTGACAGCACTCCATCATAGGGATGCTAATATCAAACTTTGTGAAGTTTTTCCAAATCTAAATTTTTTTGAAAATTTTTCAAGATTCATTAAAAGGATTTCAGCAGTCATTTTTGCAGGCAAGATTTGCAACTCCTGAAACTACCCTGACAGCACATCACCATTGGATTGCTCATATTAAAATTTGTGGTGTTTTTGAAATCCAAAAATTTTTTTAAAAAAATTTCAAAAAATCATTAAAAAGTCATATCGGAAGCCAAAAGGATTTGAGCAATGATTTTTCGACGCAAGATTTGCAACGCTTGAAAGCACCTCAGATATACAAGACTTGACAAAAGTTAAAACTCTTAACTCTATACAAAAGTTGAAACTCTTACCTCTATACTCTGACGTGCTTACAGGCGTTGCAATTCTTACCTCCAAATATCATTGCATTTTTGTCAAGTTTTGTGTATCTAAACTCTGAAAATTTTTGAAAAAATATTTAAAAAAACGTCAAATCTCGGAAACTAAAAGAGTTTGAGCAGTCATATTTTGGGAAAAGTTTAGCAACCCCTGAGAAAGCCCTGACACACCCAACTACAAGGCTGAAAAATTCGAATTTTATGATTTTTTCAAACTAAAATATATGACAATTTTCTAAAAAATCACAAAAACTCTTGCACATCGTTACCTTAATAGATTTGGGTATTCAAATTGAAGGCCGAATTAGCAAAACCTGAGGTGCCCTGAGAGAATCTCACTTTTGGTTTAGAAGTTTCAAGCTTTGTGAAACAAACACAAGCTGGAAAATCGAAAAATTTCTTAAGCATTGCAATAAACTATACAACTTAGAAGTGCAAAATTTTTTTAGTTGAATATGCAGAAAACAAGAGGCCCAGCTAAAGCTGGAGGTTCCAGTTTCTTAATTTTTATTTTTTTGTACTGATGCGGGATGAGACAAGTAATTTTAGAAACTTTAAAATTGGGCTTGTTGCTCTATTAAAACATGAGTGAAAATTTTAGACATTTTGGATTTTTCCAGACATTTGTTTTGTAACAAATGTAAGGTGTAGCATCTGAAAATTCCCCTAACCTGTTGCCTGGATTAAACCCTCAATATCAGATTGAGTTATTTTTGAGACGTCAAAAATTTCAAAAAACTGACAAGAAATAAAAGCAATGTTTTTTCTGAATGCCATAAATTTCAGTTTGAGAAAAATTGGACGTGAACGCTTACACAGAGAAGCTTTGCTCAAATTTTTCGGTTTTATTTGAATCCTAAATCTCAAATTTGGCGCGATGGTTTTCAAGACAAGTCAAAAAACTGCAAAAAAAAACTATCAAAAAACTAAAGATAATTTTTCCGAGGATCATAAGTTTTTCTGCAAAAAAATAGGGCGTAACCGATTATGCAGAGGAGCTTCCCACAACTCGTTCTACCCATTAGAACCAAACTCTCAAATTCATAACTTTGCGTGTAACCGAATTTAGGTGTTTGAGCTTATGCAGAGAAGCTTGTAACAACCCGTTCTACTTATTCAAACCAATATCTCAGATTTGGATGGGTAGTTTTTAAGAAAAGTCAAAAATGATTGAAAAAACGATCGAAAACTCACAATTACGACTTTTTCGAAGGTCATAACTTTTCTCCTTAAAAATCTGAGCCGGTAAAGCAGGGGAACTTTCCAAATCCGAAATCAAAAACTCAGAATTGAAAAGGTAGTTCTCGAGAAGCGTCAAAAAAATCCAAAACGGTCAAAAAAATTAAGTTTCAACTTTTCCGTCTGCCATCTGTTTTGAGTAAAAAAATTGGGCGCAGCAACTTATGCAGGAGGCAGGGGAATTTTCCAAAGTTTTTGAATTGGGACTGAACTTATAACCTCAGATTTGTGAAAACAGTTTTCGAGAAAAGTCAGTTTTCAAAAAAATCAAAACTTTGAGTTTTCCGATGGCGTTGACTTTTTGTGTTCAAAATTTCTGCGTAATCGTTGATGCAGGGGGGCTTTCCTGAATCCGTTTTACCCATTGAAAACAAAAAACTCAGATTCTATAGCGAAGGTTTTGAGAAAACTCAAAAGGTCAAACTTAAAAAAAACTACACGAAACAAGGTCAGCACTTTATGCCTGAAATTTTTTGAAAATTTTTTCGAATTCGTTTTAGCTCCACTAATTTCATCTTCGAACGCCCCTAAAAATCGCCCCTAAAATCAAGTGGTATTAATCAATTTGTGCGTAATCGTTGATGCAGGGGGCTTTCCTGAATCCGTTTTACCCATTGAAAACAAAAAACTCAGATTCTATAGCGAAAGTTTTGAGAAAACTCAAAAGGTCAAACTTAAAAAAAAAACTACACGAAACAAGGTCAGCACTTTATGCCTGAAATTTTTTGAAAATTTATTCGAATTCGTTTTAGCTCCACTAATTTCATCTTCGAACGCCCCTAAAAACCTATAAAAACATCATTTCGCATGCGTTTTCGAAATTTAAGACTTCACCGTAAGCTACCGGCTATAGTACAGACTAGTGTTAAATACCTACCTTCATTGAAATCATTGAAATCAAAATGTGTATCCGAGTCCCCTTGCAGTGTCACAGCCGAGTCGCGATTGTCTTCATTTTGATCGACTGATTGTGTCGTCCCGATTTGATCCGAGCCTCCAAAAGTAACAGGCACTGAAGTACAGGCCGATAGTCGTATGTATAATTCGCCGTTGACTTCTTTGCAATTAACATCCTCGGAGAAGTCCGAAAACCCGACAAAAATTTGAGGGGGTTTGTGCTCAACTGGTTCGAATACATCTGTGCTCTGATCCTCCCAGTTCTGATTTCGGTTCGCCATAATTGACAATGAAACGGCAAGATTTACAGTGTAATTGACGCCTCTTTACAAAGTTTATTACGTTTCAAACTTAACATATTAATCATTCTTTGAATTAACAATGTGATTTAATAAATTGAAAGTTGTGCTCTGAATGATACAACGGTACACAGACTTCGATAAATACTGCCGAGAGATTCTTGATAGTTGGTGTTGCGTGTTCAATTCTCTATAACTATGATGGTCCAAAGAGCCTGCCAAATAAAGACAAGTACATGCGATCCTTAGATCAACAAATAAGATTAGCTTCCTATTAATCAAGTGGTCGTGTAGGACTTTTTCGATTGAACTTTTTTATCAACGGGATTTCATAGGTTTATTATTAATTTGAAAGGAATCAAAAATAAAGGCAAACTAACAAAACTCCATAAGTGAAGAGTTTAGGAGTTAAAATCAGAAACTTCAAGAAAAAGTTGCAACGAAATTAAGAAAACCATAAAACCCTTAAAATTTAAAAAATTAGCTAAAACATTTTGAAGCCGTATATAGAAGCTCTTTGTGTGCACCAAAAATGGATTTTTAGAAAGCGTCCAACGCTTAATCAAACCTCTACGTCCAATGTACTTGCATTATAGCCATTACTAAGATGGTTCAAAATTTAACGTTTGAGCAACCACCGATTCGACGTTTGAATATGACTGTTTGCTCATGTATTATTCGGTTCATAGTAAGGCGGATTGATCTTTATGTAATTTGACTGCATATTCATGGTGTTTAAACCAAACACTCAGGTTTCACAGAGTTGTGCCAATGTAAATACGATTGACGACGCTTGTGATGACATAACAAAAACAATACTTGCCCATTTTCTTGAACTGATTTTAAGAAAAGAGGCAAGTGAATTGTTTTTGTAGACATAAAACTGCTCGCATTTCTAATACCACTTTTATCCGTCAGATCAAATTAGGACTATTTTTTATTTTACTTTTAAGTTGAATAAGAAAAAAAATTATGAAAACCAGAACAAGGCCTAAGTCTTCTCAAATCATATAAAATAATAATTTATTAATACTAATTTTTTTGGTTAGAGTATCTCAAACCAGAATAAGAGCGGCCTATGGGGCAAAGAGACATAAGTTGAAAACTTACTAGCAATTTCACCCTAAATATCGAAAAATGCCTCACCAGTTCGACAATTGTCTGGTCACACATTTTGAAACCTGATCTTTACTTGCTTTGTTGAGCCAGGATTGAAGTTTAAGATCAGTAAGCAAAACAAGCAGCTTAAAACAAAACTACTGACACAATTCTGGAAAAAATCGAAGAAATTTATGGTAAAACGCCATTAGATGCAATTAAATATCTGAAACACCACCATGCACCTTCCTATTTGGATCCGTTTCTTGCTGTTCATCTCAACCAAGCAATCGAATCATCAGAGTTCAACTAAATTAATGGAAGCTCTCGTCAAACGACACATCAAGAAAACGAGCGATAAATTTGATACTCTACGAACTTCTGATGGGGTCAATTTTAACGGTAAAACGAGCTTTACTAGTTTTTTTGATTTTGTATGACCATTTTAAAAAGTTGACTTCGTTGACTGATAAGAAACTCTAAAAAATCAGAGACAAAGTTTCAATCATTCTACCAACCTCTCACTCTAACCAACTGCGCGAGAGTGCCTTAGCTAGCTTGATCTTGTTGCTCACTGAAATTGATGAAAGTTGAGAGATGAAGATTGCTTTTTATCTCGGTTTTCTGTGGCAGTTTCGGCTCAATCTATGCGGGAACACAAAAACTGCGCAATTAAATTAAACTAGCGAGTGACGCACCTCCGGTGCTGCAAAGAGATGAATGAACGTGAAGTTTGCTGATATAAGAAACATGAATTTGTCTCAGGTTAATTCTCGCAAAAAGCGGTAAAATCAATTATTAATGCCTTGATTTGTTGCGAACTAATTATTAATAGAATTGACTTCTAAATGAACTTAGGACAATTCATGATTATGCGTCAACCACCTTGAATTTCTGGCGCCCAACTTTTTTTTCGAAATCATCCCCCCTCGAGGGTCCGTATTGGTCGAGGCAATGGCTTTGACGTCTACTTCCTTGTTATCTGCGTCCTTGATCACAATCTTGGATCTAGGCTTGGGGGCAGGCGGAGCTGCTGCTGTCAAACTGGGAGAGGATGCTGGAGAAGGATTGGTTGCGTTGTTATCCGACTGGGCAACTGAAGTACTAGGCAATGACGCGTCCGAGTGGTGGACTGAAGTTGTCGATGCGCCACTTGCCGATGCTGTGACGCCGGCCGTCACGCTTATGTTGCCCGATGTTATGGAACTGTTGTATGAGTGGTGCTGATGAGTGTTGATATTTTCTTGCAGCTGTGCTGCCATGTTGGCCGATCTAGTTACCATTCCGTTGCTCTGTTGGTGTTGATAGACATGCGACATTGCGTTGGCCGCTGGTCCGTTTGGATTCGATTGCTGTTGGAACTGTCCGTACATGCCAGGGTGCATTCCACCGCTTTCCAGGTGTCCGTTGGCAGCTGCGGCGGCCATGTGTTGCTGGTAATGGGCTACCATTTTCTCCGGTAGCTGAGGTCTGTTAATGTGTCCATGCATGTTCACAGCCTGCTGCTGTTGCATAAAATGCATGTGATGGGCATTCAAATTCCCTTAATGCAGCATTATCAAGCCGCACAAGGCATTTAACCGTGAATTTGCAGCCGCATGATGCATTGCTGGCAGTGCCTGGGCGTCGTAGGGTGCCCGATACATGCCCTGATCGTGAGCATGTGCCATTTGTTGCGCTTGTTGAGCCTGCTGGGCTAGTATGACCAGGTGGTGTGGAGTCATGGCCGCATGAGCCTGGTTGGTCGAGTAGACCACGTTGGGCGTGAACTGCGGATTCTGGTGATGCTGCATGAAGTGCTGCTGTTGATCTCTGTGGGCATTCGCTTGGGAAAACATTGCAAACTGCTGGTTTGGGTGAGACCCCTGCTGCAAGGAATAGACTCCTTTAGTTGCGTGCGCGTTGGCCGCAGTGTTGTCGGACATCTGATTGGGTTGAGACTGTCGCTGCTGCTGCTTGTTGTTGAGTATGATATACGTCAGCGGGGAATGCTTTTTGGCAATGTCCTCGCTGCCAACGTTAACGTCTCGGTCGGGTATCGGGTAAGGAAGTCAAGGTCGGTGTTGATGGTTCCAATTAACTCCTGTCTAGTAGCTGCGTGCCAGGGCAGTCTAGCCAGTGTTCAACAGTTTCAGTAATCAGCTGCTGCTTAAGTTGTTATTAGTTGTTGAAAGCCTGGTGTTGTTTTGGTGGTGGGGGGGAAGAAAAGTTCCCCGATTCGTTGTTTCTGGGTAAAGAAGCTTGCTGCTGATTCAAAAACGGCTGAAGGTGTTCTCTCGGATGATTTTCAAGATGCATCGTTTAGTAAGAGTCGGCGGGTAAGTTTATCACAAAAATTAAGCGTCTGCACTCCGAACAGTCCTCTCTACAGCAGCAAAGGTTTGCGACCCACTGGGTATCCTAGCGCCGTTTGTCATAAAACTTTAAACTTTTTTGCAAAACCTGCGGAACTCGGGTACCCCCTGGGACGAAACTGTGCCCAGTGATTTCGTTCCAATAATTAACAAATGGGTCGACCAATGCAATTAAGTCCCCCCTGTGAGGCTGCCGCGCTTGCTTGGACCACAGCTGTCACCTAGTGATATACAGCTTTATGTTTTCTGCGACGCGTCGCAATGGCTGCGTGTATCTACATCCGAACTGCAGGTAACTCTGGTAAACACACTATTGTTTTGATTGGCAGAACAAAAATAGCACCACTAACCAAGAGAGTATTCCGAAACTGGAAATAAAAGCCGCCCTTATGGGCGCACGGCTCTGCAAGTTTGCTACTGATGAATTGCGAATGGAGCCCCACTCCACTCACTTTTGGACAGATACTAATTTTTCCTGGATGGCATCGCGCGATCGTGTTAACTGAAGACACAGCCTTAGGTAATTTAACGAGACCAGCGGTGAAACTTGCCCTCGTATCTCCAAAAAAGGAGATTTAAGATCAAGTTAATTTGTTTTACAACAAAAAAACTGGGCTCAAGGCCTTCCCCTTCGTTTCTAAATAAGACCTCCCTCCCCCTTAGAGACATGAAATTGTCTCACGTTAATTCTCGCAAAACGCGGTAAAATCAGTTAATGCCATGATTTGGTGCAAACTAATTATTTATAGATTTGACTTCTAAATGAACTAAGGACAATTCAAGATTATGCGTCAACCACCTTGAACAACTTGAATAAGATGAATGAACGTGAGGTTTGCTGATATATGAAAAATATGAAAAAACAATGAAATGAATGCAATTGTAACAATTAACAGGGCATTCAACAACGCTTTTTTTTTCAAAAACTGAACAATAAAAACAACTTAAAGTTTCTTTTTACATTAAATTATCCAAATTGCAAAAGTAATACGTGTCAGATCTTCGTATTTTTAAAGCAGAAACAAAACTCTAAATTGGCAGACAGCGCACTTTCCAATCTGAAACAAAAACTTTGAAACGATTTCATTTGCAAAATCACAAGAATCAAAATTGAGATTCTTGTTCAGCTTACTTTCTTTTTCATTAGCCTGTAACTATAACATTTGCTACCATCAACCGTTAAATCCAGCGAAATTACTTCATTCTTTTGTTTAATTCTTAATTTAATGAAATTTTTTCAGTATCGAAAACAATTGAACTTAAAAAACTTGAAAAATTTGAGCAATAAAATAAGGATAGAGGCCACATCTGCATCTGGTGCTAGTAACTTGACATCAACCCTCCAAAGGGTCCACAATTCGAAAATTTCAACAATTTCGAAAAACCATACAAAACGTCATAGCTGAGAAAACAAAAACAGCGAAATTCTGTGACTAAAATAGCCTGAGCAAGCCAATCTGAAGGCAAGATTTGCAACCTTTGAGAGTATTGTCCACATAGGAGACAAAACTTGCAGCCTCTAAAATTACACTGCCAGCAACCACCACGTACAGAGCCGGGATTTTCAAATTTTGTGGAAAACTCAAAATCTAAATTTTTTGAAAAAAAAAAGAAGAAAATTTGAGAAAATTCAAAGCATTTGAGAAACTTCAAAGCATAAAACCATAACCCTGATCAAACGACACAATTTGAGACCACCAATAATGATGACAGAAATCGAAAACTTTTAGGCCGAAAAAACAAAACAAAATCAAGAAATAGAAGTAATACCGAATCAGATTTAGTGATATAACAATCGCTATAAAAATAGCCAAAAGAAAGTTGGAAGAATGTAGAAGAACAATGAAACCAGAACAAAATTTCTGAACACTTTTTACCTTTCGAAAAAAAACATAAGCAGTTGAACGTTAGGCACACGTCCTTCAAAACGGTGGTTATGCATTCGAATCCCACTTCGGTCATGGTTTGAGGGGTCACAGTGTCATCCGCCTCCTCAAGATGGGACCGACTGCGGCGAAATGGATGACATCTCTCTCCCCCATGGTTAGTCCTGCACTGAGCAGGACCAGGGGCAAAACAAGCGCTTTGAAATTCAAATACTGTTTATGATTGGCACTTTTTCGTAAATTATACCAATGAAAAAAAACTGGACCACAAGGTAATTTTGTTATTCTGCAACGGAATTTCTGTTATTATTAACAACGGAATGAGTATACAAATTGCAAAAGTTGTTACTAAAAAAACATCAACGCCCATGAAAGTGAAAATCACTTCGTTCTTTTACACATTAAAAAATGTGTCTGTTGTTTGACGTGTGTACAGATTTGATATGATTCAGTTATTCAACTAGACAAGTTCGTTGCCTGGGACAAAAATCTTTTCCGATTCGTTATTGCTTGCCATTCGCAAGGGTAAAAAGAGTCAGCAGCATTCATGTTTTTCAAACTGCATTTAAGACAGGAAATGAGGCAATTCAAAAAATAAAAAAACTCCTTATTTTGAAGTAACAAACATGGCTAGCAAACAGTTTGAAAATTGTCAACGGACTGTGAATTTTCAACTTTCGAGAATCAAAGAAGACATGCATCACCTTAACGCTCTTCAATTTTCGAATATCTGTTTAATTTGAGAAAACTAGAAGAATACGTTATATCTTCGTATTAAACTTGAACAAAATCCACTTTTGAACCTGAATGCCAATCAAGTTTTTTCTCACCTAATTTGTCTTTTGATTCTAGTAAAGGCCGCCATTTGCTCCAGTTTACCTTATAAAATTGAAAAGAACTTTCAACGAAATCAAAATCAATATCGATAATTAAAATGGAGCGTAAAAAACTAAATGACTTTGTCCTGATAAAGCAAACAAAACTACACAGCATAAATAAGTATCTTCACTTCGCTCAATGGCACTCAACAAATTATAATAAAATCAAACTTTCAAAATTGATTAGCATTTTTGGGCCAAATAGAAAGCTTGTATAGATACAGTTCATGCATATTGTTTAGAATGGCTAAATTTTTGATTCAACAAAACATTTCAGCAATTTTTACTTTCTTAACTCATTTTTCAAAAGCTAACCCAATTTGAGAAAGGCGTGCCGATTAATCCAAAATCTAATAATTTCAATAAAACATATATTTAAGACATGTTTACACTAGCCCATGACCATAAAAGGTTTATACGATAATTTAAATGATTATTTAACAGACATAACAGACTATTCTTATAATCAAATTTGGATTATAACGGTTCCACGACCATAAAAGGTTTATACGATAATTTAAATGATTATTTAACAGACATAACAGACTATTCTTATAATCAAATTTGGACGAACAGGAAGAGATTACCTTTAAAAACGAGCATGCTCATTTATCAAGCCCATCAAAAAATCACGTTAAAGAATTTGCCAACGGAGTTTTTAAAAAAATCACAAACCTCCACCACAGATCGCCTGTAACGCAAAAATTGACTTTAACAATTTTTGAGCAGCGCAGAAAATACCAATTTACTATACATCTCATTGTCGTATAAACTGGATAAGGCAGCAAGCTTTGGAAACAATACCTGAGCCGAAAAACCTTGAGAGCGTTGACGAAACTCCGAAAGCTCTTAAAATCACACCCAGCTGAGATACGTTCCTATACTTAGATTCTAGTAAGCCAGACAGTCGAATTTTGTAGTTTGCAACATTGCATTCGCTCAATTTGCTCTATCAGACCGACAAATGTCAATGTGACGGAACATTTTAAGTGGTACCAGATGTTTTCTATCGAGCTTATACGATACATGGAGTGATCGAAAAAAGTCTTAGACCTTTGGTGAACGTTACAGCATCCGGAAATATAAATGATTTCGAAGTAGTTCGTAACGCTAAAAGGAGAGCGCAGCCTGATACAGAAACTCAATTCAGTTTTTACCTAGGCAAGGCAGTATGATGAAAAGCACAGAAACTTAGATTTTAGCGCAAGTACATGGACGATGATATTTTATGCCTAAATAACAAAAATTGATTTGTTTGGCACTCGTTACCCTTCATGATAAAACATTCGCTTTCAAAGATATCCGAAAAGGTACCTTCAGAGGAGTTAAGAAAAAAAGCGAACTACTTTGAAGACAGTCTATTGGTACCTGTTAAGGAATCAGACGCATTAAATCAAAAGTCTAAATTGAATCGGGTGCTTAGGGAAGATTCTCGCACGAATAATGCATTGGATGCATGGAATGTTAGCTTTAAAAAATTCGTGTCGACTAAGTCGAGAATGATCGGCGCTGATATTATAAGAAGAAAACATAAATATTCAATCGCCAACGAGAAACTCGTGCAAAACGCAAAAACTACAATCGAAACAACATAAAGAAGTATTTGAAACAAACTTTTAGTATACACATATTGAAAAACTTAATGCATATAAATAAAACTTTAAGCGGTTTGAGATTTTTTTTCATGTTTTACAGTTCTTTATAAAAGTGCTTCGAACTTGACTCTAATCAAAGTAGGAAAATTTGATTTGGCCACTTTAAACTAAGTTGGCCAAATCGTCTGAGTTTTTTTTTGGCTGAATTTTCTTTTAAAATGGTTGAACTGATCATGATTGATTTGTTTATGCGCCTTTTCAACTAGCCACCTTCGATTGTGGATTTTTTTTCATCTTAAAACTCTTGACGTCTTGAGCACATATAATTTATAAGTGGTCATTTTCAATAAAGTAATGGCGTTTGAACCATGTCAATTTGAGACAACTAAAGCGCTATATATTTCGTTCTAGCAACGCATGAGCGGCGGATTAATCCGGCTCAAAAATTGTTCCATTTTTTAGGCAGAGCTATTTGGAACCAATATTTGAGTCCTAGACGCTAATTACATCACTTTGCACTTAACATAGCGAGTGGGAGAATACTTCCAAAATAAAATCTAGAAAAAATTCCAACTTTTCTCTTTTATGAACTTTTAACAATTAAAAACTTTTTCAAAGGATGATTTATTCCTGGCACCATAATGAAAATCGGCACACAGCAGTAATTTTCTTTTATCCGTCAAATCACAGCTACAAGCTGACCAAACCATTTTTGCGTTCTCAAAATCCGATATATGAACAAACCTGCCAAAGATAATTCTTTCGGCTAGGAACATGTCTTAAACTATCAGTTTGGTGGTCTATTGAGGAAAAAGTAGTTTTTAAAAACTTTTCGAAAAGAGGGGCTACTCAAAAAAATCTGCTAAAATTTCAATTCAACTTGCTAATTAAAACAAAATCAAAATTTAATCGAATCAATCAACTCCCAAGAATCAACAGAAATAGTTTGAACAAATTTAAAAATTAGCAGTTAAGCCTTGACTTGGTTTCTAATTTGTTTATCTTTTCGGACAATTTCTCCTTAAGATCTTGTAATTTTTTGCTATCGTAAGTTTTCACAATTTGCTCAAACTTGTCAATCCTAGCATTCAAATTGTTCAAAGCAGTCGACCTTGGACTTTCAACGTCTTCCAATAGCCATTTAGATGGTTTCTTCTGCTTCGAGTATTCTGAATTGAGTTTTGATGCACAGTTTTTGCATATCGAACCAATAGACTTCAATGCCTCCAATAAATGCTGAGTTGTATTACTCGAAACACTTTTCACGTCATTTGATTTTTTCAGATCTGTTTCAATTCCAATATTACCACTCGGTAAATTACTAAAGTCACTTTCTTCGGGGAATGGCATAACGTTTCCATTACAGTCGTGGATAACAGCCTGCTCTTCGTCCAAACTCAAGTGAAGTTGATCCAGTAACTTTTCCAGTAACTTCTGCTGCTGACTTATTAGTTGCCAAGTCTTCGAAACTTCAGCTCGCAATTGGTCTACAGACATTGATTTAATCGGATCATTTCTGCTGATGAAATCAGATTTATTGCTCACGTGTTTGACCAAACAGTTCCTCTCCAAGTTTAAAAGCTGATCACGTTTCTTCTGAAGAATTTCAGGTGCGTTTTGGAGTTTGCTCCAATCATTCCTCGCTTTGCTAATCAGTTCCGCTTTGCGTCTATTACTTTCAAATAAATGTTGCACCTCTTTTTCGTATTCCATAACTTCCTGCTCTCTCAGCTTCAACGTTCTAGAATATTCTCTCTTCAAGTCATTAACTTTTGCACTTAAGCCCGAAAGTTGCTCTTCGCATGCTTCTCTGAGTTTTCGTTCTGTCTCTAGCTTCCTGAACGATTCTTGCAGTCTGTCTTGTAAATAGTTGGCGGTTATGACCAACACTTTTCCACTCTGGGAGCTTTGAGGCAAACTGTTGTCGTTCAATTGAGACTCAATTGCTCGTCTTATGACTGAATTTGCATCACCTTCAGCATCATTCATATTCCTCAAAAACACAAATCTGTTGTCGTCTAAAAAAACTCAAGATTGCGCTCTTCATTTTTGAAGAACTGGTCAGCTTTACAGAGAATCGCTATTGCGTCCAATTAAAACCGGTAAATTTTTGTTAAAAAAAAACGGAATTTCCCACGTTTCGCCCCACACACATTTTGCGCCTCTTAAAATAATTAGTGGCACATTTCGCCCCTTATAATTTAACAAATTTCGCCCCTAACTGATAACACATATAATTAACCGCCGCTTTCTTAGTTTACGATGTACGTGTGTGAGGCGAAATGTGCCAATAACTTCATGCGGGGCGAAATGAGTGAGGGGCCATAAGAAAATGTCAAAAATTTTTTGAAAAATTAGGTGAAAAAATAGTTACACCACGAAAACGTAAAACTAGGCCTGCACAATATCTAAGATGTTTCCTCGGAAAAAATCACGACCTAATTAGGCGTCTGAACCTCCCTCATCGACTCTTAAAAGTCTAATTCTCGATTATAAGACCCTTGCTATCGTAATTGTTAGAATATTAGTGCTCACGTGCCGATCTTTGAAAGTTCCGAGTTTGACAGAGAAAGTAAGCTCAAGCCATTTGATTATCAAAAAATTTATAACTGAAGAAATTTAAAATTTCAGAAAAACGGATGGATTGCTATCTCCGCGATAGATCTGAAAGTTATAACTCGCATTTGAAAGAAAACCTTAAATTTTGCGTTATTTGCAATTTTGACATCAAAGAAATTGATTGTCTACCATTTAGCCAACGAATTTGAATAGAGCAGAAAAAATGATTGGTGGGTAAATATGAACTGGAGATATCTAGGTTACAAAAAATAGGCTATAACTCGAGTTAGGCGAGGGGGAACGAAAATCAGCACCTAGTATGCATCCATTATTTTGCCCGTTTCAAATCGACTCTAGCTCAAATTTAAAATTTCAAAGAAATTACTGTTCCATTCTTGTAAAGTGTTGTTGATACGAGGCCAGAAGTAATTCAAAGCCAGTCAGCGAAGTTGGCTCTGCCATCTCTGGTCTTTTTTCGCGTCGAACTCTATTTACAGCTTTTTTTGGCAGATTAACTTGGTAACTGAACAGCTGTTTCTTGGTTAACACCACGCTGGGTTTTGAAAATAGTCTGCCGTGGTGTTACATCAGATATTGCTGCTCGATCTTTAAGTGGTTTTCTGATTTTACGTTTTTCGATTTCAGCTGGATCGGGGAAGTGGCTGATATCTTTAACGGTTTCAACGGAGTCCTCTTTTGTACGCACACGTTCATTGCAACTGTGCAGAAGGTGAGTAAAAAATTGTCTGACAGTGTTCGGTGTTTGATACATGCACACCCTTCCAAAATTAGCAACTCAAATTTTTTGTTGGTAAGTATAATTTCCAGTGATAGTAAAAGAATACTGTTCGATTGAGTGGAGCCAAATGTTCCCTAATGAAATAACCAGAGCAATCGTGTTTTTGACTGGATGAAAATAAACAGTCTTTTTTTCAATTGTATTAATTTTTATGTTTCGGGGATTATTGCTTTAATGTGTGGACGCTGCTGTTATCTAGGTAATCCATATTTTCTGCTTAACTACCAATTATCATCCGGATTAATTAAAACCAAAATTTTTTTAATCCATGCGAAATGTTTTAACCACTTTTTGGAACAACTATCAATTCTATCAATGGGACTGTTGTTCGGACTAATTTTTGGAATATTTTTAGGAATTTTATTGTAAAGGACCGTTTTTTTGAACTTCGGTATAATTTCTCGACTATTTTGCACAGGACTGTTTTGTACAGACACAGTTAATTGAAATAGCTACACGATTTTCTTCCTTTAGAAAACTTTGAAAATAAACAGCCAAAAGAAACAAACCCTCACACACACACACACACACTAGCTTTTGTTTCCCTAGACACATTCGACTGAAAAACAAAATCAAAGTAAAAACTACATTGTTAATTCATCAAAAAAAGAGAAGAAAATAACATACTTTTTTCAAGTAATAGTCATTAGCCACCAGTTCGTCGCTACTGTTCATCGCTACTTTCAAAACTCAAAGTCATTCTCATTTTTCTTTTCGTTTAATCTTTATCGGAGAGTGTACTTTGCCTTCCTTTTAGCAATAAAAATTGAATACCTTATCCAAAAAAATGAATTTTTGTTAATTTAACCCAGAAGCGGAGCTGAACTTCGCAAACAAAAGAACAGCAAAAAGTATCATTCAAAATGGCAGAACAAAAGAAAAGGGCCAGAATATACAGCTAGCAGACATATGGTAAAGAGTCAATGATCTCCTCAAAACCGGAGAAAAAAACGACTGGTTATTGTTTGAGATTTTTCCAGCAAGCTCGCTCAATTTCAAGATTTGTTTATGATTGACAACTTTTTGATAAACACTAACGTAACTTGGGGAAACTTGATCAAAAAATAAAAATTTTACTACCCCAGGAAAACTAAAAATGCAGACCAATTTTCGAAATTAAAAATCATTCTCATTTTTCAAAAAAAAAGCGACCAATAAATTTTTTCACTACGTTCATTGACAGGTACAAAAAATATTAGGATCAAGAAGACGTACAAAAATATAAGGATCAACTTCAAAACCCAAGTAGGAAATACAGGGACCAATTAGCTTGCCTAATTTTATAATTAAAAGATTATTTGTGCCAGTTTTGATGAAATCACCCCACTTAAATGAGTCACATTTGCGCAATGATCATCATAAAAAAGTCCAAAAGAGACCTAATCCAATCAATTAATAAACTGCCAAAATTCTAATTTACTCAACTTGCAGGTTATTACTTTTTTGCATCTCACGGGTGTAAAAAATATCCCTCAAGAACATTTCTCTTGATCAAATTTGCAGTAACGTGCATTTAAAAAAAGAGTAAACTCAGCGTATGACACACATGCTCGGCTGCCTAATGAACAGTAAAATGAGAAACTTCATGGTCTTGCTGGCCTCGAACCATGAAACAGCATAAAGAAAAACAAAAAATTGAATTCGTATGCAATAAAATTATAACACCCTTTTAAAGCAGAACTAATTGTATAGAAGCGCAGCGAAGCTTCTCTCACTTCCGATACAACACCAGAGTAACACTGCAAGCTAGCGAATAGAAAAAGGGAAAGAAATAGCAAAGTCAAAAAAATTTGAAGAGAAAAATTTTTCATGGAAAAATGAAAAATTCAATTTTCAGAAAAAAACAGTTGACAAATACAACTACTAGTATTAACTAAGCTTTGAGTATTTATCGAGCCGACAATACGTAGGTAAACGCCAATTGAGCCGAGAACAAAAAAGCTGCGCAATTGTACTCATAAACAAATTTCGAGCATTCAATGTTAAGACTTTCCAATTTCACACCAAACGAGCTGAATTGATACAGCCGATAAAACCTAAACTGGAACCATTTAGGCCTAGTAAAGCTTGAGATCTATAAAAAACCAAAGGAAAATATACAAAGTCAGGGCTAGTAAAACTATAAAATACCGGCGTAAATTAACATTTTTCAAATACCGGGAAAACTGCTTACAGCTCAAGAAATCCGTGATTTAGCAACTAAGCCGACAAAACACAAGCCGACAAACGACAATTCAACTTTTCCCGAAAAAAAATCAGTTCCACACATACTGAAAAACCAAAATTCGGTCGGGAATCAAAGCTCAGACCTTAGCGAGCAAACAACCATGTTACCTCCAGACCAACTGAGAAGGAGCCTGGAAGCTGTTCAGTTTCAATAAAAAATCAAAGTCAATTTCACACAGATTTGAAAAAAGTCATTTAAGTGGAAAAAGTCCAGTGCACGATTACAAACACTTGCTCTGGCACAATTACACGCCGCCACAATTGCATTTTAAACGCAAAGATAGGGAAAGTAAATCGCGTCCCTACATTGAATTGCGATGTGTTGTGTTAGTAAGAAAATATATTTACTTGATGCTAAAAATCTCTACAGAGGCGAAACTGAGCTTCGCACCCCTTGCGATACAAAAAAGAATGACTGACTACGGTTGAATGACTGACTTCATGTCTTAAAGGAGTGACTTTATTCGGTTAAGATTCTATACTTTTTGATCTTCTATGTTTCTATGATCAAATTTTCGCTGATATATTTTTTTACCTATTACCTTGTGGTTTCGTAAGATAAAAAATGAATCAAAATCAATCAATTCAACAAATAACCAAATGAAAAGACAACAAAAATTTTTCAGGTGCTGAACTAGTAGGAATTTCAGCAAAAGAAAAGACAAATCAAAAACTTTTCAGGTGCTGAAATAGTATGTATTTGGACATACGATCAACAATCAAAGATCTACAAATTGTCCAAGGAATTAGTCTTTCCTGGAGCGCCTTTAATCCATCACCGATCGCAAAATTGAAAAAACCTTCAAAAATCGGATTTAATTTTGTTTGTCAAAAACGGTTATAAAAATTAAAAAACAGGACAAAAAAATCTTGGAACAAAATTACTAGCACCATGAAGACTTTACAAACACCTTTCACAATGCTAAAAAAAACTGAACCTTTCTGCAGGATCAAAGCCGACTAAAATAAACAGACAAGAAAGACTAAAACAGCCATAAATTTTCAGAAGCCCTGACTAGAATCGATCTTCTGAGATTTGTAGCCTCAAGCGTGGTTGTTACCACTGCACCAAATGAACAGAAAACACATTGAATTGATAACGAAAACAACTTTTAATGAACTTGCAAAAAAAAATCAAAAAATAGCAATAAAAAATCGGCAAAATTTCTTAGCGCTCAATTACTTGCCCAAAACCAAAATGCACCAAAACGACTTTTAATTTACGTTAAAATTCCTAAATTCTTTGCAAAAATGTCGCTGCAGCAAGAGAGCAGACAAAAAACAAGCAGACAAGCAGAAGTCCGACAAAGATTTTTGACGCGCGTACAATTTTTCGTTTACAAAAAAAGTCCGCGCGGGATTTGAACCATTGATCTTTGTCTTTATAAGCAAGTGCGTTAGTTCTTTGCCACATGTGCAAATTAACGTATTACTACTGATTTCATTTGAAACAAAGGTAAAATGATTCAAGTGATTCTGCTAAACTAGTTGTTAACCCGAAAAAAGTCTATATTCCGATTCAATAACGCTTGCTAATCGCGAGCGTAATTATTTTCATCGAAAAAATTTTGATAAACAAAGCATGCCGCTCAAAGAATAGCAAAACCAATTAAACATATTTATGTCCAGGGAAAAAATAAAAAAAATCACGAAAATGAAAACTTTACAATTATTGGTTTTTAAAAAATGTCCGAGAAGTTGATATTAAGCTTATGAACATTAATTGTCAAATTTGAGTCTATTTCAATTTAGATAAATTTCTAAAACTATTAAAAAAAGTAATAAGTAAATAAGCCGACAGAGTTAAGGCCGACACCTTATGAACTGAAAAAGAAATCCGAAACTTAAAAAAGGATACTTGCAGGGACCACTTAAATAAATACCAAATAAGCAGTATATGAAAAAGTTAGGTGTTACATACATTAAAAGAAAATTCAAAATGGTAAATTACTTAATTGACCATTCTGTGAACAATGTTATTTACGGGGAAAAGAAGTCGTACCCGGTTCCAATACCTTTGCTTATCGCGAGGGTAATAACTATTTAATTAGAATACCAAAAACAGATAAAAAAATATGTCCAAGTAACGAGCAAACCTGGAGTTAGTTTTTGGCTACACAGAGCAAGTTAGAGCAAGTTTGCAGACTCCATTATTCGGCCAGTTTGGTTAAGATTCTATATTTTGATCTTCTATGCTTCTATGATCAATTTTTTTTTTCAGCAAATAACTTTTTTAATCAACTACCATGTAGTTTTGCGAAAAAAAAAGATCAAAAACAATCAATTCAACAAATAAACAAAGAAAAGGAACACATTACATTACAGATACAGTAAACCTAACGCGGTTTCTAAAAAATCACATGGATCAGTATAAATTATATATTTTTATATTTGTTGGGTTATCTAATTAGCAATGCGCCATTCTCATTCCCCTTTACCGTTTTATGTACCTGGATACGAATCTTCCAAGCAAGAGACACCTAATGACTGCAAAGTTAGATTTTTCCAGACAGACAAAAGGGGCGACAAAAAGTTATTAATGAGATCCTTGAGAAGATAATTATAATCAATCACAATGCTAAAAAAACATTTTTAGAAAGCTCTTTCAAGTTTGGAAACTTTCTAATTTTCGGAGTCCGAATTTGGAGTTTGTTGTCTTTTCTTCTTTTTCTTTGAGCTTTTATCTTTCAAGCCTTCGTTACGAACTTTCGACTCACGGCGCTCCTCAGTATCCTCAGATGGATCAATACCCGCTTCTTCGCGGCTGGTGTCTTTTTTGTTTTTCTTCGAAGATTTTTTCCTATCTTTACCATTTCCATCATCACTGACTGATTCTTTAACTTCTCCGTCGCTTTTTTCAGAGTCCTCCATTTTTAGATCTTTCAACGACCCTTGCAATTCAATATCATCGGCCTTCATCTTTTTCTTCGACTTCTTTAAATTCCTGCTGCTGGATTTTAGGTCTTCCTCATTTTCAGCGTCTCTGTGTTTAGGTTCTCCCAGTTCCATCTTTTCACCCGGGCTTGGCGACCTTGAATTTTTATTCTTTTTCTTCTTTTTCCTATTATTGCTATCTTGCTGTTCTATCTCCTCATTGTCGACTTTTTCTTCCCCATTATCCGATTCAGACTGCTTCTTTCTTCGGCTCTTCTTTTTCTTATCTTTTTTCAATTCTTTCTCATTTTGCTTCTCATGATCAGATCCCTCGTCGTTGTTCTTAACACTCGGTTCTCGTTTTTGCCTTGACCTTTTCGATCCCGAATCATTCATTCGTCCATCATTATCCTTACTAGGCGACCTCATTTCTTCGTCGTGAGGTTCATCGTTACTTCGATCGCGTCTGTCATTCTCTTTTTTGTCGGTTGGTGACCTAGAATGGTGTCTGTTTCTTGTGCCCTCCGATGGCGATCTGTGATTATCGGAAGGCGAATACCTCGACCTGTTTTTCTTTTTCTTTCCCGATGAATTATTCTCATGATCAGAGTCGGTTCGTCCTTTGTGAGAGTCTTTATTGTCCTTGCTGGGCTCATTTTCACTTTCTTCGCCATCAGACTTGCTTTTCGAATTGTGCTTCTTACTTTTTCTATCCTTTTCTTTATCTTTATCTTTTTCACGACCTTTTTCCTTCTCATCGCGAGACTCCCTCTCACCCTTTGGTCTCTTTCTATCGCGTTCTTTCTTTTCCCTCTTTTCACGCTTCTCCTCTTGTTCACGCGCTTCGTCTTCTAAAGACTTCATGAACTCTTTGAACAGCCTGAGTCGTTCACTTTCCGTCGTTATTGCACAGAACGCATCGTCAGTTTCAAATCGTGACCGCACATTATCCCAGGTATCTCCAATAACCAGAGGTGGCGCCGCATGACTTTTCAGCATATTTTTAAAGGAGCCTTCTCTTCTCTTAGCATTACGCTGTTCCTCTTTAACTCTTTCCTTTTCTCTTGATTCTGCCTTTTCAACTAACGAATTATACGCCAATTTCAGGTTTCCTATATCAATTGACCTCCATCTATCGTCACCTTTTAATCCATTGACAAACTGCTCAAAAGTGGTGTTTGTTTCCACCACTAAGTTGTGATCCTTCATCATATCTTTCAGCATTTTCTTCTCGTCTGAAAACCTGTCTTTTAAGTCCTCAATATAAAATTTGAACAAATCTAAGGGCGTCGAGCCTACTTGTCCCAGCATGTTATCAAATGCGTGGTCTTTCTTGATATCTTCAAACAGGTCCATCCAAAGCGATAAAGAGGTCAGTTTTCCCTGGCAGTGTAATTTGTCCAATAAAGTAACAAAAGCCTCCCGATTTTTCCTTTCAATTCTTCGTCTCCTCAATTTTTCCCTCGCTTTTTCTTCCTCATTCTCTGTCTCTAAACTTCTAATGTGCTCTTCGAAGCAAATCAAAGCATCTTCTTTATCCATATTTTGTAGTTCCTCGTTTTCTGCAAACGTCGGGTTGTCCAAAAGAAACTGTTGCGCTTCCGACCAAGTGGTGAGGTAGTTAACTTGATCCATTTGCTGCAAAATCGCAGTTAATGACGTCATATTTCTCTGCTTGAGAACCTTCGCCTCTTCTTTTTCTTTCTTTGCCAAGTGGAAAACCACATCTTCAAATATCTCTTTTCTATCTCTTTCTTCAACTTTTTGCCACACATCCAAATGAGAGAAAAACTTCTCAGCCTTTGTATAACGAAGTCCAGAATGCATTTGCGGGTCATTTTCGAAGAACTTGGTCAAATCTTCCTTCTGCTGTTTCTTTCTAGCTCTTTCCTCTTCTTTTTCTTCCTTAGCTCTTTGGGTTTTGTAAGCATTGAAAACTTGTTTCTTCTCACTTATTTTGGGAAGTGCCACATATCGGGGGTCACTGATGATTTGCTTCTGGGCGTTTTCCCAGGAGAAATTAGATGGAATCTTTTTGTCCTTGAGGAGGTCCCTGAATGCCTGCTTGGCTTCTTCTTTGTTTTCGAAGTTGTACTGCTTCTTCACAGCTTCTAAATTCATTATGATGTTATACCAACCGAGTAAAATCGTATTTTCAAAAACCCTCTTAACTGATATGTATTCTCAAACAATATATGCACCAATAACTGTTACGAGTAGGAAAAAAAACATTACCATATTGGGAAAGAAATCTTGGCAAGGAGCAAAAGTTGGGGACATAATTACCTAAAACTTATGCTCAAATAGAAACGCCCATGCCCAAATAGAAATTAGTTTATCATTTCATGTATTCTTACCAGCATCAACATTTTCTGCACTCGCAGTTGTAGGCACAATTGCTGCTTGGTTAGTCTCCATCGGAACTCCAGTTACCACTGGCATCACTGGAGCCGGTACTCCCAATGGTGCCTGATACGGCATTCCCATAGGAGGCACACCCATCGGTGGCATTTCTCCAGTGGGTGGACCACCCGCCTGTGCGCCCACGAAGGCCATTAGAGGGTTGTTTCCCATAGCAGCGGCAGAGCCGGGAGGCAACATCATGCCTGGTCCACCTGTTCAAACCAGAGAAAACACAGTCGTCAAAAAGTCACGTGGTGTTCAATTGTCACAGAATTTCTGCGACCAGCTTCAAGAAAATTTCAGAGCTTCTTAATTTCCAATTTTCAAATTAAGTACGCTTTCGAATTGTTACTTATGAGTTACATACCAAATAACTGACCTGTTCATTTGTTTTCAGTCTACTTGTGCTATTTAAATTAAAAGTGTTTCAATATTCTATCACAATTGATATTGTACGTTTCCTTGTGTCACCTCAATTTGCGTTGGAAACATTATCACCAAATTATATCAAGTGTTCTTTTCCAATTGCAGGGAGTAGTAGTCACAAGTTGTTAAATGTGACATAGGGAAAGCCTTAAAATTTGATTTAGTTTTCATCGCTGCGCCCTTCCACCTCAACTTACCGGGTGCTGTGGGTGGGAACTGATTATGAGGGGGTCCGGGCATCATGTATGGGTTCGCGGCAGGAGGTGGCTGTTGTTGAGCATCCTCCTGCTGCAATCTTTCCTCCTCTTCTCTCACTCTGCTCCGCTCCTCATCTGCTTCTATCATTGCTATCTGCTTCTTCACCTAGAGCCACAGTTGTTTTAACAATGAATTCTAAATGCTTACAGAAAACTTTCTTTAAATAGAGCAAAATATTTGACAAAATCAAAGGTGTAATACAAGCATTTCTCAAGTAAATTGTCGCAAATCTTTCCATGCCTAATACTTGCGAAAATTTCACCGCACGAAAATTCCTCTAGCACGATAAAAACGTTCACCCAAATATTATGCCTAGGCTCTGGTTAAACACTCGACTTTGTAAAGAGCCCAGGGACTAGCGGATTTGGGGTGCGGGGCAGAAGCTTTTCTCCTCTCAGGGATTCGACCCACTGCCGATCCAACGGGTCCCCTTTGTACTATTATTAGATCTCCTCTTTTGGCTGATGGACCCCAATATATACTAAATTTGAGGGAATTTAAAAACGCGATTTTTTGGTCAAAATTTTCCAAAAAGTGCCTTAAACGCCATTGTTAGCCTGTTGCTTCAAAACTTCGCCTGCGACGCAGAATATTTGGCCAAAATAGGGAAATAGGGTCTTTACAACAATTTGTGAAAACTCGGAAAACAGGCTGCTCAAATCGGTCAGAGAAAAAAAGTGACCTACCATTTTTAGAGTCTCTGCCTTAGGTCGTCAAAATTTTCAAAACTTTTTTGAAAATCCGCCCCCCCCTCGAGTAAATCCTAGATCCGCCCTAAAAAAAGGTCGTCAAAGTTTTGGAAATTTTTTTTGAAAATCCGCCCCCCCCCTCCCCCTCGAGAAAATCCTAGATCCTTTTTTAGTCCCATGACCTTATCTGGAAAAACTCTCGACAATTGTTAGGATTCCCTTGATATACACAACAGTTTCAACAAAAAGGGACCTAGAAAAAATAAGTGACCAAAAAGTGACCAGGTCACTTAAAGTGACCAGTTTCAGCAGCCTGTCGGAAAATCAGTTTGGTCAACCTAAAAAAAAAGTCCGATAAAATTTCGAATTTTTTTTTGAAAATCCGCCCCCACCCCTCTAGAAAATCCTGCAAAGATTTGAAAATTTTACTGTAGTATTTTATTCCACCAATGGTTTTTTTTTCAAATCATTAACTGACCTCCTTTAACTCCTCGGGAATGGTCCACACACTAGTCTTGGTGTCCACATTATGATAGTAGGTCTTGCCATCGTCCGAGTGGTGCTCCTTCCAGGGACACTTGGACAGCAGCAGCTCAGCAGGAGTCTTCAGGTCGTCCGGCTTCTCCCAAATGGACTCCTTCGTCTCCTTATTGTAGAAGTATGTCTTCCCGTCAAGTGACTTGTGCTCAGACCACACTGAGTCAGATTTGATCGATTTAGACTCTAAATTAACAAAAATTTGGTCGATTTTTTTTTAGTCAACCAAATTGATTTTCTGAGCTCTCCCAAATCACAATAAAGACCCCATTTTTAGCAACTTTTCTGCGCCGCTGAAAAATTATTGAAAAAACAGGCCAACGCGTTTTTCAGCACTTTGAATTTTTTTAACCGAAATATTGCATTTTTCGGCGCGTGCTCCACTTCAAAATTAGTACATATAGGCGCTCTCTAAATCCGCCCCTGCATGTAATAATTACCAAAATACCAATAAAAACATATTAATTCAGATTACCTGGGGAACTGAACAACATAAGTTAAAAGGTCCAATAATGTTAAAAAGTTGGGTAAAATCAGCAGTCCTGCTTAAAACTATTGATGAAAACGAAGGAAAAATCTGCATCTTTCTGAAGCAAGAAAAAATACATGGCATTTAAGCTCTTTGAATTCCCAGAAGAGTTTATAGTTGAAAATTTTCTAGTTTTTGTTAAGGTTATCTAAATTAATACACAGAGGTGATGCGGAGCTTCGCATCACTTGCGATACATCACAAAATTGATACAGCAAGCTAGCCGACAGAAAACAGGACAAAAATCACAAATTCGAAAAAAAAGCTCAGTTAAAAGCTCTCAGTTTCCAAAAACATGCTTAGAAAAGCATCTGCCAGCGTTAAATAAGAACTTAAACAAATTAAAGAAACGGTAACCAAGTCGAAAAGATTTGGTGGACGCTCGCTTAGTCGAAAATTTTCTCTATAGTACAAATCTAACTGAGTTTTTTGATAAGCTCCCGGTTCTGCTCAGTGCAGGACCAATCGTGGGGGAGGGAGATGCCATCGATTTCGCCGCAGCCGGTCCCACCTTGAGGAGGCGCATGATACTGGGATACCTCCAACCATGACCGAAATGGGATTCGAACGCGTGACCCTCATGTTGAGAGACGTGTGTCTAACCCACTCGGCCACGGCTGCTCTTAATTGAGTTTTCATAAGGCGCACTGTTTGAGGCGTGTTAGAGCCTAGAAATTGCAGACGAGCCTTGAACATGTCAAAATATTCAAGTGAAAACCACTTACCACCCTGTTGCGAAATCCATAAAAAAGTCTTGTAACTAAAATTTTTTCAGCACTAACAATGTGTTGCAGAATCTCCGGCGAGCAAAAAGATCAAAGAAATGAGCGAAAACATTACAGAAATTAGCTCAAAAGATTTTTAAAAAGCCCTGTTGCGGATTCCACGACAAAGCCTAGTTGCGGAATCCGCTTAAAATATGGAAATATAGATTTAAGTTTCGCAACATGTCACAAAGTTTTGAACATAACGCACCCATAAAACCTATTTTTGCCCTTCAAACGACACAATTTGTGGCGACTAACTCGATATAACATGAGCCGAAAACTTTGTAGCCGAATAAACGTTTAAAGTATAAAAATGAAAAAAAATGGGGTCGATAAATGAAAAACCAAAGAAAAACAAGGATAGCCATTAACTGCAAGTAGCACAGAATGTTCCGACCATAGTCTTTAGAAAACTATGAAAAAAGCTTTTTGTTCAAATTAGTAAAGTATTTTCAAAATGGAGCTTAAAACTATAAACTAATTTTACTTGCTTCGAACCGTTTTTCATCGAGACTGGGAAATTTCAAAACCGGTTTTTCTCGCCACTGGGAAGTTTCAAACCGGTTTTTCTCGACACTGGGAAAAATTTTTAAACTTTTTAAAATGTGGTTCCAATCATGAATGAAGGAGTTTTAATATCATACAATCCAGTCCGATAAATATTAGTGGTACCTGATTTTGCGTGGAAAACAAAAAAAAACTAAAACAGACCCGAATACAAAGTTCCTCCCCATGGTCGGAACAAAAACAGATACGAATTAAGCGGAAATTTGAAATGCAAGCATACTCAAAATATGTCTCAAGGCGACCAAGAGTTGAGTCTAAGTGATTCTGATAGACTTGTCTGAAAAGTTGTTTGCTGAAAAAACTCTAGTTCCCAATTACAAAACATTGCTCTCGCAAAAGTAAAAATAATCGATCAATTTTTTATATTCCGCTGAAATGTAAGAATTAAAATCCAGTTTTTAAACTGAAAGTCGTTCACGTTTTTTGCACTATTTTCACTTTTGTTATTCGAGCGCGTAATTTGCCCTCTATTAAATTTAAAAAAAAAACAGAACGAAAGAAAATAGAAAGAAATGGAAACCAAAATTACGAAAAATTAAATTTGAACATTTTGGAAAATAACTCAGAAAAAAAAAAGAAAACCCACACTATTTAAGTAAATGCCTTCACTTTGCTCGTTGAAACCTAATTGGACCAATGTCAAGACTTTGAATTTCAAGACTATTCTCTTAACCTGTTCAAAATGAATGTAGAAAAATTGACAATCGTACCCTCTTCTGGTTCCGGTTCATTCTTCATGCCCATAGGTGGTCTCATTCCCCCGAATGGTTGCATGGGTGGTACATTGGGATCCCGCATCATTGGTCCAGGCGGCATACCGGGTCCCCCGTACTGCGGTGGGGGTCCACCAAAATGCGGTGGGGGATATCCCGGTGGTGGTTGTCCATAGGGTCCTGGCGGTGGGTACCTGTGCATGGGAGGCGGGTACCCCCCTGGCCCATGCGGCGGTTGATGAGGTGGGGGATGCATTTGGTTGTGATGTGGAGGAGGGTACATGTTGGGATGGTCCATTCCGCCCCCATGCGGAGGGGGTCCCCTAAATGGAGGTCGATGAGGGGGTCCATCGTTCCATCCTCCTCCACCTCTGGGTGGAAAGTGGTGGAATGGAGGCCTCGATGGAGGTCCCCCATACCCGCCTCCAAAATGAGGAGGACGACTCATGAATGACCTGAAATCGTGCAGCTCCCAAAATGCATTTTTATTGCTAACTATTTCCTGTCATAGGACTTTTTTCGAACTTTTTTGCAAATTGAAAAAACATAAAAACAAAGAATAATTTACTCAATAGAAGCAATAGTCAAATACCTCACTTAACAAAGCTCAATAACAAAATTTTTGACCCGCCATTGTCTTTATGTCTCTCCCGAATATGTCTGTCTAAAACGTGCTGGTATTTGAAAGCCCGCAGACATAATTTGCATTTGAAATTTCGTTCGACCGAATGAACTCTTAGATGTAATTTCAAATTTTTGTTCCATTTAAACTGTTTCCCACAGTGTTCACATCTAAAAAGCCGGTTCTCCTTTTCTTCGAGACTCGATTCAATATCTTCAAGCAACTGAAGGCGCCTTTGAGAGCTAGTAACTTCAATTTCATCCAATTGAAACTTGACCAAAGTTTCATGTAGCCGAAACCGTAAACTGTCTTTGTCACGCTGAGGTACGCGCTTATTAACTTCTAGATGCTTTGGGGTTTTCAAATGCCGTTCCAAATTGAACTTCTTGCGAAAAGACTTTTTACATTTGCTACAAGAAAACACATCATCCATTTTTTTATTCATATCTAGAAATTATAGTCAAATTACTATCAACGTTTAGTGTAGAAAGCTAACAATACTGTTCGTATCAGGGCGAACTCTTAACTGTTCCGACAACCTTTTAAAGCCCTTGGAGCACAAAGCCCATGGAGTGTGCGCAGAAAAAAATGATGAAATTTAAAACAAACCCTACAATCATCCCCCTACAAACTACGTTAAGTACAAAGTGATATTGTTGTTCCGACTTTCGAAGAAAGTGAGGAAAATATATGCTCGAGGTGGTTTATTATTCAGACTAACTTTTAAAAGAATTGTTGTCTCGTGGGATCGATCTCTGAATATTCGTGGACCCAACCGAGTTCGGTCGCCCCTATAGTAAATTGACCGAAGTCTATCGAAACTGCTGTTTTATAACTTGACGCTGAAAGTGTAACGCGCATTTTTACGGGTGTCGAATAATCCCGCACCACAAAATTGTTCCAAAATGTATTGAGGCAATCTCAAATCTTGATACTTAAAGTTAAATACTATCAGTCTATAATTCATAACTTGTCAATATTTCATTTAACAAAAAGTAGTCGAGACCAGTTAATGAAAAGTTAGAACATTCAGACTATTGCCCTAATACGAGCAGTCTTGATTCTACAATGATTTCTAAAATGGGTTAAATCACCGCTTACGCGTTAATAGGAAGAAGTATATATAGCGCGTTATTTATCTCAAATTGACAATCTCTTAACTCCCATAAGTTTATATAAAACGACCACAGGCGAAATATATTTTCAGATTTGAGCTAAAACTACATTATCTCTCAGATGATGTCAAAAAAAATCCGTCAAAATGGCTGGTTAAAGTCGAAGTTTGTCTGGAGAAAACCAACCGAGCACAAATATTCCGTCACTTTCTTCGAAAGTCGGAAAATTAATTTCAACGGCTTCGCATCTGTGTTATCATTTTTAAATTATAAACTTCGCATCACTTGTGTTATCTGTGTTATCATTTTTAAATTATAAACTTCGCATCACTTCGCAAGTAGAGCATCGCAAGCTAGCGAATAGAAAAATTTGTCGCAAAAAAAATTAAGAGACAGATATGAGACAACAAATACTTCAGTCGGAAATATTTAGAGACCAAAATATTTAGGCCGAATACAAATTATAGGAAAAAAAGAAAAACCAATTTCAAGAAAACAGTCGAAAACCATAATTACCAGCATTGAACAGAGAGGCGAAGCTTAGCTTCGCGTCGCTTGCGATGCAAAACAAAAAAGCCGCTGTCGAATAAAATCAAAAGTTTTGAAAAAGCTGGATTTATCAAACTGAAAAAGGCTAGTTTTGAAAAAAAACAAACCAATAGAATGTAAAATCAGCATCAAAAAATATCTAAGAAAAAACCTTAGCAGAAACCCTTTGAGCCGAAAAAAAAAACATTTTTTGGTCCCCTTCACCTCAACACAAACTTTAATCGCTCGTCAAATAATCTTTCGAAAGCCAGCGCTTCCAATACTGGCCTTCTGTTCGCTGAAAAGCTGAAAACTTGCCGCTTTAATCACTAGCAGACTAGAGGAGCGTTATAGCGAGAACAAAGCCAAAAAACAACAACCTAAACAAGTTCAACCGCTAAACATCAGAAAAAAAACGTTGGGCTGCTAATGCCTCGTTGAAACTTTTTGAGATTTTGTGACTTAACGGTTTGTACTTTTCGACCAACGCTCTCAATTTTCAAAAATAAGCATAGGAAGATCGTCTTCGATCCTTCGCTAGAATAGCTAAGCATAAAAAACAAGTGGTGAAATGGATAATTTCCTGGTTTCGTTATTCTAAAGCATTCGAACTAATTTTTTCGATGTTTAAACATAAATATAGCAAAATGGAAACAGCAATCCAAAATAAATCAATAAATAAATATACATCAAAATATATACAACATTTAGCATTTCATTGAAATGAATAAATATAATTGGCTAGCATTTTTTAGCTTAAAATACTTAATATAGCTCTTTGAGTTACCTCCGGACTCTTCAAGTATTCGAAAGCACATCCACAACAGTTAGATTTATTTCTAAGGACTTTCATGGTTGAGCAGCACTTGGATTCATTTTCCGTTCAATCAAAGCTCGATATGCTCCGGAATCTCATCTTCAACGAACATGCCATCATCTTCTGAATGTGATTGGCTCTCATCCTTATGTTCTGATTGGCTGCTGCTTGTGTCGTCATGAGCCGCATTTTCTTTACCTTGTTGATTTTGGACCATTTTAATATAATAGGATGGGTGAGCATTTTTCAAAAACATTTGGAATTGAGGTTCTATTTCGTCGAGAGTTAGTGCTTGGTCTTCATTTTTATCGAGTTCCCTGAACAACTGTTCGGCTTCCTTTGCACCTACTAAGACGCCTCTGCGTTCCTCAGGAATAACCCAATTCAGTATTTCGTTAAAATCCATTAGACCGTCCTTGTCTTCGTCGCGATGTGAAAAGAAATACTCGTATTCGCGTCTTATATCAGTTTCGGAAGCTGTGGTTCCATCCTCATTCGCTCGCATGGTATACATTTTAGACACTGCTTTTATGTACTCGTCTACTTGTAAAAGACCGTCTTCATTTTCGTCTAGCTCCATGAGTGATAGCTCAACAAACACTTGATGCATTTCCTCAAACATTTCAGGCATTGCAAACAGTTTAAACCTCGCAAAATCTATTTTCAAATGATCTTTTTCCGGACAAATGAAGCCGTTTTGTTCACAAGCACCATAAAACCTAACTTTCTCACTTCGCACCTGAGCCCGTACATTTTCTAGTTCGCTTTTTTTGTACCGTGTAAAATCAATTTCTCCATCCTTCGTTGTCGCGTAATTTGAGGTCAAAAATTCGCTCCATGTTACTTCTTTATCCCCATTTAAATCTGATTTTAGGAACTCTTCTTCAATTTGAAATGTCAAAGTTAGATTGTAATCATCCTGCATCCAACTTCGCAGCTCTTCCATACTTATTACCTTGTCTGAATTTGTGTCTATTTTGGAAAATATGGAGTGAATGATATCGCTTTGATTACTACTTCTTCCAGATGACGTTGATAGCACTACTAATACGAGTGTTACAGCCAGTTGTGATAAAAATGAAGACGGGGTTGATATATACATCTTTTCACCTTAAAAACAAAACATTGTTAAAAACCAGAGGTTTATGTAATAAACATAGCCAACAAACAGTTGGAAAGGATCTTAGTTGGAATAAACTTCAACTTTCGAATTTCTAAGAAAATTAAAGCTCTTTACTTTCAAAACAATTTATGACGGACACTTTTTCGGTGAATATGAACACGATTTGAGAAAACTGGATCAATAGGCAATTTTTTTCTATTTCGCTGGGAAATCTGAACGAGAAAATAAAAAACGAAAAAAACCATTATGACCTATATAAGAGATTATCAAGTCTGAATCGGCAAATAAGAGACGAGCTTTCAGACAAAATTTGGAATGAAAAACTTGGAATGAAATTTCATTTAAGGTCAAAAACAATTTAAAAAGTTTCATTTACTGCTCTAATTTGGGTAATTATTATTGATAATAAATTATTTCTGGTACAGGTTCATATTGATCGATATAAATGACCACTTAAAAGAACCCAATCTGTGAGATCGTCATTAGACAAAATATGCCTGTTTTGAGACGTCTCTGGTAATGGAAACCTTTGAAATCACATGAAACAAACCGCCTTTTTCCACATCTAGAGGTTGGTCAGAAACTTCACATTCAATCATTCCCCCATAAAAGTAGTTGACCTGAAATTTGCACTAGCTCCGAAATAAACTCATGAAAATATCAGGACTTAGCAGCAAAAATACGAAAGTAAAACAGAACAATTTTCCAAAGCCTAAGATCTGAAATTTCGAAAAAATATATAACGTTATTTAAAAAGCAACAAACGCTGAAGAGAAATATACGGGGCATTTAACAGAATCAAACAAACAAAATCAATTGAAAAGCAAAACCAAAATTTGAATAGGTACGAGAATAAATTTTTAAGAAAATCTCTTCAACTGCAAAATTAAAATTCAGAAACATGATATTGCAAGAAATGCAAAAAAATAACAAGAAGTAACAGCGAAAAATAACCTGAAAATTTTTTGAAACTTGGAAATTATAGAACGGAGAAAACAAAAATTTGATTGATCTTTCGAAGAAATTAAGCCGGTGAATTGTACGAAGTAGTGTTCGCTTAAAAATAAACTAGCGTTTAACGCACCTTCGGTGCTTCGAAATTTTTCGACAGCTCATGAAAAACCGCATATATTGGAAACAACATCTGCAAACTTTTAGTGTACTCTGACTGCACCCAATTACAGGGTTGTTAATTTCGAACTTATAAATTTTTTTAATTCCCATTTTAAAAGCATCATCTCGAAAACTTAATGGGCCTCTGGAGAAATATGGAGGCCAGATTTGCAACCACTGAGAGCACCCTACCATAGGTTTAGGAATCCAAAATTCTGTAAATTTTTTGAACCTAAGTTTCCCGGAAAAAAAAATTTAAAAAAAACGTCTTATCGCGGAAACTTAAAGGATTTGAGCATTCATATTAGGAGGCAAGATTTGAGACGCCTGGTTGTACGCTGACAATAAGGTTGTATCTTCCTCAAGTTAGTATTTTCAAATTTTTTGAATTTCTTTGTAGATAAGTTCTTCGAGAAATTTTGAAAAATCACAAAACGGCACATCACGGAAACTAAAAGCATTTGAGCAGTCGCGTTTAGCAGTCGCATGTGGCACGATTTGCAACTCTTTAGAGTACCCTGACAACACCGAACTAAAGTGTTGGAAATTTCAAAGTTTTAAAAATTATTAGTTTTAACTTTCTGAAGTTTTCTGAAAATTTTTGAAAAAATCCAGAAAACGTCATATCTCGAAAACTACAAAGAACTGAGCAATCATATTTGGAGGCAAGGTTCGCAATCTTTGAGAGTACATTGACAGAAGCTAACTACAGTGCCGGGCAATTCAGATTTTTAAAAACTAATAACTTAAGTTTCTGGAAATTTTTGAAAAAATCGCAAAAAAACGTCATATCTCGAAAACTACAAAGAACTGAGCAATCATATTGGGAGTCAAGTTTCGCAATCTTTGAGAATACTCTGACAGGACCCAACTACATGGTTGGGAATATCAGATTTTGCGGAAAAAAATTAATCTAAGTTTTCTGAAAATGTTTAGAAAAAATCACAAAAAAACGTCATATCTCGAAAACTACAAGGATTTGAACTGTCATAATTGGAGGCAAGATTTGTAACTCCTTAGAGTATTCTGACAGCACCCAACTACGGGGTTGGGAACTTCAAGTTTTGTAATTATTTTATTTGAAATTTCTGAAAAATTTTGAAAAAATCTCAAAATCGTCTTATCTCGTTATTTAAAATGATCGGGCATTCAAAATTGGAGGCCAAATTCGCCACCCCTAATTCGATATTGGGCTGCTTAATTTAAACTCGGTAAAGTAACCACTAAAATCAAATTGGAAAATCGAAAAAAAAATCTTAACCATTGCAATATACGATATAGCTTAAACATGCAAAAATAATACGTTGAAAAAGCTTAAACATGGCGAGATAGTGAAGCCCACATTTAAATATATAATAGATTGACGAAAATTTCATAACATAAAAAGAAAAATGTTAATATTTTTTCGAAAAAGAAATTTAAAAAAGCGCTGTAATTTGATTCGAATTTATATGATCGAATCCCCCTTCGCCGTCAATTTTCTTTGTAAAATTGGTGTGAATAAAAAAACCACCCCAAGTATAACTATTCCTCACCTTCTTCGAAAGTCGAAACAAAAATACTTGAAGATCGGAACTGCAAAAAAAATATCCACTTCATGTGCTAAGTTCAAAATTTATTTTACGAAAGAAGTTTCTATTTTTTGCTTCTTTTTTGACGGAAGGCTAAAATTATTACTCCAAAAACTAGTTTGAGCTTAATTAAGCTTAACTAACGTACAAGAATTAATTCGACCACTACTTTTTTTTAAATCTTAATAATTTGGTCCAATATATGGTCTAAAAAGCGAAAATTTTATACCAGTTTATGCGAAAACAAATCTTACCTGAGGCCGTAGTTCCTTACCATTTCGTGGTAAAAAAAGCAAAAAAGAATTGAAAGCAGAACCAAGCGCTTTAGCCACAAATCATCCAAAAGACAATAATCTCTGATATTTACTTAAATTAGATCAATAATTAAAGTGTGATAAATACAAATCAAATTAAATTATATTTATAGCTTTGCAACCTGCCAGAAGCCATATTTTGATGAATTAAATGTAAGAAAAAGGTAATACTATTTGAGATTGCAAACGAGGCTGCAGAATATATTCCCGAGGACTTTTAGTTCCCATCTTCGATCTTTTGTCATTAAGATCTCTTTACCTACCTCTCAAATAAATTCATAATTCTAGATTGAAATAAAAATTACTAAGCCTATAGCCCATCGGCGAAACCTTTGTACCCCTAACAAAACCAGAAACAAACTACCTCAAATCACCAGCAGAGCAAAAAAAGTTCAATACAAAAATAGGATTTACAATTAAGTTGAAACAATCGCAGAAAAAAATCAAGGCCTTTGGCAGGAGCCTAGAAGGTAGAGCGCAAAAACCCGCGATGCTCATAACTTAACCTTCCAAAAATTGCTTTAACTGCTCTACATCTTACCTATGGCCACCCCAGAAAAATTTTTTAAAAACTTCTTCTTTCACAGATGTGAAGCAGCGCTTCGCACAACTCGACAAACAACAAAAACCAGGCGACAGGAAATGAGACGAAAGCCGCTTTCTTGAACCTTACTAACTATCAAAATTTTCATACGTTTGTCTCGATTTGTTCCGAAAAAAAACTCATTTAGAGAAAAACAATTCAATAGTAAATTAGCATCGGAACAAAAATTACGAAGCGTTAACTAAGCAATACAGACTTGAGAAAATGATTCAGTGATTCTGTTCAACTAGTTGTTTGGCAGAAAAAATCTATGTTCGGATTTGATTCGTTTGGTAATTGCAAACGAAACAAGGATAGCCGGTTGTTTTTTGAGCGTGGTCTGACAAAAGGAACAAGAGCCTAGAACTTACGCATATTCGTCATTCATAGTAAAACCGGCAAATTCAACAACATTCTATGAAAAATAACGAGAAAAACAAAAAAAAATCGAAAAAAAAAAGTTTTTTTTTATTCGGAGAATGAAGCTAAAATGAAGACTTCGAAAACGTATTTTACTGTAGTAAAACTGAAATTTCAGGGCTTGAAGAAAAACTTCATGGCTTATCTATGTATATACGCATATAAACGCTCGCAATACTCGAAATTGAACTTAACTCAAATTTTTAACCAGTTTTTCTCGACACTGGGACAACTTTTTGGAGTCACGACGGAAAAGGCTGTAATAAGATTTGTCATGATATGTTCACTTTTTGTGTTTTACATAAATAAATCCGATAAAAACAATTTTTACTATCTTAGTTAAGTATCCCTCGGATATTTATATCAATTTAAGTACTTAATTTCAAGTTCATAATCTACAGTACAATCAAATCAAATTTGAGCAAAACCACAAACAGCAATGGATCCGTTGTAAACCTTAGCAACTGGAATCAAACAAACTGAGCTCCTCTTCAACATTGTTTCTAGAGTTTCATTATCGATCAATCCACTTAGGGTCTCCGCGTCCATGAATACCCTACAGGGTTTCAATTCAGATCCCGGTGCTTCAAAATTTTCTAAAAACTTATTGACATTGTCAAAAGTATCGACTTTAATAACGACATTCGAGTTTAGCTCATGGTCAATGTGAACAAACTCCCATTCCACGCTGGCATTTTTCGGCAACACTGGGATTTGGACAATAATCAAATTCTGGTTGGGTAATTTCAGATGTTCCCAGATTTCTCGCACAGTTCTGAAGAACTTCTCGCTGGTAACGTAGCAGACACAGTAGAGGTCACATTCCTTGATATCTTCACCTGTTTCTGGGTCTTCCAGATGACGAGGAATAAAAGTGAAGGACTGTTTTAGTTCTTTCAAGACGGACTGAAAAAGTTTCAGAATTAAGCCTTACTCGAACGACTGAATTGGTCTCAAAACCAAAAATTAATCAGCCCGATTTCTCTCAACCATGAGATAAGCTTTTGAAATATATTTTTGTAATCGGAGTCCCGACTGAAACAACTTAAACATGGGGCAGATCTAAGATTTTCTCGAGAGCGGGGGGCTGATTTTCAAAATTTTAGTTCGAAGTTACGTCAAATTTTTTGTTTTAGCTCAACCAAATTGATTTTCTGATTTCTCCCAAATCACTTTAACGAACCGATTTGAATCAAATTTTCAGCACCGCAGCCAATTTTTTGAACGAAAAAAAAAACAGGTCAAAATGCCGTTTTTGGTCAGTTTTTGAAAAACTTAGACAAAATGTCCCGTTTTTTCAAAAAATTCAAAAAATACTAAATTAGAAACTTTTAGAAGGCGCATAGAAACTTTTTAGCGTTAGTCGGTCGAAAATGGATGAAAAAAAATAAGCCAAAGGGGGAGCCTTTGGCTGTTGAGGGGGTTGAATCCGCCTTCCGCAACCCAAATCAGCCCCTGAATTTAAATATGACAGAGGCGAAGCTGAGCTTCGCACCTGTGGTCAGCTGAGCTTCGCACCACTTGCGATACAAAACAAAATGAAAAAGTTCAAAAAATCGAAAAAACTAGATCGATCAAAACGAATAAGGCTATTTTTAAACTTAGTTGTGGTTTTTCTCTTCCTCAGTTTTATACTCTTTTCGCAATTTGTTAATTTCTATGTCTATATTTTATCATTTCCTTGTTTTGCAGATTTTTTGGTCAAGTTTTTCTTGCTCTAGATAACTGATGATGGCAGTATTGCTGAAAACGGTTTTAATTCAACGTTGATCGGATTGGTTTTTCTCCTGAATAAGACTAGTTTTGAAACAAAAACATGCCAAAACAATCGAATTTAAAATAAGCATCGAAATATAATGTGACCAGCGATAACCAAGCCCAAAAATACTTTGTCAGAAACCCTTTAAGCCGAAAAAACTCAACTCCCTTCGCCCTCAAAACACAAAAGCACTCAAAAAAATATTTGCTCGTCAAATGAAACAAAATGAGGCCACTAAGCCGAAATATTATAGGTCGAAACCTATCAAGCCAAAAAAAACAAAAAGCCGAAAAAAATCAACACATTTTCAGGCTAATAAGGAATCTTTAAGTCCCACTTACCCTCAGAAATTAGGTCACTAAGCCGATAAAAATAGGCCGAAAGACAAAACAAAAAAAGAGAGAAAATATACGAAGTGAAGTTTAGTAAAATTAAGAACAGCAGAGGTAAATCAAAACACTAAAAGGCAAGTATAATGTAAGAAAAAAAAATAATTCAATATGTCAACTAAGCCGACAAAACATAAGCAGACAATAATAAGCCGTCAATTGTTTTTTAAAACACTATTTCTCGTTTAAAAAAAAACAGGTCATGTCCGATTCGAATCCAGAACCTTTGCCGTCCCAGGCGCATTCTTTATATCCAAACCAAGTGAGCGGGAGACGCAAATAAATTTGAATTCATTATGAACAACCTAAATTTACAATTTCTAATTTTGATCATACTGCGAACAAGGTTATTTATCGGAAAAAAGGCCAACACCCGATTGCAATAACACATTTGATCCCCGACGGGCTGAGATGGTCAAACTCGAGCGGAAAACCCACTTCTTACGCCCTAGCCCCTTCCCATCACTTCAAGCGGTCAGAACAAAAATCGATTTCTCAGAAATATGAATTTTTGCATGTTTGGCAGCGAGTACTGCAGATAAACACACGTACCTTAGCGTGATTTAAAGCCAAAATTGCGTGGTCAGCGAATTTCGCGGAATGCAATACATTTAGAGTAGCTGGAACCATTGGAATCTGTCCAGACACAAATGTGACTCCCTCAAAACTCACATACTGACTGTAAGGCCCAATATTAGCCGGCGCCCAATGAGAAATACTTCTAACATACAATCTTCTATCGTCACTCAAACATGCAGTCCACTTTGATACAATGTACACACTAATCAAATCTTTGGATGATGACTCCACACATGATCTAGCCGGAGGACAAAGACATTTAGCGAAGTGCTTCTGGTAGATTTTGTTCAGTTCCGCAAACTGAGTCATTCTGGGAATGTAAAGGTAGACACAGAAGCTGTTGTCAAGTCTGGATCCAACATCTCTGAGCGAGTTGTCTGCCTCACTGAGCATATCGTCAAAGATGTTCAGAGACGTCTACACAAAATCGAATTAAGTCAGCCTATTCATTTCAAAATACTATTCCCATGTCTTAAATTTTTCGAAATCACCAGGCGGTCCCTTCCACAGTTGATTTTTGGCCGTCTAATAGAGGCATAGTTAAACCGTAGTTCAACTTCAGCTCAAATCAATAGCCCTCAAAATCAAATTAGAACTTGATTTCAGTACCTGGATATTTTCAGGGTCAACCCGAGTTGAAATTGCACTGAAGCACATATTTCCCAATCTAGCTGACTGTTTAAACAATGGAGATTCCAACTTAAATTTGGCACCAGAATTATCCCCGGCAAAACACGGTACTAAGATGAGGTCATTCAACTCTGGCATTTCATACAAATACAAGCGATCTAATGGCTCAATCGATGAAATTGAAGATTTCTCCTCGCAATGCGACTTCAGAATATTGATATATGCAACTGGACATACATCGTTACGATCAACTTCGATCACACTTTGTTCGTCGATAGTGATTTTCTTTTTGAAGCAAGTGGCATCCAACGTGAACGTCTCATATTCTCCGCCTATAAAATAACACCAACACATTGAGTTTAAATGAACTGATTTGATTTGATTTTCTTAGCGCATAACAATAGTTTCTTAGCGCATAAGATTAGGCTGGCGATGAGCTGAAATGCTCTTTCAACAGCCCTTCCAGAGAACATAGTACGTTAAATTCATTAATAATGTACTGTTTCTAGATAAATGAATTCAAATTCAAAGTCCCTTTTTAATTTTTCACTAAATATCGACAAATCCTTCATTTACCTTCTCCACACGGATTGATGCCGAAAGATTTGTGAAACTTCAGTAAATCAGCTGATATGCTTTGCAGTGTCTTTCCCAAATGATTTTCAACCGTCAGTCCGATTCCAGAAATCTTTATCAACATAGCGTCTAGTCCTCGATGTGGCATTTCATGCAACAATTCCACTTGGTCTCTCTTCCATAGATATGCCAGAGAGACCAGGCCTAGTCTGGCACAGACACTTTCGACTCTCGTTCGCTGATAGGTTGAAGCAATAGCTCCACTGCATACTGCATCTACTTTGAACTTTTCTTTTGCGAGCGAAATGACGTCGAACATATCTTCCACTTCGTCTGTTGGCCGGGGGTCATAAACTGGAACAGACTCATTTCACCAATCAATTACACGCACGACCAAAACTAATGATACACCGATCAAAAAAACTCCAAACGAATTGTTAGTATTGCGAATCATAAATATCATCAGTTAATATATATTTTCAATTTCATAATTGCATTTTGCGGCGTTTTTTTTTTGAGAAACTTTTTTGAAAACAGTCATCACAACTAAAGGAAAAACCGCCAAAAACGTATAAATCTGAACCAGAGCTTCTACGTAAAGAACTTAACAGCTCGTACGTAAAGAACTTAACAGCTCGTAAGAAAGACACGCTGTTATTTAGAATATATCTCTGTGTGGTGTATCTTACTCAAGTCGCCAACAGTGCATTTTCTGGAGATAGTGTTTCTGAGAAGGGGCAGCTGCATGGCCTCTGCCAGAGTATCCACTGCATGGTGGCCCACAGTCTGGAACATGAAACTGTCCAGCTCATCCAAACCTATATTACCAAGAAAAAACTATAAAACATACATAACATTGGCATGAAAAATACACAAAAAATAAGTCTGATTCTGCGATGTGCCTATTATTTCCACCATAACAAGCAATTCTTCTATTAGAATACAAGCCACCAAATTACCCGAATCAATCCACGCCTTAGGTGTTCGGAACAATGAAAATGAATAAATATCCTCTTAATTATGATACTAACCTGGAGTAGGAGCCAAGTTAGCGAGACATACCACTTCATGGCCAAGGGAGATGCACTCTACAATAGAGTAGGTACTGTCCTTCCCACCACTTACCAGAGCAACCACTCGCATGGCTAATCCCTTGTTCTTTTTCTAGACTAGAGAAGTCCACGTGAACTAAAATCTACTTTTTACAAAACAAGCATCTCATTCCCACAACAACTATAAGTCACTTCAATCTGAAATTAACAACTTTATTAATATCTGCCAAGTATAATTTGAACAAAATCAACTGGATACTTTGATCTATTTAAGCAAAGAGGTGCTTCGCACCACCATGTGCGACCATGGCAACCTAGTCTACAGAAAAACTGGAAAAGCTTAACCGAAAATCGAAAATAATAATGAATCGGAAATCAAGCAGACTTAACTTTGATAGACGCCCGTTCAGTTGAAATTTACTCTGGCATAATACATTTTGCGAAGATTTCAAGTTTCCTATTTCTTCTCGAAATCAAGAGGTCATAGTGGTAAGGCATTTACATAGAAATCTTCATATCGCGTATTTGATCCCATGCGATGGCAATGATAGCATGCGGACAAGTTTTCAATTAAGACCTAGCTTCAGGTCTACCACAGCCTGGCCGATTTCGGCTGCAAAAGCGGTACCACGTGAAATTTCTAGTAAAAAAAGCTTCGCTCAACAAAATAATTCAGTCTGGAAAACGGAAATAATATCTACGGACAATGCTTAGACAGGAGGCCTGATAGCCATTTAAAGATCCTCTGTGAATCGCAGAAATTCTTATTATGATTAATTATTATTAGTTATTAAACACACCGCACGGGAATAAATAAAATTGTTATCAACCCTCAAATGACGCAAAATGAAGCGACTAAGCCAAAAAAAAGACTAGCCGAAACCTAAGTCGAAATAAAAATTTAAACCATTGTGAGCGTAAATTTTGACACAGAAGCAAAACTGCGCTTCGGAAACTAGCGACAAAACGACAATTATCAGCTCTAAAATGTGAAATAAGAAACAGTAAAAATAGCCCAGAGTAACAAAAATTTCGCTATGCGTCTGATTCGAATCTCCGACTTCGAGATTTGGAGTCTCACGTCCTCGCATTTGCGCCAAGGGCCCTTGAAAATTTGTTAACACTAGCCACCAACAAATCAGCTGCCGATGCTACCAAATGGCCGAAGCTATTCAGCAAAAAAATATAAAATATAAAGTAAAGGAAACCACACAAAAATTAGCATGTAAAAATTGGAAATTGAAAAACCGAATTGTGTGTGAAACTAAAAACTTCAAAATTTATCGGAAACTTCTATAAACGAGATTTTATTTCTGTACGGTGGTATGGAACAAATAGCGATTAAACTGCCAATGCTGCCTGCCGCAAAAATGCCACCAAAAAGTAGCAATAATATTTGCGATTTAGGTTAGAAAAACAAAAATTAGCCTTGCTCCACTTGTTTATGCTTGCTCCACATTATGCTCCACTTATTTATAAAACGTGAATATAAAGAGCAGATATGCTCAAAAAATATCTGCTGACCAAATATGTCTGTTCTCACAATAATTGTAATCGCAAGCGCATATTTTATACAAGCAATTGTGGAGAACGAGACATCAGGACAATAATTTTATTAAATCAAATATAAAACTTTTGTGAACAAGTAGACTTTCTCGTAAAACGAAAAATTAACACAATTATTAAATTTTTAACCAAACACAAAAATTTTCAGGTTCAAAGCCAAACTACACAATTGGAACAGAACAACTATATTAGCAGTTTCATTAGTTTAATCCGAACTAATCCACAAGCTAGACCTGTACAGATTAAATAGTTGGAACTATTGATAGGGTAACTACTGACAAACTTGATTATACTTTCTTCATCGGGGAATTTATTTGAATCAGTCGGTGTGATATATGAATCTCTAAACACAAGTGATTTCTGCTGTGAATCAACCGATACTTTCATGACCACAGCGCACGATTGGATTTTAGCTTTCTTAGGGACCACTGTCAATCTAGAGTCACTTCTGAACAGATATCCTTCCTCCGTTGCAATAAAAATGAAGTTGCCGTCGTAGTGGAAATGTGTTCCAGTGACAGCTAATCTGTCTAACTTTTCATGGTAAAGAATTCGAATGTTTGTACTGTACAGCTCCTGTTCCGTAGTGAGAAGTGAGCTGGGGAAGGTAGATTTGGTCAAGTTGCAGTGAGTCACAGTGAAAATGAATCCAGATATGTATGGATCAGCGGATAGGCCACACATTTGATACATGGAAGATACTAGAAGAGGACCATCCGCGACATTAGCTAAGCTCCAGATCTATGCAATGAATTTTCAGTGTCAAACAATATATTTTTTTAAATTCAGAGTGCTACATAATTTGAGCGCGAATCATAATTATAGGCACTGATTTACAATAAACACCAGTTTTGAGTTTTTTTCGTTTGCACTTTCATTATTGCAGAGCTTAATTTGTCTTCCGCACAGAAAATGAATTGAAACTGAACTGAAAAAAAGAGCCAAAACACGAAAAAAAAACAGCGAGAACAACGTAACACTTAAGCACATGGCGTGAATAACCGCGCACTTTAACTGGAGCTCCAAAACAAACTAGCCATAAAACTGGAAACTCTTGTACACTTCATTTAGATCGGCTTGAATTACGCTTCATGATATTTGATTCGAATTGTAGATTCTAAAAAATGTATGAGACATTTTAATTTTTGAAATAATTTGACATTCAAGCTAAAACCAATTCCAAATAGCTCTTTGAAGTGTTTGCCTTTTTGGCGCTTTCTATTTTTTTTTCGACAAAAAATTTTGCATGGAAGATTGTTGGGACAAAAAAAACTGCTTTGAAAATCTGGGTGAAAGTAAACTAATTCCAGCCGATCAGAATGAGTATTCAAAAAACTGGAAACCGCAAAAACTTCAATTTAAGGAAATAAATCCCGGCCATTCAATTTAAAATTTACCGATTGCAACATAATCAGACAACTGAAATTTCAATAATTGTCAGATCTAGGATGCATTGGAAAATTTGACACCTGAACGATACAGACTATAGAAAAATTAAAAACAAAACAAAAAAAATGAATTCGATATCTGCGCGACTTGTACAGCAAAACTTCGCTCTACTGTTTAAGTTCATTTTATGCTAATTTTGACTTCGATTTGGTGCAAAAACTGATAAGCGAATAAGAGCATCTCACGCTTCTAATTTACAAAAATTAACCCTTCATTCGGCCCCTCCACCACGAGAACAGCCCACCTTGAAACTATTCAAAAAAATGGACGCCTCTGAAAAATCGCAATCGTTTGGAATTGTTTTGTTAACATTTCAAAAGTTATTTTGAAAATGTTTGCAATTTTGACGCTATTTCACTGTCTCAAGTTTAAAAAAAAAACGTTTAAAAAATTTAAAACGTCCAATAATATCGCTAAGAACTAAACGAACCGATTTATACCGCATTGAAGGTCAAAATTTTGCGTACGCTTAGGTTCTTCAATGTCAACTCAATTTGCCTAAAACCCAAATTGAAAACAGCTTGAATCCGGTTTAAACAAAGCTTGACAAAATTCTTATCAAGGTGACCGTAGCTTCTATGCGAACACCTGACCTTCAAAGATTCTTCAATCATTGCTGTTGTTGAAGCGAAATGATCCGGGTTGTATTTATTCCAGACTACATTAGTCACGCAACTCAAATGAGCAACAAATATCATTGCCGGATAAATCTGAGTTGACTCAGCCTCATTTAAAATGATGTTATCATTTTTCAGAATCCAAATAGCAATCGATCCATTTGAGAAGCCAGCTATTGCCTTGGTCAGTTCTGGATCCACGTGGAGAAAGTCGAAGCATAAACATTGGCCCATGTCCACTTTGGGAGTCAATTTTACATCCGCGTAGCTGATAATTGTAGATTTGTTACCTGAGAACGAAAAAGATCAATTTCAGGACCTGGTCAATTGCTTCCCATCACGGTGCATCCATGAGACGGTTTTTAGATTCAATGACTAATTTCCATGCAACCGTAAAAGGAATTAATGCCTATGTTTATTATTCATCTACGCTTAAGAGTTAAATTACTTCTTATTAGGGGCGGAGATTAGTTACAGAGTATCACAGTGGATGTCAAAAATTTAGCAAAGACTGAACAAACCGTTAAAATGGGAGAGGTCGATGGGAGTTATCGAGAGATACCCGGCAGATGATGCGCCTGCGAGACACTGCACAAAGGGATTAGACGTATTCGGTCTCATGTCAAGCCACTGCAGTCGCCAGTGCAACCCTGTAACTGCAAGGTTACCATGCAGAGATACTGAGCGTAGGTCTCCACTCAACTTCCAAAGCTGAAAGGAAACTAGGCTTACAAATATAGCCAAGATACTTGAAGAGGCGAGGCCAGGCGGAGCTTAGCATCACATGCGATTCGGACAAAGGAAAGTAAACACAGCTTAACACATAGGCGAAGCGGAGCAAAAAAAAATGGAAATTTCAGCCGTGATCATTGAAAAAAAAACTAGTTCCACATCATAAAACCGTAATATGTGGCAAACAATGAGAAATATTACCCATGAAAAACAATAAAAGCTTTTGTAGCCACGAAAAAATAAACGCTCAAGACATTTAACCCGCTGAGTTGGTAAATTTAAACCAACATTCAAAATATTTTTGAATAGAATTAATAAGATTAAGTGATAAAAACAAGCTGGAAGAAAAGTTTCTGTAAGACTATGTGTTTACAAGAAAAAAGTTAAGTGCTGAGTCACTGATTTGACTACACTTGAAAATCGCAAATGTAAGAACCATTTTTATGTGAAAGAGTTTTATTTAGATTCATTTGCAAAAAAAAAAATTTAGGATACAACAAAATCATAACAAACAAGTAGAAAAAAAAGATTTTGAACAGTAAAAAAGTGAACCAAAATTTTCATTCATATGTCACGATGAGGGAAAGCTAGAGCCCAGCTAAAGCTGGAGGTCTGTGTTTGATATTTTTTGAAATTGCTATACTGATGTAGTATGAAATGCTTGATTTCAAAAATTGGACTTTGTCCAAAACCTTAGCTGTTTGTCTACTAAAGTAAGTAGAGTGAAAATTGTTGAGATTTTGAAAGTTTCTTTCGTAAAGACAAAAAGGGTAGCCGCTTCTGCAGAAAAAAAACGCAACCGCTTCTTTCGCTTGAATTTTTTCTCTCACTTTCCGAAATCCTTAACATTTTTCTGCTAAAAGCAGACTGACCGGTAAAATAAAGAAGATTCACAAAATCGAGTTTCTCGATTGAACACTTAATCTGAGAATTGGCACGGTAATTTTCGAGTAAAATTTAAAAAACAAACTTCCGAAAAACGGTCACAGTATCAAAATTTTCACTTATTTGAAGGCCATAACTATTTTCTAAAAGAAAGTGGGCTTAGCAAATTACAAAGGTAAGCTTTCAACATCCTGTTGTGTCGATTAAACTTATGATATCAGATTTGGAAGGAAAGTTATCAAGAAAAGTCCAAAAAAAACAATTGAGCGTAACCGCTTCTGCAGAAGACATTAACCCAATCTGTATTTTCGATTGAAACCGAAAACCCAGGTTTGACTGGGTAGTTCTCGAGAAAAGTCAAAAAAAAACTTAAAAAAACGGTAAAAAAATCAATTTTTTGATTTTTCCGAGGGCCATAATTTTTTGTCAAAAAATTGGGCGTGGTCGGGTGTGCATAAGAGCTTCTCACCACCCGGTCTTTGAATTGAACCCAAAATCTCAGATATAGGAGTTTATTGTTCGGTAAAATTCATAAAATGTAGAAAAAAGCTCAAACAAATTCCGTAGTCTCCATTGAGCCTGCAACCTCAGGTTTGGGAAATTAGCTTTTTAAAAAATACAGATTCAAAAGACGGTCAACAAAAATCAGAAAATTCACTATTCCGAGGGAAAAATTTATATAAGAGAAAAAATTTTGGGCGTAGCCGCTTATCGAGAGGCGATTCTCAAATCCGCACTATTCATTGAAACAAAAAAAAAACAGATTTGGTAAATTAGTTTTGGAGAACACGAAAAAAATATATCGGTCAATTATTCCTCCGCTAGACGTTTTCCAAGGCTGTAGACAAAGAGGTAAAAACAAAAAGAGGCCAGGGGTTTATGCAGGTCTTTCTATGGTTACCTTTTTTGAAAATGATAAAAACTTTAACAAAGTAATAAAATTTTGCAAAGCGTCTGAAAAAAAAAAGTAAAACAAAAAATCCAATCCCGTCTATAAGAACCGGAAACAATGCCGGCAACCTTTCAGCAAACACCAGTTGAGCCAAAAAAAAACGGTTAATTTGAATTTTCATGAAATTGAGCATCTCAGCTGCGTTTCAATGATCATGGAAGCGATATGTCAGCAGTATTGAGCATATCAGCTGAAATTGAGAAGTGATTTAACCGATTTTGTTAAACTAGTAACTAACTCGAAAAAAGTCTACATTCCGAATTGACAACGCTTGCTAATCGCAAGGGTAATAAGCTATAACGCGCGTGATCAATTGTCACTAAATACAAAATTTTTCTCAAAATATCTGCACTGGTATAACCACAAAATTTGATAAAAAATTATCCTCTACGCGAATGAAATCCAATAACAAGAAAAGTATTTGTTTTTCAATTTTTTTATATTTCTTAAGCTCGCGCAACACAAACTTCATTAAACCTGAAGCGTATGGGTCATTTCGTTTCTCTCCGAAGCCGGATATTTAATAGTATCGTCTAATCTAGTTGCCACTACAACGAGCAGCGACTCCATAAGACTTGTTATTGTGCACGACACGGGAGTGTTTCCAGTGTTGAAAACTGCCGACCCTTCTGAGAGGAGTGACACTTCGGATGGAACAGGAGCTGGGACGCTGGCATCTTTGACAGAAATCTTGTCAAATGTCGAACACCTAAATTTCTGAACAACGCATGGCGATCAGTTATTAAGAAAACGATGCAATATTTTTCAAAACTAGAACCTTCATTATTAAAAGTACACTCGCTCTTTTCTCATGTAAAATACAAAAATTGTAACGCGTTTTGCAACGATTTGTAACAAAAATCAATAATTCATGAACACATAATAAAATCGTACCATTGAAGACATATCGGAGTTGCAGTTAGTTTCAATACGCCTCGGGGTCAAATTGGGAAACAGTGTACCCCAAGACGCGATTATCTTCATTATTTCCGATTTGTCAGCTAACTGTGATGATATTTCGTCCAACGAAAAGTGTCTTCTGACAGTACTACTTGCAGCTTGTGTAGGAACTTTAACAGGAGAAGAGTAGTTCGAAGCATTTCTCCTGAGTTCTTCTAAATCGCTGTAAATCGAGGGGTCGATACTTGAAGTTGTGTCGTTGAGGTTTTCATAACTGATATCTTCTTGAGAAACTTCTTCGAGAGATTTATCTGTGGCATTGAACGAAAAGTCTTTCTGGTTATCTTCTAAACACAAAACCATACTTAATTCACATGAAGAACAATTGCCAACATAAAACTACAATTAAATTGTTTTTAAGTAAAATCATAGCACCAAAAAATTTGCAAATGTTTTCATCTTAAAGTACCAGAACACAACTTCAAGTGCCTTTAGTCTTTTTACATGACAAGTGCTGAGACATTTCAGAATGTGAAATCTAAACAAAAATAAAAAGTTTTCGAGTTAGAATGGCACAAATATCTAAGATGGATTAACAATCTAGCTAAACTCCTATAGGAAAGAACATAGCCAACAGACAGTCAATGAACGAAAGTAAACAGAAAAAAACTATGATTTATTTTTTTTTGAAAAAAATCTCAACTTTCGAAATTTAAAGAAAAAACTAGACGCCGTTAAAGCTCTTTGAATTTCAAGATCAATTTTTGACTGGCACTGTTTTGATAAAACTAACTCAATTCAAGAAAACTGGATTAATAGGTTATTTTTTGATTCCGCTGGGAAATCTGAAAATTGAATTCCACTTTCAAAATTAGAAGTCGATCACGTTTTTTTGTGACCTTTACACTTTTGCTGTTCGTTAGTGGAAATCGCCTTCCTTTTAACAAAAGAAATGCACTGAACTTTAAAAAATCATGAGTGGGGAAAAAAGTCTCACACAAGCACCATAATTAGTTTAATTTCAATTTGAAACAGCTAGTAGATAGTTCCTATCAAGTATCTTCAGATGATCTTTCACAAGATTTAACTTCAAATATAGCAATTAAACAAGTTTCGATAGACAATAATTCAACTAACTGTCACAATCTTCGCCATAGATGTCCTTGAAGTTTATCCCCCTTGCCACTGAAGATCGTTTGAGGCCTCTCGCCATTGGCAGTTCAGATTGCTTATTACCGCTTACATTAAGATCCTCTTCGAAAGATCTAACATCTCCACACCCCGAATGCCGCACGTAAGATTTGAAGTCAAGCACGCTCGAACATTTGTTACATCGAAAGGTGAAACGCTCAAGCATCCGACGTTTTTCAGATTGATCATGTTGTTGCTGGTAACTGCGGTATGATTGACAGAGCTGAAATTGGCGAAGAGTTATTAAACGCAAGTTTGGGAATATTCGCGCTCACAGGATACTTTTTGGATTTAAAGGTAAGCAAAATACAAAAAATTGCAAAAACAAAATACAAAAAATTGCTGGCGATTAAATTTTTCCTGGACTGGAAACTAGCATGCCACTTTTGGAATACTCAAAATGACTTACTACCAGTACCAGCTTGTATGAAACTAGAATACCCAAAACATCAGCCTTTATATAAGAATCTGACGCTACACAAGAACATAATGTAATGAAAAGCGCTCTTAACATACAATTACCAAAAAGAAATTTTTTTTTTCCTATCTTAACCTTAAAGATGAAAATGTGGCAGCCTATGGAAAGATAACTTGGAATACAAATAAATTTGATTTCAGTTGACCTCAATTGCATCGTATGGTCATGAACTGTGTTTTTGCATATCATAACTTAAACTCATATTTCAACTTAGTACACAGAGACGAAGTTGCACTTGGCATACACAAGCAAAAATATGAACGATAACGCTACTGAGAAAAACTGAATGAGAAAAACTTTGAGTTCACAAAAAATTTCTGAAGTGACGCACGCCAATTATGATTCTACATAATTGCTAAAAACGTAAGCCATTTATGACACCTTAGCAATACCAGTCAATTTGAAAACAAAAAAAAAATTTCCCAACTAACATTCCACAGTACATAGAGCAGACGCATTTTAACTAGTATAAGAAAAATTTCATTAAAAACATCCGACCCTGCCCAGGTTCGAACTCTCTTTGTTTCGGGTCTCCTTTCGTACCTCTACGCTACAGATCCATGCTTGAAGCTAAAGTGCTATTTGTAATATAATAGTCTGTAATAATATCCTTAGCATTGGCTGTACTTACTAGCTGGTTATTGATCAAAACGAACATTTTCAAAATTAACACATGCGACACATGCAATATTTCTGACTTAGGCTGGAGAAAAAGGTCTTTTTTTAAATGGGTTGAATTTAGGTGAAAAAATAGGAAGGCCAAAAATTTTAAGCCATAAACAAAACATCAGTTGGCAAAAGGCTCCAAAATAGCATATTTTTTTATTTTTGTTCGATAGACAAAAAATTTCATTTTTACCACGTAAAACACTACTTTGTTTAACTTAAAAACACTTAAATGCGTCAGAAACTGAACCAATAGTTTGGACGTGATCTTTGAGTGACTAAAAAACCCAAATATGTTCAGTTTTGGGGGTAAAATTTTGGGCCCGAATTTCGCAAAACAAATTGCACCAAATTAATTCTGCCAAATTTATAGGCAAGTTTTGTCGTCTTCTTTTCGAACTGAAATCACTTCAATAACAGAAAAACGCGTTCTAAATTTCAAGTTTTATGCGTTTCATCCGAATAGTTTAAATCACCACTGTATTGATGTTCACTTCATTTTTAATCTGATTTTTTATTACATAATGGTTGGAAAAGTCGTATGGTTGGAAAAGTCTTATAAAACTGAGAAGCGCAAAAAAAATTGTTGGAAATGAAGTAACGAAAGCTTAAAACAGGTGTCTCGGAAAGCCGGAAATGAACCATCATTCAATTATTTAGCTTCTTTTCAAAATTCTAATGGGTTTGTTTAATTTCAGATTTGCCGAAGTTTCAAAACAAGCAACGGAAAAAATTTTGTTTATTGTTTTAGTAATTGTTTGCTTAGAAAATGTATGACGTTAATTTAGAAGAGTATTTTTTGTTTTATTGATTCAAGTTTTCATTAGGGAAGTTTTAAACACTCTTGTACTGAACCAAAAATTTATCACTTTGAAGCTCCTTGAACGCAATAATTGATAGACACTTCAAGAATTGTTTATGATAAAAATCTTTCAACAAAATATCCGATATAGAGAAAACGGGATCAAAAGGTATTTTTATTGCGTTGTGAATTCCAAATACTAAATTCCACTTTTTGAAACTAGAAGTCAATCACGTCATTGGCGACATTAACACTCTTGCTGTCTGATTTTCCTTCCTTTTAAAAACGATACAAGCTTAACTTGAACAGAAATCAAACTTCAAACTGCCAAAAAAATTTCCTGAAAAAATCATCACGACTTATTCAAGTAACAATACCTTCTTTCTTTGACACTTCAAAATAAAAATTGCCACGCTTGGGAAATTCAGAGACCAATTAGTTAAAATTTCATACTTCTATTGTTTAATTTTCTGACAATCCAAAACAAGCCAACCCTATAAATTGCTTTAGGACTACAAGCAGACGGACGTCAAGTGCTTCCAACTCGTAACTCATTATAAATTTGTTTAAAAAAAAACCAAACAAATTTTGCTCTTAAAAAAGTTGTTAGTACAATACAATATTCAAGTATGATAACTGCATGTTGCATGAGCTGGTTTCTGAAACGCATAAATCGTACACTTAAAACGTCTTCAACAGTGATTTGAGAGCAGATCACAGTTTTGAGTTAGAAAGTGGGCAGCTAGAGGAATCAGAGCTGCCGAAAAAAAAAATGAGGCTCTTTAAGTATAGATGGAGCAGCCCAGTCAATTTTCGACAGTCCGAAACCACAAATCCAGTTCGAGCATGCTCTGTGCGCTCTTAAATATGGGAGGGCGTCAAGTCTACCAATTAAAGACGTAACCCAATTTGACGGAACGATCTATAGATCTGGAGCTTAAGAACCTCGTATTGTCAAAACATCTGTTTGCAAAATTTAACAGAAAATTTGATAACAAAAATTTAAGGCATTGCACGACAAATATGGATTTTAATTAGCTATTTGAGACTAATCCTCACTAACTTTCCAGTGTCTGTAAAAGAAGTCAGCAGCTGTGATGGGGCTCATTTTAGTTTTGATGTTGAAGTTGCACTGATCACAGTTGACGATGAAATACTTCGTAGACATGTCGCAAATGTATTTCCTGATGGAGACCTCGCCCATGTCAGCCAAAGCTATCACTTTCGATATGTGTCTGGTATAGAGATGGAACTCCATGCAATCCGATGAAACGTACGCCTCGCAATGCTGAAATAGGCGAAACAATGAATTACACCGAATAGTGGCAGTGAAGCTATCTTTAACCTAGACAATGATTTCGCCTCTTAGCTCATGAAACACATGTGGTTTTGAACCCGAAACTTATGGAAGACTAAGCTTCGGGTTCAAAACCACGTGTTTCATGGACTAAGAGGCGAAATCATTGTCTAGGTTAACCATAGCTTAGTGTAATGAACCATAGCTTAGTTCAGATCAAATAAAAAAGTTATAGTAATAATCCTCAGCTTCAACAACCAACCAACCCGCTGCTAAACCATAACAGAGTTCACCAGTGGATTTGAGGGGGATGGGGGGCGGACGCCCTCCCCCCTCAGGGATTCGACCTTCTGCCGACCCAAAGGGTCCCCCTTTGTACTATTTTGAGATATCCATTTTTGGCTGACTGACCTTAAATTTTTTCTAAAACGCCTTCGGCGCCAATCGATACTAATTTTGAGGTAGGAGCGCGCGCCGAAAAAACGCAATTTTTTGTCGAAAATTTCCAAAAATTGCCTAAAAACGCCTTTTTGGTCTGTTTTTTTTTTCCAAAATTTTGCCTGTGGCGCAGGAAATTTGGTCAAAATGGGGTTCTTTACAGTGATTTAGCAGAGCTCAGAAAATCAATTTGGTCGACTTAAAAAAGGTCGACAAAATTTTGGAATTTATTTGAAAAGCCCCCCCCCCCCCCTGGAGAAAATCCTAGATCAGCCCCTGTCTGAGTTGCTGTGCAGGCAGCGCAAACTGCTCCGACCACAATTACAATCAACTTTTAAAGCTTCTCGCTCTTTTTTAAAACAAAAAATATACATCTGATCAGCCCACAGATTATATTAAGATTGTTAAGCATATAAATTTACTGTTCATGTAGTAAAAACAACTGAAAAAGTGTTCATCTTGCGCCTTCGCTAAATTTGAGTCTGAATAGGAAAAACACGGAAAATATTTTGAAGTTTCTTGCCAAAAATTGAATAACGACTGACAGGGCTTCTACATGATACCTCACTTGACCGCCCTGAGAGTTTCCTCTGAGGAACCCGAATCAACACAAACAGTCCACCCTAGACAATAGTTCCTCTGCAACTTTATAAAGTGATCCAAATATAAAAGTCAGCGCAGAGCACATCTTATACTTAATTCTCTTCTGATAAAAACAACATGCAGCTTGGTTATCATGCTTAATTTACCGACATTATAATCAAAAATACGCCATAATATTTATATTGCTAAGATAATGCCGTTTTCAGAATATCAGATGATGATGATGATGATGATTATGCTGAGGGCTGGTTATCATGCTTTGATTCCGTATCGGACACATCCTAGGATTGGACAATGTAAGAATTATTAAGTTGACCAGCTTACGGTGACCGGGTAAAGATCTGAAAAAAAACAATAGTCAAATTGTAGGACAATCCTGATAGATACCGACAGAGAAACGGGCTGCACTTAAGAAACAGCTTTGAAACAGAAACAATACGCTAAGATCATTTCCCAACGCATGAACTACTCCTCTGAAGTGGGAAATGAACAAGCGGACAAAATATCAGAGATCACGAAACGCCGAAGGGTCCCCAAAAGGACCGACACAAAAAATCCTCTTTGCTCAAAAAAGCAAAATTAGAAGCGGCCCCAAGAGTCACATAACAAAAATGCATTGGAAAAAAAGAGAGGAACCAAAAAGCAAGACAAGCCTCACAATTTTCGCCTCTTCTAGGCAGTGACGAGCCACGACAAGAACTCGCAGGGTTCCGCCACAAGCACTTGTCCATTTTATCATTAGTCCCAATCGACGAGAAAACTAGCTAGAACCGCACAAGCAACAACCCCAGCCATACCAGTCACGATGAATACCAGGCGAATAACATGCAATATCTGACGTGGCTAGCATATCATTCCAACTTCGCCAGGCATCGCCGCAAATGCAAAAAATTACCTCGTCATGGCATGCCTTACATAAGCTCGAGAAGCCAGTCAAGTCGAGATATCACGCTTTTTATCAATTGAGAATACAATCATAAACACTTAATACACTGTTGGCCTTTCATGAAAATCAGAAATGACTCAACAAGAGCCATCACATCTGGTTCGAGTTGGATGGATTCCTAATGGGGAGATACATAGCATGGCAGCAAAACAAACACAAACTGAGGCATGTATATTCCTAAGAAGATACATAGCATGGCGAAAAAATGGAGGTAAGCAGCGACACTTCCTCTGAAACCGGAAACACTTCACCTTTTGAATTCAAATAAAGTCCAGGAGAAAGATAACCAAGCCAAACCTATCAATTAATTAAGAAAAATTAACTAATATGAGGACAGTTTCGAGTTTCGGAGAAAACAGAAGATCCTTAGCCTCCATCTCGGAGAAAGCATTTCTTGGGGCGAGATAGCTGGCCTGATTGGGAAGGCGCACTAGAATCATGCGAGAAACAAGGGCAGAAGAAGAGTTTTCCGATCGACTCTCATCTATAGAGGTTCATAACATCCGCCTAATCTCTGTGTATCGACTGTTTTAGAGTAATATGCCAGTAGATGAAAGCCGACATGCCTTGGAATATGAAATCACAAGAGACGCCAACGGAAGGTACGGGATAAGAGCACCAACAATTATAATTACTATCGTACAAAAAAATTGACAAGTGCAAGCAGATGGGACGACAAACTCAAAAGCGGCCAGATAGTTCATCTTCACAAGAAACGGTCAAAATTGATGTCAACAACTATCGACAATTTTGCCTGCTAAAAATGGCCAGCAGAATCTTAGCTAAGATTGTAGCGCGAAGAGGCTCAGAACATGGTCACAAAAATTGAATTTGCTCGTTGGAAATCTGTGGCTTCCGTCGTGACAGGTCGACGGCAGACGCCACATAGCTTTTGGTGAAAATCACCGAAGACGCAAAACGCCTAAAAAAGGAAAGCCCACCTAAACCTACCCGTAGAAGAGTTCACAGACCCGGAAGCAAGGTAACTCGACCTTCATAAGACGTACCATAGAATCAGTGAGAAATCCTGTGAAATTATTGGACGAAAGGTATGTTATTGGTTTACCTAGTAGTTTTTATCTAAAGCGACGAAATACCGAGTGAAAGGGCAACATAGAGGAAATGAAGAATGGACTGCAGAAAGAAGGTTGAGCGAAGGCTGCTCAACATCACCCTGCCTCTTTAAGATCTATTACACGGTGGTTATGCGGAACGAGACCAGAAAGTGACCGCAGAAGTTGAACATGGATACACAGTAGTATGATGGCAATGGGTGCCCGGAAACAATATCCCCGACTCAAATAAACTAGAAACATACAACAACGAAGTGGTGACTGTTCCAGTTGCCTTTTCCCCTTTTTGCAGCTCACAATACAATCATAGGGGAACGCAGAGAATTAAACGAGGAATCGGGCCAAATAAAAAGCTCAAAAACTGGAAAAATAGTGCGAATACACTGTGGGCAAAATTGAAACATCAGCTTATTAAGAAGAAACAACGAAACTGAAAAGAAATCTAGGTAGTAGAAACCTGCGTGAAAATGACTGCGCGGCAGGTCCATGTTACAAAAAAGGTAAAAACACAGCAATCAAGGTTCGACAAATGATATTGTTCTTTTTCTGCTCATGGGACCTCCGCTCATTTATATCAAAACAAAGGGAAAAACATGCAGGACATCAGGAACATCTTAAATATAAAATCTCTAAGATGGGAAACAGATAAAAGGAACTTGGAGAGAATAGGTGATGTTCTTCGGATAAAAAGCACGCGGCCCATAAAAATAGAGGTATTGGGTTGGTAAGGGAAAGCGCAGAAAAACACCTTAAGGGACCTTGCGCTTTTAAGAATATCAGAGAGCAATTAAAACTGATTACCATCAAATCATCACTTAGTTGCGCAATATTTCAAGCCATATGTCAAATGAACAGAAAAAAAACTACCAGCATAACTTACTAACTTGGCACTCAGATGGTTGGGAAGATTTAAACTGAAGTCTGTCGAACACATCGCAGTTGTCTGGAGCTATTGCGTGGACCATGACAGGCAACATCCACTTGTACTCCTTTCCACACTTGCCACATTTGATCCGATATTTCAACTTGTTCTTATATCGAGCTGAAAAACCTCAATACTGCGAAAAACGAAAAATTTCTTCCATCAATACAAAAATCCTATTAACTTTGGCAGTTCTTGAACACTTCGCAGCCTCCAAACATCAAATGACAAACCTACAAAAAATTTTGAAATTTATTTCAGCTAGTTCAAAATTGTGAGTCATGGAAGAAGAAAGAAAAAGTTGATTCTTTAAACGAAACAAATCAATTTCTTTAATGAGAAAAAAAGCAATCACTTCCAGTCTCAAAGTGATCTTAAAAGATTCGTAAATCACATCAAATATTTATGCTCAAGAAAACTAAAATCAACCTGATCAACCAGCCAGAAGCTTTAACTAATCACCATTCACAGTTGTAATGCAACCTACTATTGTTGTAGCTCCACGCGTTCTGGGCTTGCACGAAGTCCGACAGCGAGTCAAACTGAGACTGAGTTTGAGCAGCAAGAATACCTGCATTTCGGGCTGCGAGGGTGAAATTTGATGTCAATTCAGGAGGAACTTCAACATCAAGCTCAAAGAAATATCTGCTCTCCTCGTCATCATGCATCGTTGTTTCTGAAAATGATTTAAAAAAATTTCCTACAGGCGAATCGGATCTTCACATTACTGGCTCGACAACACAAAAAAGAAAAAACAGCTACTAACTAAATCGACAGCTACTAAAAAAAATTGAGCAAAATCAACATCAAACAAAACCTTTGTCTCGAGTGAAGTTCAACTTGAAGAAAAATACTGAGAACACACAATTGACAGTGATAAATTACAAATGAAACAAATTATTAAGCTGTAAATAAGCAGACAATAAATGGGTACTACCGTTGAGCCAAAAAGGAAATCGATTCTAACTTCTGATAAAAAAATTTGGATTCTTTGTAGGTACACTTGATGTATTTTGATTACAAGATTGTTTTTTATTTGTTCCCCAGCCCTACCCACTGCAGGGCCTTACTGGAAAGGTGTGGTGTCATCTAACATTTTTTTAAATGGTTGAGAACTTTGAAATATGTGAAGTTTTTCAACATCTTAGATTTTTGAAAAATTTTCAAAAAGTTCATTGAAGTTTGCATTGCGAAAATCAGAGAGAATCAACGCATTCGCACTCCAAAAACTGTAAAGTAAAAAATATAGAAGATCTTGGAAATCTTCATTTATTTGTTCGTTTGAACAACAGACGCACCTCAACATTCGTATATAATATATAAAAACGTTAACTTCATGAACAATTTAAATATCGCAAAATATTGGAAATTAAACAAGTCAACACAGGGACTTCTCAAAATGTAACAATAGATAGATAAATAAATAGATACATAGATAGATAAACAGATAGCCATCGAAATAGTAGAGCAATTTATGGCGGACACTTTTTTGTTAAAATTAACCCAATTTGAGACAACTGGGTCAATACGTAAAACTTTTATTTCGCTCGGAAATCTGATAATCAATTTCCATTTTCGAAATCAGAAGTCGATCACGTTTTTCGTGACTTTTACACTTTTGCTGTTGGATAGTGGAATTTGCCTTACTTTTAACAATGAAAATGCAGAGAGCTTAAAAAATCACAAGTCAAACCGCGAAAAATCAAACTTGAGCGTGAACAAATTTTTGAACAAAAAAATCAGCAAAACCTAAATACGAGTACTAATTACGTTCCTTACTCTTAATAGATAAATAGATAGATAGATAGATGGATAAATAAATAGATAGATAGATAGATGAATAGATTGTATTGAGGTGAAGCGCAGCAAGGCAACGAAAAGTAGCACGCCAATAGAAGATATTCAAAAAATCAACCAAATGTACGTAATAAATGAACGCGTAATAATATACACTTTCCTCGATTAAAGTCCAATGAAACAAAAAACCTGTAATAAAAAATCCGTTATAAACACGAGTTGACCCTAGTCGGAGAAAAGCGCAAGACAATTTTCGTGCAAGGTTATTTCAAATTTATTTGATATAACGAAGGCAACTTCTTCTCTCTAATAAACGACAGTGCAAATGGCTCAATAAAAAGCCAGAACTTTTTGTTTCAAACTGAAATTTACCTGGTAGAAGTCTCAGCGCAATTGCGGTAAATTATTAGTTTAAATTTCCATGTGGAAACCGAAAAAACTTAAAATTTATCGTTTTTATTAAAGTTTGTAACATTTTTGAAATTAAAGAGGAAGTTTTATCAGGGCTATTTACAAACGTCAAATGGCCGTTATTTTCGTCCTATGAATTTCGCATAAACAGGTGCTTAAATTGATAGAAAATAAGTGCAAAACTAAGTAATCCAATATTGCTTGTGTTACTTTTGATTTTAAATTCTTAACAGAGAGCCAAAACAGAGCTTCTCTCCACTTGCGATACAAAAAATGCATAGCATACATGACAAAATAGCAGACAGAAATTGAGACAAAAATTTGCTGAGAGTTATTTGAAAATATGGAGAAAAGCTAGATCGAACAAAACTTTCATATCTTTGTTTCGAATTGTCAAGAATAAAAGTCATAGAAAAAATAAGCCCAACAAGAATCAAAATTTCAAAAGTTAAATTTGCTTCGCAGCAAAACTTACAAAACGGTAAAAACGCCGCCATTTTTTGAAGAGATACCCGTTGAGCCAAATTTTTTTTCAATATTATTGAAATATGAAACTAACCCCTCCAAAATCTGATTCGCATAGATGACTTGTTTCGCTCATCCAACGACGCAAAAAGCTGAAAAAAATCACAAAAGCTAAAAAAAAATGTAATTAATTTTTAAAATTTTAATATTTTTTTTCAAATTAAAACCAAAGTTCCGCAAAAACTGTAAAGCATTTTCTCTACCAAGAAGGCTTTAGAAAAGGCATAGAGTACTTTAAATATTGAAGAGTCCGTGCTATGTGAACTAAGCCGATAAAAACAAACAGGCGGAACCATAGCAATGACACCAAGATAAGAGCAACATTATCATGTCACATGGAGCTGACGGCACTGCGAGACTTCATAATTGCCGGATTTTGAAATGCTTGTTTTGACTTGGAGAGCGAGCGTACTTGTATTCGGGGAAATTTGATTTTTTCATAAGCAACTTTTCTATTAATCTGCAGGAAATTGGCCTTGCTTTAATATGCAACTTCGATACTTTTTTGGACCCTTTTCTCTTGGTTTAGAGTTGAAGCACTCGCCTTCGTTATCAAAAGTTTGACGTTCGAGCTCCTGCTGGACCTGGTTTTTGTTGGATGCGTAGAAGTTGAAACTATTTTCGGACCTTATGAATGGTCGGACAACCATTTTTCTGCTAACTGTTTTTCGGCCAACTTTCCGAAGCATGGATTTTTTCTTGAAAATAAATTTTTCTTGTAATTTAATCAAAGTCAACTAAAAAATGATACTCGTTCTGTAATATGTAAGTTTACCAGCTTCAAATTTGTTTTTTTTTGTTTAAGCGGGTTCGGTTTATGTTATATCGATTTAATTATCACAATTTGCGCGATATAGGTTGTTGCGGATTTGTGTGCGCCAAGAAAAAAGAGGCAGAAATACTAAATATCGCCTAATTTTCTAAGAAGTTTATTTTCAACTGGCGTCTACCCAAAAGTTGTCGGCTTAGTTGCCATTAGGATAAAGATATGGAATGCTTAATGCTTACTGAACCGCGGTGCTTGTGTTACTCAAGTTGAAAATCTCTCGAGAGCGGCCTCCAACGCGCGCGGCCTCCATCACGAACGTCGCTGTTTCGAATCCCACTTCGGTCACGGTTGAAGGCGGGCGCAGTGTAACTCGATTTTTTGAGGTAGGACCGGCTAGGGCAAATTGGATGACGTCACATTCCCCCACGAAAGTTAGGCCCAAAGTAGAGAGGAGAAAAAATCCTTCTAGATTGTTTTAAAATAATTTTAGTCAAATAACCATTTAGAAAGTGTTCAGTTAACCACGCTTAGCTTTCAAATCAAGTTACTCGGATAGCGTTTAAATTTTTCATTCATTTGTCTTCATTGTTCTCCGTTGAAATAAAGGTTTATTCGTCAGCTTACGTAAGTTTTTGAAAGTTGATTACAAAATCAGGAGTAACAGGCCAGTATTCTTTCAGAAAGAATGCAATGGTTCGAATCACAAGCGTTGCTCGTCTCAAGCAAGTGTGTTACTTACGCCGATTCATTTTGAATGTATTATGAAAAAAGGGTAACTTTCACGTGAAAAATCTTGTGAACAAAGTTGTTTACGGGAAAAAAAATTCTTGTACCCGGTTGCAAAACCCTTGCTGATCTGATCGTAAGGGTAACAAAAGTCTTAAAGCCTCAACTCAAATTTAAAAAATTGAGTGAAAACTATATTCTTTAAATCAGAGAACTTATACTGGCAAATGAAATTGTATGTTACGTGTTTTTCGATGCATTTTTCTTGCCACTTTTGATCTTCGCTTAGACTTTGCATCTCTTTGTTTCGCTGACAGCAACGAAATATTTCGTTAGTGAGTTATGACTGGAAGCATTGCAATTTGAGTTCTCTTAACAGTTTTTTACCAGTTTTTTACCACTTCTTTATTCTTTATTTTTTCCCCTAAATTATCAGCATTTCCCGACAATATCAGCATTGTCCACAATCCCGACAACAACCGCAAAATTTGAAACCTCTAACAGTTTTGCTCACGACACAAATCCAACACCTTCTCCCGCAACTACAATCATTTTGCCCCAATTATTCTTCTTTCGTTCGTCATATGTATCTGAGATATCTATAACACGACTGCATGAAGGATCCTCAATTCCAGTTCGGAAGCTTTCGGTTTCGACTTCAGACGCCAATAGAATTGTAACTCCTTCTCCAAAATCTTCCGTTGACCGTTTGTAATTTTCACAACCTAGAGAAAAGATTTTAACACGCTGGTCAATTGATACGGAACACATGAAAAGTTCTTTGTTTAGAGACAGATATATTTGGCAACTAACAACTTGAGCGGCATGACAACCTGTAATAACTACCATGGGTTCCAGTCTTCGAGAATTGGGATTTAAATTACACAAAACCAAATTAGCACTGTCTCCCCCCAGTAAAACTTTCTCATTCATTGACTCCATGCAAGTCACTCGTCCCAGCTCTTTCGATAAATCCAACCACTCAAGTTTCAAATCTGTAACATCAATTGCATCTTGTCCATTCGGGTCCGTTAAGTTTCCATACCTAAGGACTCCGAAATTATCACCAAAACATAGCAATTTTTCGTGCTTAAAACTTAGATCAAGACATTTGATTACATTAATTGATGATGCTACTTTTTCATCTGAGTTCGGTCTGTAAATGGTTTTCGTGGACAACTTCATTATTTTCTGATCATCTAATTGCGAAACTCCGAGATTTTTTGTGATAAAAGAAATGCTGTCAACGTATCCATGTGACGAAGAAATAAACATATGGACGAACGTTCTTTCGTCTTTGAAAAAATCGGCCGATAAGTATTTACAATCATCCGATTCCTCGTTTTTTGAGGAGCAATCGAACATAACTCGTTGAACTTGAATTTTTTGACAAGCATCTGAATGGATATTCACCTTATAGAAAGCTTTCATGCATCGGGATCCGAAAGCGAGAAGCAAGTATTTACTTTCATCTAACTCAACTGCTTTCAGAGTTCGTACCGTGCAAGGCGAACAGTCAATGATGCTTACACATCGCATCAAATGGTTTTCAAAATTAGTTACTTCCGAGATCCGAATAGTGTTATCTTCTGCTCCTGTGATCACAAAACAAGTTCCCGATTTCCTAATAATTTCTAGACAGTGTATCTTCACGCCGTGAAGCGCCGGTAAAAGTTGTGTAAACGGCCTCGCATTTATAATCGAACTCTTAACATAGCAAACTTCAGATTTTTTCATAAAGACAAACCGAAATTCTTCGGCTTTTTGCGAAAGCATTATATCAAAACTGCGATGACCTCCTCCACATGGAATTTTAGAGATTGTTCGGGAAGTTTCTACCTCAACCAGCAGGAAATTCTCGGATTTGAAGCAAAATGCAAACAATTTTTTTGAAATAAAGATTAGCTTAGCTATCCAATCAACTGAATTATGCATCTGTATAGTGTTTGCCAACTTCAGGACATTCGAGTTGTCTGTTTTAGAAGAATCTATGAAAAATATGTTCACTTTTCCGTCTCTCCCAGATGTATAGAGTTTACTTCCGTTCCCTACCATAGACAACAATCCAAGTTTGCTGTGGGCTCTAGTAATCACTTCAGTTGGCTCATGAGCCTTATCTGTGCTACTTTTGTCGTCTAATTCATACTTCGGCAAAGAATACACCCATATAGTTCCGTTTCTATCCCCACAAGCCATGTACACATCAGACAAATTACAGACACAATTTGGCCAATTGTTCCTTGTAACCGGCCATCTATACTCTCTTACTTTCACCAAGGACGAAGATTCAGTTGAAATCAGATACAATATATCAAACGCACAGGTAATTGCCAAATGTTCTCCAATAAGATGAACTGAGTTTATTTTACATTCTGATAGTTGCAGCTCACAAACAGCTTTTTCGGGAGAAGTCAGATTGATCGATAAAACAGACCCTTGGAGAGAGCCAAAAAGTATCAAATGAGAGTCGGAAACATCACAAACCGCATAATTTGTCAACTGCACAATTGTTTTTATTAGGCTAAAATACGCATCATTGTGTAGACTCTTGGTATGAATTTCACCATTAGCAGTCAAAATGAGAACTTCATCTGATGATATGAACTTCACAATACTTACTTCTGACACAAATTCATTAGCTCCCTTCAGTGTTTCAAATTTTGTAACGTCGTCCTGAAATGAATTCACATCCCATTTTAGCAAAGCACCGTCCTCTCCGCCAGTTAAGAAATAATTACTTCGCAGGTTAATCTCTAGTCCAAAAATATTCAGACCATTATGGGCTGAAAACTTAGCTACGAGACTCTCACGGCTTAAAACACACACAACGCAATCTTCACCGGTACTGATAATGAATTCTTTGAAGAATTGCACTCTTTGCACTCGTGCTTTGTGTGAATAGAAGGTTTGCAAGGGATGCAATACTTCTGTGAGTTCATTTTCGCTGGGAAGTTGCCAAATTCGAATACTTCGATCATCAGAAGCTGTTACCACAGTTTGAGTCCGCCAATCAAAATCCAGATTGAATATCACTCCATCGTGTCCTTCTAGTCTTCGTGAAATAATAACTTTTTCACTTTCCAGCTTCTGATCAACTTTATGTTGACTCTCACTAAAACTCCAAATTAGAACAGTATTAAATACTGTTCCACTAAAGGCAGTCACTATTCGAGTCTTCTGGTCTTTAAATAGCAATCCTGAATACAAAATGCATGGAACTTCGTTCTTCCAGATTTTTGAGGTTCCTAAGCTGTTCAAGTCATACCTCAAAACAACGTTCGAAGAAAGAAGGAATAAAATGCCTCCAGACTTTTCATCGGACAGATTCTCAGTTTCGCTATAACATGAAGGTAGACAATCAATTATCCAGTACCTCAGAAAAACTTCAGATCCAGTTATCTCAAATTTCAATTGGTCGCTTTCAATTTTCTTCAATTTCAGAAGTTGAAAAGATTTTCCAAAAACCAAAACTAAAGTGTCACACTTCAAACGTTTAATAGCACATATGGGTTTTCCTACCCTTAAAAACTGAAGTGGTGCTTTGCATTCCCACTGACGATCAAAAATTAGCAGTTGATTACCTCGTCCAACGAGTATTAAATCGTCCACAACACATATAGCTCGTATGGGATAACTCATCTATCTAAAGCAAAAAATAAGAGACTGCTTAAGAAAAACCAGGAACAGCTTTTTTCACAATCCAGGTACCACAGATTTATATTATCACATATTACACAGAGGCGAAATTGCACTTCGCATACACTCATACACTAGCAAAAATATGACCGATAACGCTCCTGGGAAAAACTGATTGAGGAAAACTTTGAGTCTACAAAATTTCTTAAGTGATTCACGCCATTATGACGCCTTAGCAGTACCAGTCACTGAAAAAAAAAGAAATTTACCAACTAACATGCCTCGATTTATAGATCTGTCTGATGAGCAGTAACAACATGAAAAAACTAAATGTAATAAAATGAAAAGAATTTGTTGAAAATAATCCCCCCACACGCCATATTAAGTACAAAGTGATAAATTTCACTCCTAGTAATAAATCAATTATGGCAAACAAGTCTCCTTCAACGAATTTGGAGCGATTTCTATGACGGATTATATCTACGCTTACGCGTAAATAGCGCGAAACATATTGCGCGTTAATTGTCCCAAATTGGCAATTTTTAAACCCCCATAACTTTATAAAAAATGATCACAGATGAAATACTTTTCTAAATTTAAGCTCAGGACAGCAATACTCTTTGAATGATATATATTAAAAAATCCCTTCAAAAATGTCTAGTAAAAAGTCGAAATTTGTCTGAAAAAAAAAACCAATCGAGCACAAATACTCCGTTACTTTCGTTACAAAAGTCGGAAAAATAATAGTCTGTGTTAAAATCCTTAGCATTGGGTGTTCCTAATACTGGCCAAAGATCAAAATGAACACTATCAAAATGAACACATTTTATCGCAACAAAATTTGCGACTTAGGTTGGGGAAAAAGATTGTTCATGTGTGTTCATACTATAACAAGCATTGCTTGTGTAATCAAGCTATTTAGAAAAAACCTTGTTTCGCGAGATGTGGCATCTATATTGAAAATAAAACGATTAATCCACTATGGTTAAGACCAAAATATGAGCTGTTCAGCTCTCTAAGGAGCACTGCTCGGGGTTTTTTGTGCTCGGGGTTTTTTGTACGGAAAATTTGTGCTCCAGATAGTTTTTTTTTCTTCAGATAAAATTTCGACTTCAACTAGCCATTTTTGACGGATTTTTTATCTCATTCAAAACATATTGTTGTCCAGAGCTTATATTTGAAAAGATATTTCACCTGTGATCATTATTCGTAAAGTTATGGGAAATTACAGATTGCCATTTTGGAACAATTAACGCGCGATATATTTCGCGCTATTAACGCGTAAGCGGAGATTTAATCCGTCTTAGAAATCGTTTTAAATTGGTTGAAGGAAGCTTATTTGCCATAATTGATTTGTTACTAAGAGCGAAACTTATCACTTCGTACTTAATATGGCGTGTGGGGAGACGATTTTCACAAAAAATCCTAATTAAAAAATATTCATTTCATTTTTATTACATTGATTTTTTTGATGCTATTACTGCTCCATAGATCTTCAAAGGCAGTCGGAACATTCAGGGCTTCTCCCTGAGCAGTCTTGTTTAATTTAAGATTTTTTTGTGAAAATCATCTTCCCACAAGCTGTAAACATTGATGTATAGAAAATCCAGTCATTGGGATAAAAATCCGAGCTAAAAACTAAGCTAGATTGAATGGAACACCTCGGAAAAAATATTCCTAGCATATGCTCTAATCCAATTCGATGGACGAGACATGATCCGTAACAATAGACCTGATCCAAGCATCCCTCAATGCAAGACTTGCCAAAGTGCTCGAAACATACTAAAAGAGTAATCAATCTTGGAGAGAGGTGGCGAGTCTATGGCTCTCAATAGAAAGGTCGGTCGTCGGAGGCTCCAACATGATCAGTGTTCGTTGCTTTCGGATGAGGCAACATTACCATTTACAGAAAAATAACCAAAAAATCGGGTCTGCAATAAGAAATGAACAGCTTGTATATGGTCCTTAACCTAGTGGATAAATTGCCTGAAAGTTAGCTGAGGAAAAGAACCAGTTCACACTTTTGCAATAAGCAAAACTACACGGCTGAAATATTGTTATCTGGTTAGGGTAACAAATGAAAAGATCTAGTCGTTCAAAAAGATCTTACACTCGAAAAAATGTAATTGAAAAGATCTAGCCAAAGAGAATAGAATTATCTAAATTTCCGCAACTAATTGCTAAAACTGAGTATTAGTAGAATTTTATTCGTAGCAAAATTCAATCTTCTTACGCCCCTTCCACTATCTTATTTTGCGACAACCGTAAAAACTATCCCTACGCCAGTTGCCAGAACTATTGGTCTGAAAAATAATACAATGGATTAGATTGATTTTTAATATTGTAGAAGCCCAATAGAGATGATGAATAGTCACTTGTTATTATTGTGACATCAGCTTTCCATCAGGTCGACAGAGGTCGAATCCCTGAGGGGGGTCGTCCCCCACCCCCTCCTAAAACCGCTACAGCGTAGTATTAAGTTTAAGCACCGAATTGATCAAAACAACTTGAAAAACAAAAAAAATTGTACAAAAAAAGAGAACAAATGACAATTAATATAGTTTTTGAAACACACTTTAGAAGACATACGTTTATCCAATTTTCGGCTTTTTACATATATACTAAAATTCATATTAACTACATGACATTATATATCTGCCAAAAAAAATCAAACAAAAATGGTGTCGAACAATTTTCCCAGCAGGCAAGAATAACCAGTTGCTTTATAATTAGCACAGAAGGTACTGACCTTTTTTCACTTAACTTCATTCAAATCCATTTTCGAAATTTTCTGTAATTTGCGGTGACCACTCGACTAGCGTAAAAGTTTGAAAACATGGAAAAAATATCGACTAGCATATTTTTGATAGCCTTATTTCTCAGAAATACAAGACAACAATCATAATCCGTTCAAATTGAAAAAACAAGGTGCTACCGGGACTCGAACATAAGACCATAGAACAATAATGCAACCCCATTACCTCGAGACAAAGTGAGAAGTAGACTGTGCCAAAAAAAGTTTCATCAATAAAGCAAGTTCAATTTCTTGCAGATTTCTTAAGGGAAGCGTAGTTGCCGATTACAAGCCAATTTCTATCACCAGTGTGACATTCACAAGAACTGAGTGCTTAGACATAAACAGTTCAGGAGCTTAACAAAAGTAAAATCAAAAGGTCATTAGTATTTGCCCTAAAAAAACGATTTCGTGCATTCAAAAACATCTGTCTGTCAAATTAATTTTGTCTCATTGAGAAAAAAAGACTGGTAACTAAGCTGACAGTCATTAAGTCGCAAACATCACCGACAAAAATTTGAAAACCCGATCGTTATGTATTCAATGGTCATACTCTAGATGAAAGAATGGGAATTTTAAAGAGAAGCAAAACAGATCGAAAATGAAGCCGTCAAAAAATAAAACAAACCGAAAACTAAATGAAGGTATTTTGCGAGAATCGATCGGTCTGTTTCCGTGTTAAATTTGGGTTGGGAGCCAATACTCACAAGGCCAATTTATCGTCAAAACTTCTTTGAAACAATGAGACTTGGTCGCAACATGTCTTTACATCACTCAAAAGGAGAGTATTAGGTCTAGGAGTTTTCCTCTAAGAAAAAGGTTTGAAGCAAGATTTATTTCTCTTGAATACAAGCATTAACAGTTGGTTACAAATCAAATTGCGCTTCTTCATTGTCAAAATCCATGGGCAGTTTTTACACCAGCTGTATGCAATAAGTTAACGGCGTGTAATTAATTTATACTGCACAATTTGGTTAGATAGTCAGAACTCTTATTGAACTTTGCTCAAATTGAGTCCCTTTGCGCACCATGCAAATTAGCGTCAAGGGAAAATGAAGGCAACACCAGCATCGCTCAGAAACACCAATAACTTATAAGAATGATTAGTTTAAGGTGTTATCCAGTGATAGGTTGTAATGAAATTGATTGACTATACGGCGAAACACGATCTGTCAGACGTTATCAAGGGCAACAAGAACAGAAAATGGCAGTATCCTGATATTAAAAATGATGATAATTTTAATAAAATGATTAAACTTTTATTACTCTTCTACGCCGAACCGCTGCCCACCCACCCAACCCCCCCCCCCTTAACACAATATATATGTTTTTAACACTTGATCAGGTTGTTTGGTTGTTTTATTTTTAACTCCGTAAACTCCGTGGACAGATCGTAAAAAATTATGTTTTTATCTGGCGGGGATGGTGAAGTGCACTTTTCTTTATTCAATCTTTTCCGATTTAAGACAAGTGGGTCACAACGCATGCTATTTTCATCCAGTTGTAAATTTCCAATTCCCAGCTTTACTTGAATATAGTACTGTCATCATCGTCATATCGTAATAATAAGCATATTATTTCCCAGCAGGGTTAAAAGCTAGAGATACTGCATGTCTAGTCATAGCTATACTGCACCAGCAATAAAAATACATGCCACCATTACGGCTACCAAACCGGCTGCAAATAATAATAGTTTCCTTCACGAAGATTGAACTATTTCATTATCGATCTCTCAGCAGGCTCGGACCATTGGTTCACTTTGCGTAGACTAAATCGAATAGTATTTTGGACTCTTTCATCACTGCCTCCAGGCTAGAAAACAATTACAGCCCCATCAATCTGGGGAGTTTTGTATTTTGGGCATGGGGCTACAATTTACAGGAGAATTCAATGGTAAAGAGCCGAATTTTGTATGAAATTTGGAATAGATACTTTTATGTGGCGCCATATAAAAGACCATTTAGGATAAACAAAAATCATCATTGAGACAGAAGATATAAAGCGTACGAGTATAACCAAACATCAGATAATCTATTACTTCAGGTTAAAGAAATATTACATAGTTTCAACTGGTGAAAAATGACAACTAGGTGTAAAGAGATTAATAAAATAAGCTAATCGTGATCTAATTATTTAGTATAAAAAATGATGATAAAACCACCAGGGCTAGTTTTACAACTTTACAAAACTTTTTAGAAACATCAGCGAAT